AGCACAATTTGTAAGCACAATTTGTACATCAGTGAGAGAAGAGTTTATTTGCCATCTGTAACGAGAACAGATTTGATGGCAAAGAATATGGTGGGCTGAATGCAATTGAGAACTCTCCATTAGTAAACGAGACTTAAGAAGGCTTCACCCAGATTTTGTCCCGGACAAAATATTTCAATCAATCATACATTGAACTTTGAGAAATAAATGGCTCGGATTCTCGCAGCAAACCCTAGTTCTGTTGATGTAGAGAAGCTGATTCCCACCTACAACAAGATAAAAGCAGGTGGGGAAAGCAGCATATCTCCAAAAAGACTTAACAAATATATAGATGTTGCAATGAATATGCTTGATCTCACAAGTTCGAATTCAACACGCAAATAACAAAATACAAAAAACACAAAAGTCTGGAAAGCAAGGCTGATTTAAGAGAATTTTTGAATGTGAAAGGAGATAAAAAATAACTTTGACAGAGATCCGAACAAACCATGTAAAAGAGTTTCCTTTCGATAACTTTTTGCTAACATATTAAGACGCGTATATTGTAAAGAATCAGCTTTTGCCACTTATACTTCATTCATTTAAGAACTTGCCCAAGAAGGACATGCTATTTGCACTATGATGGCAGTTTCTATATTTGCCACGCCCATGGTGTCAATCACAGCAAAGTAAAAAATGTGTTTTTATAAAAATTGTGGATCTATAAAAAATTTTTATTTTAGGCCCTGAAAGCCTCCATAATATAGTTGCAGAAATATTCCTAATCTTCTCTCGAAATTATCGCCACCATGTCGGTCTAGAATACCGTACCCTCGGTTTCTTGAAGCTCTAGTTCTGGTACCCAATTTTTTAAAAATAAAGACTAAAACTCATTGAAACAAATCTTCTAAAGAACTGAGCCCTAAGATGAACAAACCATAGTACTAATCACCATCAGCATTCCGCCATCATAGCCAATTTCCATGGATGAGATACAACTTTAAAACGAAAAGTCAAAGATCTATATGTTACTTTCAAGACAAAATACAAAGAAAAAAACCAAAAAGTCACTTAACAATAACTTCGTCAAAAATTTGCAAATAGAATAAAAATATTTATCAAGCAAATAGATTAAACATATTTATTTATTGACATCCCAAGGCAAAATTTGGAATTCTCAAAGGGAAGTTTCTTTCACTCTGGGGCCAAAACATGGAATGAGATTCCAAGAAACATCAGAATGAGCCCTACAATTTCCATTTTTAAAAGAAACTTGAAGGGATTCCTACAAAGTTAATAAATTCCCAAAACAAAACACGATCCCTAGGTAGAACAGCAACATCTTTTTTTTATATTTATTAAAGAAGTAATTTTAATAGAAGTATTTTATTTATATTTGTATTATAGCTGATAGGGAATTCGTGTATAAAGATTTTAAAATGAATGGAATGAATTTATCAAGCACTTTATCAATTTTTTGGTTAACGTGCAAAAGAATTTGAAGAATGTTTCAAAATAAGACCGTAAGTTGAATAGGTGTATTGTTCTTTGGTCTTTCCGCTAGTCCTCTCATCATTCCGCGGTCATTCCGTGGTCGTTCCGCTAATTTCGCGGTCATTCCTTGGTCGTTCCGCTAGCACCGCGCACTTTCCGCTAGTTCCTCATTTTAGCAACGTCGACTAATTTTGTGCCTGTCACCAGATTTGAAAATTTTGTCCCAGATTTGAAAAATTATGCTGCTTTGTTGCATAAAGTAAAACATTTGAAAATGAGAACAAGGAAGTCGATGAATACCATCGCTTTCCGCTAATGGATATTCATTTTAAGAACAAGGTTGTTTTATCAAAATTTGCTCCAAAGAATGCAATTCCCGGCGAACTTGAAGCATTAAGATTTCGGCAATAAGTAACTTTTATACTCTTCTTCTAATCTACCGATCTAAAGGGTTGCGAGGTGTCCTTTGGGACCTTTGAGGGATTAGGCAAAGGTCGACAAATTCAGCAAGAACGAATTTTGCTGGGCGCACTAGAAACGTTACATAACCAATGATATAGAAGCGCTAAAGGCGCTAGATGTCTAACTGGGCAAAACTGCGTAGTTTTGAAAGGTAAGTTATATTTTGCTAGCTTGCCGTATTAATTTCAAAAGTTTTAAGCTATAAATTGTGTTGTTAAATATGGTTTCACGATTTTTAGAATATTTTTTTACTGCGACGCTCGTACGGCCACTCTGGCATGAGCAATGTTTACCTTTTCAGAAGGACTTTTTGGGGTTTATTTGCAAAAAAATCCACATATAATTTCAAAATTGAGTTTATTTTGTATTTTCTAAGAGTAGATGTATTTTCTAAGAGTGAATAAGTAGATGTAGACAAGTACTTATATGCAAATTGTTAAATGAACACTTCCCTACTCCGGCAACCCCCTAAATATGACTCGTGGCAGGGATTCCAGATGTAAGGAGTAAAAATTCTTATGATAACTCTCCATATCAAGTTTTTTTCATGACAAGACCTCGCCTCGTTCAGCAGCAAATCAGACTTTTATTTACGGACGACATCAGGATGTTGTAGAAAAGGGGCATGGCTGTATCAGAATTAAATATGACCTCCTTTACCACGTTGCCTGAATGTTACGATAGAAAATTAACAGAAGAAGTTTTCATAAGCGCAACATAAGCCCAAAAATAATCTTCCTAAAAACACAAATATTCTCTAAGACAGAGTGCCCTTATCAACGCCACGCAGGGGTGGCGCTAGGGGAGGGCTAGGGGGCTACAGCCCCGCCGTCGGAGGAGCCTGTTTATTTGTTATTTGACATAGTTATCGGAACGCAATGCTATTAGTGTTGGCACAAAAAGATACCGGTTTTTACTTGCTTCCTCGTGTTTTTTATGGCTTTGGTACCAAAATAGTTAGCCCCTCCCGTCGGAAGCATCAGTCCCCTTGTCGGAACATTCCTAGCGCCACCTCTGACACCACAGTGAACACAAACAAAAATTATGGCTTAAAACCTTTTAAATGCATACGACAAGCTGACAAAATATAAGTTACTTTCCTAAATTAAATAGATTCTTTAAAATTTTAGGTTTTGTTCGCCAGCTTCGGAATTTCCCTTACATTTTGCCTCACTCGATGACAATAGACATCTAGTATGGCGCGCCAAAAGCAGCAAATTTACTTACTCGGGAATGAAATACCAATGCAATATAAAGGGCATAAAGCTCTCTCAGAAATGTGGTTACTATAACGGGAAATGAGTAGAAACGACTAGGAAACAAGAAGAAACAAGTAGAAACATTTAGGAAACAAGTAAAAAAAACAACTAGGAAAAATGCCTGCCGAAAGTCTTGGAACACTGACATCAATTTCCAAGGTCAAAACCAATCATCCCCCTCTCCCCCACGGAACAATGTTGGTCTACTATCAAACGGATTAGGATTTTAGGAAGCACTTTCTTTTGCGCTTCTTTTATGATATTTCTCTAAATCATCAACATTGTTTGAGGGGGAAGGGGGCGGAAGTTGCAAATTTTTTTCATCAAAGGAATGAAAGATATCAAATGCAGCGTAAATTGGTGGGTGTTCCAAGTACTTTTGGCAGGCATTGTAGGAAACAAGTAGAAACAAGTAGAAATGACTTGGAAAAATTTTAACTGCGGCACAATTTTATTTATTTAGTGGAAATCCTGCATCAATAGGTATGGTAGTAGATGTTGATATGGTATTTTTGTAAGAGGAATTAAACTATGAAGGCCTGATATGAAGTGCCAGCATTGTAAGAGCAAATCTCACTGGCATTGGGATTAACATGGACCAACTACCGGGAAGGTCGAAATAAAGCAATTTAAATTCACGGCTAATAATCAAGCCTTCCCCCCCCCTGAATTCAACTGCTTTAGGATCTTACTGAAACTTTATAGAGGCTTTAGGGTTAGGCTCCCAAAACAAAACATTGTTCAAGAAGTAGATTGTCAACCTATACAGCTTGTTCCTCTAGTATATTGGAGTTTGTTCTTGTAGTTTCTGTTTCTTTTGCTAAAATTAGCGTTGTAGAAACATAAGTAAGCATTATCACTGGGTTTCCGTAACCTCATCTAAGACAACAGCTTTTGCGGTGGAGAACGACATGACCGAACATTTAGGCCACTGCAACGAAGATGACAATGCCCACGTGGATGGATAAGCTTGCCTCGTTTTGGAGACCTAGTCGTTTTTGCAAAGCAATACGACGACGAGAATTTAATGTCACGAGATAAAATTTTCAAAATAAATTAAATTTAAAGAATATACTATATATTCTTGAATATAATAAAATATTCTAGAATATACTAGTATATTCTTTAAATTTAATTTATTTTGAAAATTTTATCTCGTGACATTGGATTCTCGTGGTCGTATTGCTTTGTTCCTGTATATCTTTCATAACAACACTCATTGCAAGATTCACAGAATCCGGCGGACAGCCTATCCTGCGGTTCTTCCTTCTCACACATGTGACATTAACACGCAACAGAATCAAGGAATCTAGCTTGACATAATAATAACAGTAACTTAAGTTTACAAATCCTAAAACGTTACATACGGGCCCCTTTTCTGTATATAGCAACCCGAGAGTTTGCTGCCAGTCCGCCTCTGAGGGTAACTCTCGTCGGTTGCTTTGAGCTATGACAAATTATCATTCATTGATCAGATAAAAACGAATTATAATACATAATTGAATTTTTCACCATCATGGGGCATTTCGTCTCAAAAAACTTCACGCATGCGCAAGATTTTTCAGGATTCACCTTCTGCCTAATTCCTATTCATGTGTCCGTCAGCTGATTTATTTATATATAGGGTTGTTTTTTTTCTTTAATGTTCTTATTGTAATTTTGGATTTAATAATTGAATTTTAAACAACTTACCTAAATGACATAACGTGTAATTAATTGATTTGCTGAAGAAAATGTTTTGAGTTTGAGTTTGATTCAATGATTTATCATTGCTGTTTTGCTGTGATTTAGTCATTTCCAGAACGAGGCCGCTGTAAGTCTTTTTTTCAGATTAGTAGTCCTATTCTTCTGTGATACTGCTGTTCATTGTGTACAGTGTCTGCTGAGGTTAAAATCCTAAAGATAATCCATTTGATTGATAAAAGAAGGTCAAGGATGGCTACCAATCTAGAAAAAGAAGAAAGAACGTATAATAAGCTGTTAAAGGAAGACAATATCAGGGATCAAAATGGGTCAAGAAGGTTGGAGCAGAACGCAGTTTCGTCCAGTATCAGCCAAAGACAAGAAGTGACTGCCGAGGAACATTTTCCCCTAATGGAGAAAGAAATGGCAGGGGACAAGAAAGAGTTAAATGAAGAATATGAAGGAACCTGTTTCTGTAAATACAATTTGAGACATTGTCTCCCGGTAGCATGCTGCTGCAGAAAGTAAGCCTATTTTGTTCTTCTCAGGTATTACATAACAGACCTGCCAGTTTCATTCAGACCCCAAGTCGAGTGAAGTGACAACAAAATCGTTGTATCCAGGGACGAAGCCAAAAAACATTTTTTGGAGGGATACAGACATAGTTACAAAAAGGGCGTGTCTCTCTCTTTTCGGGTGTGGTCATAACATAAATAGTCTTATATGCTTCTTCAAACGTTACAATTGTTGCAAAAATATTACAAAGGATGAGAAAATTTTTCCTTTTTTGCCTGACAGAAATTCTGATGTGTTGACTGGCAAATGGTTGGGGTAACAGTGCCCCCATACCCCCCTATGGTGACACCCATGGTTGTATTCATGGCTGCTTTTATGAATTGTTGGGTGGAACTAGAAATTTCTAATTGCAAACAAGACAATTTTCAGGAAGCTTAGCTATGCGCTGAACTGGAGTAGTAACCTTTCATGCAAATGTGCAAATAATAGTGTTCAATTATTATGATCCTGGCATCCTGGCATACAATAAGTATTGAGTATTGATCAGAAAAAATTAATAGATTGAGATTTCGGAAATTGCAGCTTGTTAATAAACTTGATGATAAGTATCACAACCAATAAAAAAGACATTGTTTGAAACAGTTGACAATTTGTTTTAAGTAGACAAATCAGGTAAATGACAATTCCATCTAAGTTCCATTCAATAGGTAATTCCATTCAATCAGGTAAATGACAATTCCAGGTAAATGATGTTGATGACAATTCCATCTAAGGTCATTTCCACAAAAGTACAGTCTTTTGTGCAAAACTAATGTATTCAAAGCTAAAATTAGCTCTTCCAAACAAATCAATTAAATAGACAACTAGAAATACTATACATTAATTTCATGTTTCTTACCAGTAGGTTTTTTTCATAGTTGTGGTGGGCCAGATTCTATTTACTACTGCATGTCAATTGAAAAAAGATACAACTTATAACAATTTTTTTCTTTTCCCAAAAACACGTATTTAAGATTCTGTGAACAATTTTCAAAAGTTCACAAAAGATGTCTTCGCGTTATGGAAATGTCAAGGAATGTCAATACCCCTGTCTCCATCAGATTCCTTGTCTTTATGACATAAAAACTCTCAAAGCTTTCGGATAGCGTTTTTCCAAATGGTTTGCTGAAGGTTCGGTATTCAATAGATGGCGGTGTTCATTAGAGGAAGTACGGTAGTTAAGCTTGATACTCTATCAACCAAAAGTATTTTAGTCAATACATGCATACTTCAAAGTTTCCCATCCTGAAACTTTCAAGGAAAAGCTTGTTTTTATTTATGCAAGAACTATTCAGTTTAAAGATAACTATTTGTTATTTTTGATTTTATGGTGAGCATTTCTCCCCTTTAAAGCATCAAATGTGTAAAAATCGAAAGAGACCTGCTATACCAATTTTTTGCAATCTTCTTGCTATGAATGTTTTTCAAATTTTACTGCTTTGGTGAAAATTCTTAAGATAAATTTTATCTTTTGCTTCTTATTTTATGCTTTTTCTTACACCTGAGAATTGTGGCAGAAGGGGTTGGGTATTAAAGGTTGGAAACCAAATAAGAAATTTTACTTACATCTTACTCAAAAAGAAATATATAATAAAGTTGTGGTGAAGTTGTTTGTTCTTAGTTATAAGGGATGTTGAGCATGTTTGTAATGTCACTTTCTTTTTCAGCCCAGAGCTTACTTCATATGAAAATGCTGGGTTTTTGGAGCTTGCAACTTCCTCTTGGGCAAACAGCATTATTACAAAGGGTTTCAAAACTACCCTGCAACTTACTGATCTAGGTGAACTCTCAAAAAAGCAAACTGCAAAACATAGCCTGAGTAAGTTTATGAGGTATTATGCACATGAGAAGTCAAAAAACAATGCTGAAGATGTCTCTCTTGGGAAGGTATTTTGGAGAACAACAAGAACAAAGTTTCTCTTGGGTATCATTTTCCTTATTGCATATCTATCATTGGAGTTTCTCAAGGCTGTAAGTTTCACAAGCAATTTAATGTCTTGCCAAGTGAATGCTGTACAAGTTCTATTCTTATAGCTAACAATGCTAACATATCCTTCTACAATTTATCAATTTTTTTGTTAAAGATTCTTTTATTGTTTAACACACATTTATTGAGGAAGTCAGTTGATGCAGCAAAATCCAATTTAGAGAAACTTCCATATGTAACAAACTAATGATCTTCGCCCCTTAAAAATGAGACTTCCTATGGTTTCCTTCAGAGTTTGTTTACTTCAGGATTCTGTTGGGGAATTGATATTTTTGATAAGATGAAAGGAAATAGTTTGCATAATTAATGAATATAGCACATACATACAATTTTTATTTGATAACTTATATTTTCTTCAGTGGCATCAAAACGAAATTCATATTGGGGGGGGGGGGGGAGCTGCCCTCTGTATTCCTTCTCATTCATTACACTGTCATTAAAAAAATATACTACTGTTTGACAATTTTTTGGGGCTCTAGCGCCCAAACCCCCCCCCCCAGTCCCCTGGTTGTGATTGCCCTATCTTAGCTAATGTTCCTTTCACTCAAGAAGAGATAGAACATTGCAAAAAATTAATTTTACCAAAACATATTTTTATTTTCTAGGCTGTGGTACTTAGAAAGGTGCTAGAGTTTGTAGAAAAGCCTACTGGATCGGTCACAGATGGGCTAATATGGGTAGGTTTGACCAGAATGTCAATTTCTGTCTTGATGAAGTTTTAAAAATTTTGGAAAATAGTTAAACAGAAACTCTTGATGAATTATGAAACACAAGGAAGAGGAACCCAGCATAAGTTTAAGCAATAAAACAATGTGTAATTTTTAAAATATATAATCAAATAGATCTTTGCAAATATTTTATGTATATATTAAATGTATAATGTTGTGGTTGATCACCAAGATGCTATTAAAGTCATATAAATTAATTAGTTGATTATTATCACCCCCCATATCATACTTTGGTGACGCCTTCATTCTTTTTATATTTAGTATTTTCATATAAAAGTCACGCCCATTATGGAAAGTCCAAAAATTTTATATTCAGGGTGATTCGATGTAAATGGCGTTAAATTTTTAGTGCATTTTTCAAAGCTAAGGACACAACCACTTTTCTCCAACTTATTCTAAATCATATTTTTGTCTGTATGTGACACTAATGTGGCAAAAATTAATATTAGTCAAGGAATAAGCAAACATTTAACAACATACTACTCAAAGCTTTTTCGTCTGATACTCCTTAAAGTATAAAACCTCAGAATAAGGGTCCAAAAGATGGAAAATATATACCCAGTTGTGGATTGAAATAGGCCAATCAGAAAAACGCAAGCACGTGACCGACAAAGTTGGCCAATCAGTGCTGCGTGCCTATAGAAAATTGCCACTGGAGTCCATAAGAGAAGAGAAAACAAACTCCTTCTGTCTACATGATGGCGGCTTTTTAGAGCATACAAACCAAAGAACTGGTCTGCGACAGTTGAGACGATAGGAGAGCCAGGATTCATTTTTCTTATTGATATTATGATCTACCGATTGGCGTTGCGTTTTCTTTTTTAAAGCTACGACGGAAAAAGGGAGGATGGAACAGCTTTTGGGTTATATACAAAGCTTTAAAGATTTAGGCCAATTTATGAAATATAAAATATAAATCCGCTGCCTACCCCATTTTTTGTGCCATGCTGATGACTATCAACTAATTAATTTTATATGGCCTTATGTTGTCTTTGACAACCATGGTGTTGACCACCCATGTTTTCCGCATTATGTGATTCCACAGTATAATACTTTTCAGTGCCGTCGGAACGAAATTCATATTGGGGGGCTGCCCATTGTTTTCCTCCTCATTCAGTACACTGTTATAAAGGAAACATACTACAGTTTGACAATTATTTGGGGGTACCGACGGGCCTGCTTTTGGAGCCTGGGCTATTTGGTCCTCCTGAAGTTTCTGCTTCGATTTGTCTTTTTGATAATGTTATTGCTGCTGTTGTGTTCTCTAGTTGATTTGTTTATAATTTTTATAATTTGTTTATAATCAAATCAAATAAAAAACTACAATCTGATTTCAATGGCATTTCAAATTTCTTTACACCCTCACTCCTCCACATTGTTTCACCTTCTTTTTTACTGCTTATTACCTGAAAACGTATAATATCAAGGTTGCAAGGTACATTGTTGTTTATCTCTGTTAAACAGATTTCGTTCCATCTAGGTTCACATCGGCTGCGACACAGGTTTCAAAGTGGGGGGCCAAGGGAAAATTTAACAATCTTGAAAAAAGATGTTGAACAAAGCTCTATTTTTTGCAAAAAAGTAGGAGGGGCCATGGCTCCCCGCCTCCTTCGTTGGAGGCCCTGCTTCATCTGTTCAATTTTCATGTTAAGAGCTAGAGCTATTTTAACATCCTCAATGTTTTTAGAGTTTGTATCAGATAGTGCAGTCACCTTGCAACAGAGTTGGTATTCCTTATTCAAGACGTGTAAGCTATGAGTTAAATGGTGATGCCAGCCACTAGGATAGGGGTCAAAATAAAACAAATAGGCCTCACTCTTTTAACTGTGTGGAGACAGCCTTTTATCAGCAAGAAATGTCTATTTTACCAAAGGGAGCAACCATTATTAACTTTTCGTTACAAAAGGCAGTTTCAAAATAATGAAATTATATCACAAAGGATAATGTGCTGAAATGTTACCCCCTCCATCGACATTTTTTCATTCAGTTTAGATAAAATACTAGCAAACTAAATCCTGCCCAGAACTGAGGAGAAGGGGGAATATATTGCTATATTGCTATCTAATGCAAAGACACCCAGAGTTTGCGTTAATTGATTTATTAACATTTTTTAGGTTGTTGCTTTGTTCCTGTTTGGAATTATTCGCTCACTTCTCATCAGCTGTGGATTTCTTATCATGCTGTTTGCTGGTATAGAGGCCAGGGCTGCTGCACTTAGTCTAATCTACAGAAAATTATCCAAGTTGAAATCTGTTGGAAACAAGTCTATTGGAGAGGTATTAACCAATGTTGTTTTCTGTCCCGTAAATTGTTGTTTCCTTTGATGATCTATGGGCCATACATTACCTCTTTGAAACATCAGAGCCATGTGGGCTAGAGACGTCTGGTTTTGCGTGCAGTAAGAAATCTATCACAGGGCACCTAGCTCGAAAGCTCAGTATAGTTCTTTCTAGGTGTGCAAAAGCTACACTTTTGATGAATATTTTTAGCAACTGTAGATCAATCGAAACTTGAATCTTTTCTGTTGAATGCTTTTTTTAAGAAATTGCATGTCTCTAGAATGGCAAGTTTTATCTGTTTTTTCCAGCTCGTCAATCTTTGTGCCAATGATACTCAGAGGATTTTTGAATGTTGCCAGTTCAGCATCTTTTTGTTTGGTAAGTTGATCCTCAAACATACAATCAGCTTTTTTTTGCAACTATCATTTCCTACAAAATGAAAAGATTTTCTGTAGCTTTTGCTTTTTTGGCTGTCGTATTTCCTTGTTTCCTGTCAAGAACAGCAGTCTTGGGTATCAAATGTTGTCCACTGACTCCGATATCTTCAAGTTATGATTATCATGTTTGATGTCTAAAGATAGTTATAATTGTTGACAATACTAACTACGATACTTGATATTTCTCGTGAAAACGTTTGTAACAATACCCTGCGAATGAACCTTTACGTCTCATAGTATTGAAATCCCCTTAGTTTATGTCTGTTAACGTCTCATATTATCCCCTTAGTTAATGTCTGTGAAGTACTGAGAATTAAGGTCAGTTCAGAAGAAAATTTATTGACTGAGGCGCTCAAAGAAAATAAACGGTTTCTCTACTGTGGTATTATCTATTTTAATCACCTCTGAACGTATAAACGTTCTGCTATGTCTCTGTATGTTTTTGCAGCTGCGTTGAAGCTATCAACCGACTTTCTTTTATGATCGTTCCGCAACGACATAAACTTCTATCAGATATTCCATAAGATTTCGCCACTGTAAAGCTTTTCGTCCGTAAATCTTTCCATCTCTACGATGCAAATGCGCGTAAATTATCTTCAGCCTTCTTAGAGAAGAAGAAATTATTTTTGCGTAGCAGTTCAATTTTTTACAATGACCTTCGACTTTCTTGTTTGCCTCGTAATCGCAAAAAGTATTGATTTCCTTCGCAATATTTTTAGACTTTGAGACTTTGCAATTGAAAATGTTATTATCGTTCCAAAAAAATTTGCTGCTCCTCATTTTTCAGTAATTATCTGTCATCTCTTTTAATGGGCTAAGGTTTATTGTATTGGTAAAATTTTTGAATCATTGGAAAAAGAATACAAAAATTAAGCTAGCTAACATACACACATTGTGTGACATTGCATCAATACAGCAGAGTACTTACCAATCTTTATGGTACAAAAGCGAGTTACTAGCAGGCGCGACCTGGCCCGGGTGGCAAAGAGGCGATCGGTTTGAGAGTTCACAAAAGGTTTGATAATATGAATGTTGATAACTTCTAATAAATTTTATTCTTTCTTTTATCTACAATATCTGCTAAAGTTCTACTAAAAATATAAAAATCACTATAATAATAACAGGTTAATTTACTATTTTAATGGTTAATTTGATAACCAATGTTAAAAATTAGTTTATCTAAACTGCGGGTCACTGCAAATCGCACATCGAGCCAACGAACATTACAATATCATAAAAAATTACATAAATACAAGTACAATAATAAGCAGTTAAATCCCGTTCGTTAAACGATTCAACAATCGTGGACCTAGCATACATCCCTGTCTTACCCCTGTCTTGCATCTAATCATTTTATTTAATTCCCTTACTTTTGTTATATAGCATACGAGTATCTGAATTGGTCGCCCCTCGGCTTTTTGCGCAAGTTCAAAATAAAAAATGCTTTTTGAAAATACACATGGTTTACAGTTTTCAACGCTTGCATCATAATTTAAATACATGCTAATAATACAAAAAGACTGTTTGTCTGCTATCTCTTTAAGTATACAGATCATTTTCCACGACATTCTCCTAAGTTATCTCCGCAAAATTTTTTGTCACTTAATCGTGTCAGTCAATTATTCGTAATGCCTCCTAAGACTTTGCATATATTTGTCAAAAACGATATTTCTCTGTAGTTCGATCTACGTATTCCGCAACACCGAGACTTTTCCACAGATAAGGTAATCAAGATGAATCGAAAACTCTGTTAAAAATTCTGATAAACACGGCACAAAGTAATTACAAAAAACACTATTAGGAGGTTTAACTGATTCACACAAAGTACTAAAGGTACAAAACCTGCATCCCAAATACTACCAGCCAATCAATTAACTTAAAACTTCAGTGGCTGTTACTACATTGGGTTTCGTCATTAAGCCTCGCCCTCATCCAGGCCCTCAAAGCTTCAGAGCCACCCGGCAATTAGGATCCGGCCAGATCGCCGCAGGCTACTAGCGTCAGTTGAAGAAAACAATTAATTAATGGCCCTTTCCTCTAAACTTTGATTTTACCCACTTTCAATGTTGTTTAGTTCTCAAACGTTCTCTGAAAATTAGCGAAGATATCTGTCTCTTCTAGGTGCACCATTTTTGGCTATTCTGATGTCCGTTTATATGTATCTAAAATTTGGACCATCTTCACTCATTGGTATTGGCATCATGATATTATTCCTGCCCATCCAGGTATGATTCATATGAAATTTTCTTATTAAGCCTTCATTTTACCTCAAACCTAGCAGCTTAACAATCAATTGATAAGCTTGCCTTTACCAATATATTTTTTATCTCCTTAGATATTTTCTTTGCTTTTAAATTGTTACGTGATCAGTGTATTCAACAGTTTACTGTAAGGGCTGCTTAAGATTCAGGAAGAACATCTTTACCAAAATATTTTTCATCTCCTTAGATATTTTCTTTGCTTTTAAATTGTTACGTGATCAGTGTATTCAACAGTTTACTGTAAGGGCTGCTTAAGATTCAGGAAGAACATCTTTACCAAAATATTTTTCATCTCCTTAGATATTTTCTTTGCTTTTAAATTGTTACGTGATCAGTGTATTTAACAGTTTGCTGTAAGGGCTGCTTAAGATTCAGGAAGAATATGTTATTGGGATCCTCTTTCTGTTTAGAGGATCGTTACCTGTCGTATTATGAAATCTACGTTTGATGCCAGAGTTCTTGCTTGTTTGGTTACAATTAGAAAGAGATTTATGTTCGATATTCTGTAAGCAGTTGAATAATAGTTAAAAGGTGTTACCTGAACTGGTATACATTTGCACGAGGTTTTTGATAACAAGGAAGAAATATTTTCGTTATAATTGAAAGTATGATGGGGTGTTTTTCAGAAAGCTACTTGTATTTGAATTTACTCGCTATATCTCATTTAGTAGGGCGTGTCAAGGCGGTCAGTTTGATGTATTGTGTTCTGTTTTTGGGCGTGGCTGTGATGTCATAGCTACGTCAGAAATGTGGCTCTTGACAAATCCGTGTCAGTACTTCTTTTTTTGACACAGAAAGAAAATGGATCCAAATAGTATTTTCTTATGTATTTTCTTCATTAAATTTTAGGCTTTGCTTGGAAAACTCATTGTTAAAACCAGAGCTAAAGTTATCCGTATAACTGATAAGAGGGTAAGCTGTCTTTTGTTTTGTGCCTTAGTTCCTAATGTTGTTCTGTATGTCCTGATTTGTTGTTCTCTAGTTCATCTTTTGCTTCATTTGTTTACTGCATTTCTATAAAGCAAACGTTTCCACAAAGACTCAAGAAATGATTCTCAAACTCATTTTCCATAACCTGACTGTACAACTAACATAATGTTAACAACTTAGGCTGTCGCAAATGGTTTCCAATGAACTTAAGATATAATTTTCTTTCTTCTCCGAATACTCATCGTTGATTTTGATATCCCTTCTGCTAATGAATCTCACATATTAATCACATGATATTTTCTGGTACTCAATTTTCTCCCTCATCTCAACCATATCAAATTAGACGGTAGTTGGAATTACTAAGCTGAATCACTTAGCCGTGGCATTCTGAAAACCCACGGGGCCAGATGCAGCCCCCTGCGCCAACACCTTAGGCCCGAATGTACGGGGAAGTATTCAAATTACACAGTCATTTGGGAGCATTCTTTAGGCATCTGCTGTATTGGGGCGGAAAGTTTTCCGAAAACGTATCACATTATCTAATGGTTCATCCTAGATTCCTTTTAAGCTCTTTGTGGCCTCATTGGGAAAACGAGATTATTTTTCGTGTCCCTATAAAACATTTAGTTTTCAGAGCGTTTACAACAAGTTATTTAGTGAACACTATATAGATGGAAATGCTATGAATTTGTTTTAAATTGTCAAAGTAAGTTAAAAACGGCAAGCCTGATGAGGTGGAAAAATGCAGAAAACATTAGAAAGCTGATTAGCAGTGACTTTAAAGACCCAATTATTTTTAAAAAAATAAAAGCTTTTCGTCTGACACTGCTCATAGTATAAACTTCCTGGCATAGAACTAAAACTCTAAGCCAGAAAATATATATACCAGGTTGTGGATCAAATTGGGCTAATCAAAAACGCGAGCACATGACTGCAATGACTGCCCAATCAGTGTATCTTGTCTCTTTATATTACCATTTTTTCTCTCCAGGGCAGTAGAATAGCCAATGCATTTTCAGCTAACCTTGCTGCAAGTTCCCTTATCAAGACATATCTAACGAGTCATGCCATGTTGTATTGTTGTCAGTTCAGTGTTGTCGTCATTTTGATATGTTTTTTGCTTAATTCCTGTTTTCAATTAACAAGGTAAAAATGGTCAATGAAGTCATCACATGGATTAAACTGATCAAGATGTACGCTTGGGAAATGTCATTTTCCAATGTGATAAAAGGTTGGAATTTGAGCAGCTGTACTGTTATTGATTGCTTTGTATTAATGAACTGTAAAGGGGTACTTCTCTTTCGTCCATAAAGAAGCTAATAGGAGAGTTTGATGTTTTGTAAAAATCGATTGTGAGGTACGATAGATCCATATTTTTTTGAAAAGTCTAGAGCAATTTACCATGTCAAAGCAGAATTCTTCAACACATGAATATGTACCAATATGATGATTTCTAATTGAGTATTTACCTCTAGCCCTAAAACAGTAGAGCATTTCTTCTAATGTCGGCTATTCAATGTCAAAAATGTGATAAAATCATAAAGACTTTATATGTCTCTTGACAATATATTTTTTGTCCATTGGACGTTTCCCCATGTGCGCATGCATGGATTTCTCATAGCCTATTCTGCGCTTCCAGAGCTAAGATCTAAAGAGAAGCGGTTGCTCGCTGGTTTACTGTTAATGCAGGCAGTGAACATGTCCATGGCAACATTACTCTCCTCCATCGCCCCAATTGCAACATTTGCAGCTCACATTGCATTTGGAAACAACCTTACTGTTTCTGAGGTGAGTCAATAAACGGTTGAAATAGCGACCATAATATTTGTATGGCTGGGGAGGATAATTTTTAAGGGCAAGAAATATCTCCAGTGATCAAGCAATCTTAACAACGACTTCATAACTATCGAAATAAAATAAAATTAAAGTTTTTCACGTTTTTGTGTGAATCTCTCGGTATATGAACAGCGCCAAATGTTGACTGTATATTTCATTAACTGTATTACCAATTTACTGTATATTTCAAAACAAGATTTTTTACAACCTGATTTCAGAAAATCTTCCCAGTATAAAGAGTTTCAAGTTAGCCAATTCAGTCTATACATTCATTTGCAAGCATTTTTAAAAATGGAAAGAGTTGTTCGATTTTAGAACATGGTTAGCGAGAAGGTAGTAAGCTTTTTCCTTGCCTTTAGATATTAATTTGGAATTTTTATGGCTTTTTACTCTACTATTTTGTACTGAACTGTACATTGCCCACAGGCTTTCACCATCATTGTTTTGTTCAACATCTTCCCACCAACTATTGCCCTTCTTCCAATTGCGGTGCGTGGCTTGTCCGAGTCAATCAATGCCATAAAACGCTTTCAGGTAAGAAAACTTCATCTGAACTGCTGTCTTGTTTGTTATTCCAGACTGGTATACCGTTTACTTTCACTATATCAGATCTATTGATTTTCTCAAACGATGACGTCAAAAAAATATGTTTCTAGGGTCTTTGAATTTTGATTCCATAACCTAAAGTGCGTCGTGAAATACCTCTGAATATGCAAAATCAGCTAAAGTTATTACGAACTGGCTCTTATGGCCACATGAGCGCAGGCTCTTGCCCTATCAAACCTCTGTAACTTGGCCTCCGTTCATAACTTTATAAACAGAGCCAATATAACTGCTATCCGTTAGCAAGCTAACAAGCTGTTTTATCTCCACCGAATTCTAAAAATAGTTTTTTGTGACCTCACACTTGAGAAATCTATTGCAATGTGCAAAACATTCCAAATCTCTCATAACCCTATGATTTAGGTAGAATAGTGATTATTCGTGCCTGTATGCAACATTCCTTTTTTATTTGTTTTATTGAATCTATTTCCGTAAATCAAAATGTAAACAGACTAGAGTGTTGCGCTCAAGTGACATATTTTCTTTTCAGTAACATGGAGCAACTAAATTCTATATTAAATTAAATCAAAACGTAAAGTTGGTTTTTTAAGATTGTGATTGTGTTTATGCCATATTTTTTAACATCCATGTGCAGAAACACTGTCCATAAATTCTACAGCTCAACCATACATTTATAATGCCGCCCACCCATAAACAAAAAATTGAGCATTTTTCGGATAGTTCTTTCGTTCTGTCACAGACAAAATGCAGTATCTTAATAAACATGTCCTTGTATGAAGCAAAATTTTTTTCAAAAATTGGCTTTTACTTATTTTGTGATTTTTTCATAATCATTTGCTGCTTTAAAGTGATTAAGGAGGATGGATAATTCGATTAAATGATAGTGGTTTTTCAAATATTGAATGTTATCCTTATGTGCAATACTTGTCTCTTCGGATGTTTTTATTTCTTTTAATTTTGAGTTCAAACAGCTCGCTTTCTTCGTGTAGAATCTTATGAAACTCGAAGAATTTGTTCCATTTGAAAATGAGCCTAGCGATTCGTCTTTGGCAGTGAGTCTTCAAAAATGTGACTTTGCATGGGTAAGTTATGCCTTTTCTTTTCAAATTTTTCCGATGTTCATGTATTCAGGTCTTGTCTTTAAACATAATGAAACTCTATATCCAAACGATTCCAACTAAACAGATAATTTAAGTTCAATTCAGTTAGGTTTGATTTAAACACTGACTCGTATAAAGTATCTGTTTTGATCCAAGAAGATCAAATTATATGGAGCCAGATATTTTTCCATCTGTTTTCTCTGTTGCGAATCGTGGGAAATTTCTCTTTGAATTGTACGTATTTTGTATTAAACGGGTAATATTACTAGGCATATCAAATTCTTATTATACAAGATTTTGAATCTCAGCTTCAAAACCTTTTTTTAATCTAAATTCTAAATTAGAATATACCAGAAGATGAAATGAAAGAAAAAGGGAAGAAGAAAAAGACATCAGAAGCGCAAGAATCCAGTCAAGAGGCCAACGTCTACACAAATGGTTTGCCTTTTCATTTATTTTTTGGCATTTAGTTCTATGCTCAGCAGCATTTTTACGGTTTTGATTCCAAACTTGTAGATTTAAATTGTGCAACTACAATATGATAACCCAATAGTATTTTATTGGATACTATAGGAGCAGTAAGGGTGTATTTTAAGTCTCCAGTTGGTCAAGAAATATAGCAATTTTTGTATACGATGAAGTTTTGATTTTTTTGGAAGGTTTTTGAAACAGCAAACAACAAAATATTTTTTTAAACATCCAAGCGAAACAAATTTTTATGGAAATTTTTTCCTTCAAAAATGAAACTATGAAAAGAAGGGAAAGTATGAATTTGCAAAGTTGAATGTGGTAAAAATGAATCCCTCATAATGGGGACTCAAACACTGTTAGAACCTATCCACATGATTGATCCTATTTTCAGGACACCTGCGCTCTTAACTCCTTTATACCTCTCTCTCCATTGATCGCAGCAAAGTGAAGCAAATTCCCCCATCTTTAGCTCAATGGGGAGTTTGCTTCATTTTTTTTGCTGTATTTTTTAGGTAAAAACGGAGACACTGAGCCCAAAGTTCAGTTCAAGAATACAGACGGTCCAAAGCGACATGGACCTGTACCAAAAGGAATCACGCCCTTGGAACTCAAACTCAGCCCGACACTTTACGGCATCAATCTCGATGTGAAAAAGGTAAAGTGTTTTGTCTGTTGGTTAGACCGGGGAATTATCCTGGAGATGTTATAAATAGACCGGGGAATCATACAGCATGAAGGAGGCTTATATTTGCTATAGGTTCTGCTTACAACCATTTCAATGCATATCATATAACTTTTTTATCGGATAACTGATCTTTAAAGCTTACAGTTTTGAGCTTTTTGATTTCTTTTCAATTTGAAGGCATAATTATGTTAGTAGAATGGAATCTCATAAATGTCAAGAAGGCAAAGAGTTAGAGCACCGCTTCTTGCCTTCAAAGCCTAAACAACATTACCTGAACACCTGACCTCGCTTAACCCTTGCTCTTTTTCCGATTCTTGCTTTTTTCAGAAGTGCTTATTTACCCGTTTGTTGGAGATTTTTTGATGCCATCCTTGTTGGAAAGTGCGAGTTTATCTTTTTCATTTTCATCCTTATTTCATTTCGTTTTATGATTTCTTGTTAGGGTTCACTGGTGGGAATCTGTGGTCGTATTGGAAGTGGAAAGAGCTCGCTCATTCAAGCTGTTCTTGGTCAGGTAATTACCGAATTTTTCTAACAAATTTTAGCTTCCAACTTCAATAACCAAATCCTTGGTATCTACATACCTGTAAAAACTGGCTGGTAGTATGCGTCATTCATACTTTGTACTAAGTTGTTACGCAAAACTGGGTAGATGAAATCACAGATGGGCTTTATGTTCTTAGATAAACATATTGTGGAAAACTGCAAACAGTTGACGTTTTTATGCAGTGTCATAATACGACTCAAAAAAATGAAGCGCCCATAACCTGATCGCTCTCAAAATCTTCTTCAATACTCATATAAGATAGAACGACAAAAACCAATAAAGGTATAAAGATACAGTATGGACATGCACATCAACCCGCAGTCATTGAATTTTTAAAAAGGCTTTAAAAAAAGCAAACATTTTTAGTCATACTTATAAGTTATGTACCACCAAAAGACTGTCTGTCATAAAGTGCTCGATACCGTATAGGCAAGATTGTACACGCTATTTGGTGTATAGAACAGGACGGTTCTAAGTTGCTTCTCTGATTTTCATTCTAAATGCGATCATCAGGCAACTATACACTAAGTAACGTGTCTGTATACATATTTAACATATGTAACTCTTACATGCAGGATTTTCGTATTTCTGTCAAATGGTTACTGTTTGTGACAGCAGAGGTTGACTTTCATCTTGGTTTGGAAGTTTAATAATCCCTGAAAAATGTTTATATTACTGTAAAACACTTTCTTTTTATCTCCTTCTTGGCCCTGTAATGTAGACCTGTCAGTTTCCAACAATGCTCTCCCAACTGTAGCTGATCACACGCCACCCTAAATAATTAAATGATTGAAAGTTGTAACTTGTTTCATAACTAAGCGTGTGTAAATGCTTGTATAAGATGTATAAATAAAAGGTTTGTTTTACACTTTATAAATAATTGTCATAAATGTTACCCCACTGGGCTTCTGTTGATTCTAGATGAATCTAACTTCTGGTAGCGTGGAAGTGGAAAAATCTATTGCATATGTACCTCAACAAGTGAGTTATGGTCTTTTTGATATTGGTATAAAACCTTATCGTATCAATACTTAAACTTGATTCCAAAATATTTGCTAAAATATTTTACAACTTTATATCGTTGCTATCAACCAAGAACATGGCAGCAAAACTTAGTATGCCTTAAAATGTATTTTTCCAGTAATTTTCTAGATAACAGAAATTGCAAAGAAAGATCATTGATTAAAAAACCACATTAAACATTTTTTGTTATTTCTAGAAAGTCACTTGTGAATTTTGACAGTTTTTCCTATTAACTTGTGGTGGAGACTTTGCTAAATATTTTTACACCCCTAAATAGCCATGTTTTTCTCCCTTATTATGTTTTACTCATCCTTGAAGCAATAATGTGATTTCAATTTCGCAAGCCAATTTAGAGTGCTGTAAAAGCTGAAAATACTCAATGAAGACAGGCAGTGTGAGACCGTTTCAGCTTTTATAGACCTTGATAGACTCTTGTTCTGACTCACGCAGTTTTTATCGACCCATATTTTGCCTTATGTTCGTTTTGAATCCTATGAATAGATGATCACCGTTTTTTTGTTCGTGTAGGCATGGATTATTAATGAAACTGTGAGGAGTAACATTCTTTTTGGTGAGGAGTACAACGATGCAAGGTCAGTGCACCTCGGATTAGCGTTCCATGTTTTCCTTTAACTCTTTTTATCTTAAAGGTAGCTCTCTAGTTTTCACTGTGAAATCGGTTCCCTCCCCCAGATTAACTGAAGTGATTAATTATGAAGTATGTTTACTTCAAAGAATCAAAGTATGATTTTCTAATTTTTCACAAGTGGATTGTTTTTCTTTTCAATTTGGATTTAGATTGAGTTCAATTTGTCTCCCCAATTGGTCACAATGAGCTAGTAACTTAGACCTATCACCTATCTTTATAGACCCCGAGTTTCATTTATTTAGGAACTTTCATTTGTAAAATATCACAACGCTATATTTAGCATACGAGCATTGCAATTTTCGCAACTGACAGACATTGCGCCGAGAGGTCTGTTTAAGCTAACCGAAGGGCAAAGTGATTAATATACAGTAGAAACCCGCATAAGAGAACCTGTTTTTATAAGAGCCTTTAGGCTGAAATATTAACTTTCAAACCACCTTAATAAGAACCCCCAAGAAGCTGAAACTTGTCAAGGTTCTTATATTTATATATAAGAATAAACGTTTTTTAAATCTAATGACACTGGTTTTTAAACCATATTCTTATACCCTATTGACACTGGCAAATTAAACCAGCTTAAAGTAAATGAGGTTATGGTATGTTGCATTTTAATTGGACAACCAAACAAGACAAATGCATTTGATTGGTTGAAATTTATCATGAAAAATATATCTGTGTCAGTGAGAATTCTTGCGGTGGAAACATTGTTAATGTGTGCAGAACCTGTACGTTTATTAGAACCTTACGGGCAGGAATTTAAAATAGCAGCCTGATAATTACCTATTTAGGCTACCAGAAAATCATAGGTTCTTTTATGCGGGTTTCAACTGTACGTTATTGATTTTGTTCAAAATGCGTGTTTTTTGCAATTGATTTTCTTTATAGGTACAAAGAATCTTGCAGTATGTGCGCTCTCAATAAAGATCTTGAAGCATTCGAAAGCGGAGATCTAACTGAGGTATTCTTTCTTTTTAAGCGAAGCACTTAGGAGATAAACATGATAACCTAAAGGCACTTGAAAGATCTACATGTGATAATAAAGCAGGGGTACAGTGGCTGGAAGGGGGGGGTGGGGCAGAAGGGAGAGCACACGATTTGTTAGAAAATTTCGGAATTATGCTTCTTGTTCTAGACCCCTCCCCCAAAGAAAGATCAAGACTTACTGCGCCCCTGCCATCAAAATGTTCTACAGGCAATTGTCGTTAATTTAGGAACTAACATGTTTTTAACCTTGTTTTAGCGTGTCTATTCTTTTAGCATGATTAAAGGGGGAGGGGGATAATTTTTTAACAAGCTACAATTCCCTCAACCTTCTCAAAGCTAGTTGCGACAAAAGCATCCTAACCCCAAAGCAACATATTTTGATTTTTTTGGGAACTAAGAGGGTGAGGGAAAGTGCTCCTTTTCCTTAGAGAAATTACAGTTTATGATAAAGATCTGCGTTATTGACTTGCTTGTGTTCTTGGCAACATTCCTTCGTATTAAAGTGTTGGTCAAAATAATACTTCCTGATTAGTAAATAAAGGCTGGCTGTAGTGCTCATATGTGCGACCTTTTGAACTCGAGCGCAAAACAAAGCTTTTTATTTGTTGTCTCTCATGTCTAAATCTAATGTTTTAGTCTTGTTTCTCCCTAAGTTTATTGTCATTGGAAATTGTTTACTTTTGCAGAATAGTGATCCTTCAGAATCATTATTCTTAGTCAACCAAATCATCTTTGCATCTATCCCCCAAAAAAACTGAAGGATCCATATAAAAAGTATGTTTGTTACTTTTGACAAACAAGCATATTGAACAATGTCCGTTCCATAGAAGCCTGAAATTACCCAATACCGGACACTTTAAAATTATGGAAAAGTAATTCGTTTCGAAATGAACCAAACCTTATATAAATGACCCTCAGTCAACAGACAACTTCCTACGACAGACTCTAGCTCCAATTCATAGTTATCCGCATTAAAGCGGTTTCTCTGATAAAATGATGAACATTTTCCTAACCAATCAACGGTTTGCGATAAGATTATTTTTGAATGTTTTTCTCTGTAGATTGGTGAAAGAGGGATTAACCTTAGCGGTGGGCAGAAACAGAGGGTCAGCCTCGCAAGAGCTCTGTATTCCAATTCAGTAAGAGATTGTATACATAAATTGTCAGCTGTCTTCTCGGTTAAAAACTGCGCCAAACGAAATTCACTCATCTGCGACACGACAATTGAACAGAATCAAATTGAACTAATTAACTTAGGCCTAATCTGTTCCCAATCGTTCACATTTTCTTTTTAATTTTGTACAGTCGTGTTTCTGATAGTTTTGTACATAATTTTGTACATAGATTTGACAATCTTTATCAGGTTGCTAATTAAAATAGATAAACCTGGAGGATAACCGTGGAATAACCTGCTCCAAAAATGCTCAAGGTAGCCTATTTACGAGTAATAAGATGCAAATGGAATGATGCACGAGAATCCTGCTCCTTATTAATGATATTTATACGAGAAAATTATATTTCCTGTCAGATTCGCATCTCCTTTTAGTTTCTTTATACTAGCTAAATTATTATAACTATATCTAGGCCATTTTTTTGCTACTTTTATACAACTACTATTCTTTTTTCATATACCATGAAAGGTTTTTCTCTTATCCAAGGTAACTGACAGTTGTTATGTACATCTCATTCTTAAGCATTCAGCATTTAAGAAGGACTTGATTTCAGAACCACTTTGATAATATAAATGATGGTCGAGTTCCTGGCTTTCAAATGTTGTGCTATGTTATAAAGAAGTCATCTTTTTCGTAGGAGTTCTATTTGCTGGATGACCCATTAAGTGCCGTCGATGCTCACGTTGGTCAATATATCTTCATGAATTATGTGAAAAAAGGACTTAAGAGCAAAACGTGCTTGTTGGTGACACATCAACTGCAGGTAACAATTTTCTGCAAGTTATAAAATAAAGCCTTATGTCAATGCCTTGAAAAATTGCTAGTGTTCCACGCCCAAATCGCACTCCACTCAAATGATTACTTGAGGAAGGTTATCAAGATGAGGCAAAGTAACAATGTAACTACAGATTCAGAGGGAGGGCGAGCTGATTCCGGAATGTGATTGAAGTGATAAAATGCATGAAGTTTCTTTAAGATGCTGAGTACTCGCCTCCCATCAAAAAACGTCAGCCTCTAATTTTCTCCGCGGTTGCCAAAGTGCCCTAAATCCTATTAAAAAGCTGATTTTTATCTTTGATCATTTTAACCTTTTGATTTTACTTTGTAAATTGATGGTGGATCCAGCACCACGTATCGCCTTGCGACTGTGATTAAAGAAGCAAGTTTGCAGTCTCTTATTGGCACACGCCTATCCTGCAGCCTCTTTTTGATCAAGTAGCTTAGTCATGTTCAAGCAATTGTCTTCAGGGGAAGTCAAAATCTTTGACCATTGCAGTGTTTCCTTGGAATGAACTTATCTTTCAAAATTGCTTAACTCGTATTGTCATAAGGCATTTAATAAGATGTTTATTTTTCTTCCTTAACCTGAAGTTCCTTAAATTCCTTCGTTGATGGGTAGGAAACCTTTCAATTGCTTTGAAATATTTTTACTGGCTAAAATATTTTTAATGTGATACTAACAAATCATTGGTATAAAATACTTCTTTCATTTTTTTCTAGTACTTGGAAGATTGTGACGAAGTAATATTTATGGAAAATGGTCGGATTGCCGAGAAAGGAACCTATAAGGATTTATTAGCAGCTCAAAATGTAAAATCTCTAGAATTTTTCTTCGTTTTTCAACTTTCCTTGTAATCAAACTAAATAACACAAATCAAAGCTGTTGAGTGCTTTGAAATAAGTGAGTGCCTAGAATGCTTTTAATGTCAACAAAAACCCATAACATGAGCGAACAAAGTTAAATGACTGCTAATCTTCGAACTAAATGATTTGCAGGAAAGGTTTTTACAACCTTCGTTGCAAATTTTAATATGGATAATGGTATAAACCCTTTACATATTTTATGATTGCAATTTTTTGATAAAGATTTTTAACTCTTCAGAGATCCAAAATTCCAAACAGATAATAAGTCTCTAGAAGCGCTCGACCCGAACCATTAACAAAGGTCATGCATCCAGTTTTTTGCAACACGATTAAATCATGATCAATACTAATATATCAATTATTTCTAAAGGGTTTTTCGAAGATGATTCAAGACTTCAAGCAAGAAAACCAGAAGGAGGAGCAGAATGAGGCAATTGAAGCCAATGGGCTTGGTCGAATGATATCTGTCAAGAAAGAGAATACGACACCTCGTAAAACAAGGAAAAGGACTGCCTCGACCTCTTCTTCAAATTCAAGCGAGTTGAATTTTGGTTTGGTTGGCAATGATGGCGATGTGGTCGTTGAAGTTGAGCAGAATGAAGAAGAAAAAATAGAACGAGGTATTTACTACTATAGAAATGTGCTAATGTTTTAGTGAAGTATATTTGTTTGTAAATTAAAAGTATATGTGCATGGATTGTGCTGCATTCCTGTTAAAGAGCTTTCGGTTAACTCGGCTTGCTTTGCTAAAAGTTTATGTGGAAATATTAAGAATGTATTCGAGAATTTGCCTTAACTTGAAGTTGCAATTTCAAGTTAATAATGAAAACATAACATATTACACGCCAGTTAAAGTTGTTTTTTTTCATAAAAGGGAAAATAATAGCAAAAGAGGAATCCGCTGTTGGCTCTGTTTCATGGAAAGTTTACGCTACATTTATGAAGGCCTCTGGGGGTAAGAGCCTCTGCTTCTCTTCTTGTTTCATTTCTGCGTAGCTGGAGCACCCTCTGACTTAAAGGAGATATTCAGTTTGCAATCAAAATCCATGTTAATCCAGACTTGATGATCCATTCGACTTCAAAAGGATTTCCTTTTATCTTCATGTCATGATGAAAAGTGGAAAGGTTACAGTTTTATATGTATGCTGTATATGTAATGTAATCAATCACACTAATCTGTAATACCCCAGTTAGACATACCATCAAACCATCGTTTAAAAGACTGAACATATAGAGAACAGACTGATTGGCCAAAAAACACCTCCAAGGACAGGCTGCAAACTCCTGAGAAACAAGCTTAACAACACCAGTTGTTTTTACGCACAAAATAAGCATAAGTCGAGTTGATAGAACACCAATTCCGGCCACATAACTATTTGTTTATGTTTTGTAAAATTATTTTTCGATTCATATGTTGATTAAGATGTGCTCCTGGGGGGGGGGTGCTCAGCCTGCTTTTAGGGTGGGCAGACTTGAATAAATGACAAAGCCTGCAATTCGCTTTTGAGTTTAGACTCGTGAAAATTGAAAATGGTTACTCTGGAGAAAACCGATCCCGAGAAGTGACCAATAATGTCAGCACAGCGACCTTTTGTGTTTTGTGGTTAATGAGTCAGTGTTTCTTCTCGAATTTTCATTATTTTATTAGTCAAGGGGACATAATGAATTAAGGGGACCAGAAATTCTTGAAACTGTTTCTAACTTTTTGAAATATTTTGAAATAAGGAACATCTCTATATCATCTTATCTCTTTATGATGAACGTATGAGACCTGAATATTTTCAAGTAACTTTCTTTTTTCAATTTTTAAAGTGAATTTGTTATATTTGTATCGTTTATAGTTAGCAATTGGTTTGTTGTCAATATTTGCGCTGACATTTGCTGTTATATTAGTAGTTATATTACTTTCTTTGTTTTGTATTGTTAAGGTCATTGGCCATCTTAGCTTTGAAATCTTTTGTTAAAATAAGCAACAGGGTCCGGTCTGTAGCTATGTCACAGATATTTCTATCTATCTTCCATTAATTTCTCAATCAGCCACCATTTTTTTGCAGGTTACTTTATTTCCGCTCTTGGGTTAATCATGCAAATATCAGTTCTTGGAATTATAACTTTCGGAGAATGGTGGCTTAGCAATTGGCTAACGACTGCAGAGAAACCTGTTGCTGAAAGGATTGGGGTGGGTTTGAATTATTCTACCTATATACAGTGAAATCTACTTAAATGGGCGCAACTCAACATATAATTTCGTTCCTGTGAAAGCCTTTAAGAACTTCCATGCAAGAGACAGTGAATCTTGTCTTACAGTTATCCGACCTTTAAGGGGGTTTCATTGTATGTCAGCAAACCTGCTTCCTTTTTCGATTAAAACAAAAGTGGACCAATCCTAAAAAGAATAACGGGTCGTTAAGATTAAATTGCATTAAACTTCGTATAATTGGATTGTCTGGATTACACTTTGAGCTTTGCGCTCTTAAATTCACGTAAAAGTTTTGAGCCCCATCCGTATATGTTGGACCATGTGTTTACCAACAGTCTTTAAGTATCCCAGAGCGGGGAATGTAAATGACTGATGCGTAGAAAGCCGTAGTGAAAAAACTTTGTGCTGCAACATGTGGATTAAGTATACATTTGTTGTGCATCAAGAATAGCATGGATCTGTAACTGCACGCATTTGACAAGTTTTCTAAAAGTAGAGTAGTATTCCAGCCAGCCCTTGAGTTTTCGTTATAAGTTCTTTAGTAAAATAAACGCTCTCTTTGCAGGGTAATGTGACCATGGTCGTGTTGAGCCTAGCTGACCATCCAGAGACGCCCTTTTTCATGTCGATATACGTGGCCGTCGGTGGCGCGATGTTTTTACTCCAGATGATCGCCTCAGTCATTTTCGTGTGCTTGTTTATCAGTGCTTCCACGAATCTACACAACATGGTTCTTAAGTCGATTCTTAAATGTCCTATGAGGTTTTTTGATACCACACCAACTGGGCGCATTTTGAACCGATTTTCCAGAGACTTGGATGAAATAGATGGGCGCTTGCCGTGGACAACGGAAGCCCTTGTGAAGAATAGCTCAAGAATCATCATTGCACTGGTTTTCGTTGCTGCGATATTCCCTTGGTTTCTTATTGCCATCGTACCGTTAGCTCTTCTGTTCTATTATTTGTATTGCATGTTCAGAAAAACCAACAGAGAGATGAAGCGTCTAGACAATACGTCTCGTTCCCCTGTTTTCTCTCATATAACAGCCTCGGTTCAAGGCCTCGCAACTCTTCGTGCATACAAAAAGACTGAACAATTCCAAGATATCTTTGACCATCATGTGGATAGGAACTCGTTGCCTTTTTTCATGTTCTTTTTATCGTCACGTTGGTTTTCAATACGACTGGATTTTCTCTGTGTTGTTACATCGACAGTCACGGCTATTATCGCTGTAGTTACAGCTGGTTCTTCTGTCTCTCCTGCATTGGCTGGACTTGCAATCATGTACAGCTTAAGGGTAAGCGACACTCTCTTTAGAGATGTTCTGAGTAACTTATCATCGACTTTTAATCCTAATAACAAACAAGAATTCAATGTTGTTGTTGCTGTTGATGCTGTTGTTGTTGTTGTTGCTTTTGCAGTTGTTCTGTAATGGCTTATATGAATTTGATAATTCAAATTTGAAGTGGAGAGGCAACTTACCCAGATTCTCAAGTCTCACCCGTCACATTCTAACCTTAATTTCAACCTGACATTGATCCTCTCTAGTCAAATGGAGCAATAAAGTGAATGAGGATTGATCAGTTGGTTTAATTATGGAGAACAAGCACTAAGTGCAGGATTTTTTAATTTGCTTTTCATAAACTTTTGTCATTGGGAAATTTTTTATGCGTCCCTGGATGCTGCTCTTTGAAACTCTTTCCACATATACCGTCAAAATAAAAAAATTTTCTTGTAGCCCTCGCTGAGCTAATATTGTCACAGGCAAATCATATCAAATCTTATATATGCTCATATTTTGCGGTCTATGGTTATTCTTATGTGTACTTTTTGCAGATTACGGGACTGTTTCAGTTTACCTGTCGACTTGCAGCAGAAACTGAATCTAGATTTACAAGTGTGGAAAGAATGGACCACTACGCAAGGTGTTTGGAACAGGAGGGGCCATTTGAAAAGGGAGATGCACCAGCGAATTGGCCGTCGGATGGAAGGATTGAGTTCGTCGATGTTAAGGCAAGTAAAATGTCAATTAATTGTTTCTTAGGCGAAAGGGTTCAGCTGTATAATGACAAAAGAAACGAAATTATTCTTGTTTTTGCAATTACAATTAAATTTTTGCAGTTAAAGCCAGTACTTTGTCTTAAGATAGAGATGGTTATGTAGAAATTAACACTGTTTTTGATGAAGGTCAACTGATATCGGGAAGTCGAATGTACTTCTTCTGCCTTTGCAAAATTTCACCGCGCGGAAAAGCTGTGAGCTATTTGACAGCAAGAAATAGCTTTTGAATTAGTTATAACCAACAGCGGTAATCATGTAAGAGCTAATCTGTCAGAAAGGCAACTTGTTTTGAATGTAATACACCGCTCAGTGACTGCAAATTGTTCCTGCTTACTGAACTTGACAGTAAGCGGATTTTCGTTTATCTTATACATCACCGAAGGGTCTTAACCTGTTCCCATCGGAAATAGTTCATGCTGCTCTCGGGTGCCACATCAAGGGTCTTATACCCAACAGACAGTTGAATTATTATAACTGAAATTTCCTTTGAAGCTATTTGAGAAAATCTGCGAGGAACCCTTAGGTGCTATCAAACAAAAAGCCATGTAGTGAAACGGAAAAGTGAAAAAGGTTGGATATTACGAATTTCGTCAATGAATCAATCATTTGGACAAAGTAGAACTATTGGTTTCCTCAATTTTGATTTTCTTTGGTCAAAAAAATTAAACCTAGTACACACATGCTGTAAATGATATTGTAAACAGAACACACTTATAATTTCTTAATTAAATTATTATTCTTCTTAAATTCAAAACGCTTTTCTTCCAATTCACGTTATAGAAGCTGTTCTGTTTGGTTTGTTTTCACAAAAAGCTGAAATCGCATTCATATTTGATACGAATGATCCCTTTCGATCGCTTATCGACAAGAGCCAGTTTGTAAGAAAAAGATGTAACGATCAAGGTTCTTCTTATGACGGTGAATAACCGGTGTATAACTAGCCCGTTGTTGGAGCGATGGGCTAGGCCAAAGGGCCCCGAGTAAGTTACGCACAGAAAGACTAACTTATATCGTGATCAACACATACTAATGACATAAACAGAAGCTAATTAACAGGACAATACGAGCCTCACACTAAATGTTGAAAGACAAACACATATGACGTTTTCAGACGTTTTCAGAACTTCGTTCGTGATCAAAACACAGTTCAACCTGAACATAGAAGGAGGTAACGCTAAAAAGGGTCAGTTTTCTTGGACTGAAAAAGAAACCACTCTACTTTTAAAAGTAGTATTCGACTACAAAGCTGCAAAGCTTGCAGATTGACAGGATTGGGAAACTGTGAGGACAAAGTACGACGACACATCGTCAACGTTTCGTAATAATTCTTCAACACAGTAGTCTGTCAACTTGATGTTCGGTTTTCTGGCGCCAGAAAGGCACGGATTACACATTCAAACGCACGGACTACCTCGAAGTGAAAAATATTCTGTCTCACTTTCGACAAATAACGTAGACGGATCGTCGTTTCTAAAAGACTAAACACTCCAAGAACAGGCTGAACACCCCAAGAACACCCCAAGAACACCCTAAGAACAAGCCATTAAGCCGCTGAACACCCTTTAAAACATATCAAAATCGGTATGTCATTCGAAAAATAATTTGATCAATCAATCAAAATTAATTTTGGGGCGGGAAAGGACCTGATAAGTCTAATGCTGTTGGTGTTGTTACAACCAACTGATGTTTTGCGCGCCAGAAGTGTGAACGGGGGTTTGTACACGCGGAGCAAATTCGAGTTTGACTCCCTTTGTGCATTCAAGTCAGTGGCGCACACATAAAGGGCGAGGGGAGGCTGTCGCCCCAATACTTTTGAGGACAATAACCTTTTGTTCTAAAACAATATGAACATGTGACATTATCTTATTAAAACAACAGGCTTGCCCCCAGAATTTGACTAAGTGACCACCCCTTCTGTTTGTCGTCAAAATTATTTGGGGGGTGGGGGGCTTCAGTCCACTTGCCCCCGGGAAATTATGGTCCTGCATTTTGAAAATTGTTGTAAAGCCCCTATAGCTTATCTGCTACCATGGTCCCTGGCAACAAAAATTAAAATTCCAATTCATTTTATAATCAGCAACTTAGTTACAAATTCATAACAATAAGATAGTAATATAGTCATTTACAGTCCATGTAACTAATAATTTTTACAATATATAGTTGCCTAGGAAGGTAAGAGGAACCGCAACACCCACAAAAACAAACAGTTTTCCGATAAAAGCCCTTAAAACTGTGCCTTAACCGACGACTAAGCAAAAGCTTGGGGGCGTTTGCCCCAAAACCAACGCAATTTCTGCCACATACATACCGTAAATCCTCGAGTTAGCCCCCATGGGTGCTTATTCATTTTTGATATTTTTTGTATGGGGGCTTATTCCAGGTGGGTTCTTCGACTTATACAAGGGGAGGGGCTTATAAAATTATTGAAGACATTAAGAAGATATTATTAAAAGATTTCGTTTATTTTAGTAGTAATTTTTTATGCGCATTTAATCAATTATTACCAAAAGTATGAATTTTTGCGGTACTTAAGAAAAAGCGCCAAAGGCAACCTTAGATGGCAAAAACCAGCAAACTGAGGGGTCCGATTCGAGCATTAACGGCAGCAGCGGGGGCTTATTAATAATTTGTAGTTCTAGGGTGGGGGCCAATTCGAGGATTTAGTGAGATTATCATGACCCCATTCGAGCACGGGCCCCAAAAATGTGCCCCTCCTAAGCCCTCTTTCAAGTCGCAAACTGTGGTCCTGCTGCTACCCTCTAACAAGTCCAACACTGTGCATTTTCTGTTTCATTTGTCAAAAAATTCCTTATAAAAAACCTCTCCAGCCTGCGAGTGCACCCGCTGGAGACGTCAAGAGAGGAGCTGTGTCTCGTTCTGCTTGCACTGGTAAACTAGTAACTAGCTAGCGTGCACTAGCATAGCGTGACCATTTGGGCAAATTAGCGGACGGGAAGAACAATTGTTTGGAAGACAATAGGTAGTCAAGTGACATGTCGTATTTTTACATTGTCACAGGATGTGAAAGATTTTCAAAACAACGGGAATTTGCTTGAATGCACAAAGGGAGTCAAACTCGAATTTGCTCCGCGTGTACAAACCCCCGTTCACACTTCTGGCGCGCAAAACATCAGTTGGTTGTAACAACACCAACAGCATTAGACTTATCAGGTCCTTTCCCGCCCCAAAATTAATTTTGATTGATTGATCAAATTATTTTTCGAATGACATGCCGATTTTGATATGTTTTAAAGGGTGTTCAGCGGCTTAATGGCTTGTTCTTAGGGTGTTCTTGGGGTGTTCTTGGGGTGTTCAGCCTGTTCTTGGAGTGTTCAGTCTTTTAGAAACGACGTAGACGGATCCGATCTGGACCAGATCCCCCACGGCATCACCTCTGAAAGCGACACTTAACGACACTTAACGACAAGCACTTACAAAATACAGACATAACAAAAGCAGGTTTTTCTTTATTTTTTTCAGCTGAGGCTTGGTAGGTTCTTTCGTTGTTCTAAGTTTTTGGCAAGTCAATGCTCGGTGTTCTTGTGAAGTTTTTTTATATAGAACGCTTGTAAATTATAAGGGTGTGTGATGATACTCTTAAGATTTTTTGTAAGGCTGTATGTAGCATTTTATAAAAAGTCAGCGCAAATGAGAATGTATTTTGTCACTTATAGCTAAGGTATCGACCCAACCAGCCATTGGTTCTGAAAGACGTGTCGTTTTCGATCAAAGCCATGGAAAAGATCGGCATTGCGGGTAGATCCGGTGCTGGAAAGTCAAGCATTTTCGTGGCTTTGTTACGATTAGCTGAAATTGACGAAGGACAGCTATTAATCGATGATCAAGATATCTCAGAAATTGGTAAGCAATTTTTTTCTTTTTTCAGTTATCAGTGAAACCTTTTAATCAAAAATTGGTAAGTTTTCTAAATGTATCTGCATATTTCAATGCCTAGACTCAACAAAATTTGTATTTATACATATTCAAGTTTTATTCAATTTGTCAGACCTGATTTTTCGGAAGAATCGGCTTGTTTATTTAGGGACACGTAGACCAGAAATGGAAGTGATCCTCTGAAAATTTAACCGATATTTTGTTTTATAATATTTTCCTGCTTTTAGGTTGAATTCCATGGATGATCAAATTCTTCTCTTTAAGGCCGCACAAATCCTTTTGGTATTATGGTTATTTATATAACATACGTAAAAAGTTATTTGTCAGGGAACACAGAAAAGTCATTCAACAAACTCCTAAATGCCACATGTAACAAAATGTCTACATTCGATGAAAGATATAGTACCAGACTTTTATGAAAATGTATATACTTATCTAGCTTGTTCGTGAAACTGTCTAGCTTTTTTCATTTAGGACTGACAGATCTTCGCTCGAAACTGTCAATCATTCCGCAAGACCCTGTGCTGTTTGTGGGTACCTTGAGGTATAACCTTGACCCTTTTGGAAAACGCGGTGATGAAGAGCTTTGGCTTGCTCTTGAGAAAGCTCATATGAAAGACACTGTAAGTACGCTGTTCATTATTTGTTTGCAAAATTTTCCTGAAATGGTGACATCATATAAGGCTACAGAGTTTTGACAATTTCCTGCAGGAGTTTGCTTCCGGGATAGGACTTCATTTTTGATCTAAAGATATTGAAGAAATAAATGAAAGATATTAAATTATACTTGCGATCGAAAGGATCTGATAGCTATTTACGGAATCTGATGTGTATCATCATAGATTAATCGAACTTCATATAGAGACAACACATTTGGACTGCATATTGTAGAAAGGTGGCGATAAATATTTGATATCATTTATTAACTGTAAATAAGTATTGTATTCAAATATGATTACTATTTGTACCCACCTCTAGCGCTTTACGATAATATCAATCTCAAAGAGAATTGTTTCGCCCCGGAGTTGGTTGATTTAAGGCCCTTTATAAGTCAATTTTCCACTTTATTTCATTCTTGGCTGTAACCTGGCCATAAAATTAGATTTTTTGAATTGATAGATCTTTTTTCTGAATTGAATTGAATTCATTTTGAATTGATAAATATTTTTTTACGAATTGAATTGAATTCTTTTTGAATTTAAAAATCTTTTCTTTCTGAATTGAATTTAATTCTTTTGGAATTGATAGATCTTTTCTTCTCAACAGGTTGCAAACCTTCCGCTAAAGCTTGAAACTCTGGTTGTTGAAAATGGTGAAAATTTTTCTGTTGGAGAAAGACAGTTACTGTGCATGGCAAGAGCCCTGGTTCGAAAGAGCAAGGCACGTTTTTCTCACTTGCTTTTTCACGAATTATTTCAAGCACTTGTAAAGATCTAATTGCAATTGATAATTTATTTTCTGTGTTTTTCACAATTTCTTCGCGAATATTTCTGATATGTAGATACTTATTAAGAAGCTGTTGTAAACTGATGGATTTTGCAGGAATAAACGTTCCTTGTTACAGTTTTTTAGTATTATTCATTTGACGCTGTGTTTATCTATTTTTTTCTTTGTCATATTTTTCAATCGCTTTTTGCATTCACTTCGAATCAGTTTGTTTAAAGTATTTTTATTCTATGCTCCCTGATGTCTGTTGTAACTTTAAAATCTCATATGATTATTTAGACATTTTACTTGTAGGCTTTTTTTTGCATTTTTGAAAGTGTAATCTACGAAAATATTTCTATTGATTCTGTTTCTAGAATATCGACATATTAGTAGCTTAAATGCAGCCAGTGAAATTTGTTCATTAAGAGATTGTTATGCTTCGTCAAATTTCATCAGTCAGGCCCATAATGGTTGTGATTGTGAACTTCAATATCTTCTTCCGTATTTTGAAAATGTCAATATCATCCATGCTACTAAATTTTGTTAACAATTGCTGATTTTTACAGTCGGTTTTTCCTTCTTAGGTTTTATTGCTAGACGAGGCAACAGCAGCCGTTGACACGCACACAGGTATAATGAATAAAACCTTTATCTTTTATATCTCATAACACTCATTAACAATTGTTTGTGTATTTGTTGAAACCTTGCATCTAAAAGGAGGTTCTAGGACACAGGGTGATATTACCACAACTCGGGATTCCTTAACCTGGAATCACAGAGAGCTGGCAACTCTCCTTACTCCAAGACAAAGTTTGGCCATGGCAGCAATTCGAAAATGTCACAGACAACAACTAAGTTGGCTTCTTATTGTTAATTACCCTATACACATTTACAATAAAGTATGCAAGTAAAGATGTTTTTTGGGAATAAATTAAAAATATTTCAACATGTTCCACGATCATGCCGAGAAACACCAGCACAGGAAGCAATGAATTATTATTTTAAGAAGTTTAATTCAAAGATTTTTTTGTGGAAGGCTATTTATCACCCTGGTAATGTTGACATGATAATGTTGAAGAATCACAAAACTTTCAAAGATGCATATTCTAAAAGCCAGCTCAAATTGATTAATGATCTTGAAAGTTTAAGACTACTAGTGCCAGACTCAGAATTATTGCAATCTATCCCGTGCCAACAGAGTCAACATGTACTTAACGTATATAAGCCTTTTGTTTTCAAAATTATTCCTTAAGAATGTTTATTTATAAATAGGGGGCTGTCGTGACTAAATACACTGGGAAATTTCCAGAAAAGTCTTGCAAATGCTATATTGATGTGAAAAACAAGGCATTTTCAAAGCTCTTTCATTGAGAGAAAAGATGTACAGAGTTTCAAATAATAGTATGGCTAGAAATTTTTTGTGCCATGGACAATCATCCTGATTGTCTCTTATGTTCATATTTCCATCAGTACTTGTGCAGCGTGCCCTACCAATAATCTGGATCAGTAACTACCAATGTTGTTAAACATAAACAATTAAAGCATGAATAAGCAAAGGCCAGACTTTTTTCGATGTGGCATGCATTCTAATGATGCCTTCTTTTTTTCGTAGACACAAATATTCAAATAACAATACGTGAAGCATTCAAAGATTGCACAGTATTAACAATAGCTCATCGGTTAAATACAATCATGGAATGTGACCGGATAATGGTCGTAGATTCTGGTCAGGTATGTTAACAAATTTCCTGCCATCTTTTTTTGTTCTATTATATGCTCTTTGATCTTGAAGTATTGGTCACACAATTTTTTCTACTGTACTTTGATTTTTCGAGTTAAAGAAGAAAAGTCAGCAAGGAAGTATAGATTATAATAATTTAGACATTATTAAATGAACCTTTTCCAATCTCCTTTTTGTTTACTCGAATGAAATGCCCGATGAAAATGATTTTACTCCCATGGCTATAAATGTTGTCGATTTTTTTAGGTTGCTGAGTTTGATACTCCGTCTAATTTGATGTCGGATGAGTCATCGAAGTTTTCAACATTAGTCAAGTCTTCTGTACTTTTTAAATAATTTTGACAGTTTCAGTATAGATATGTCAAACACCTTTACATTTTGTATATCCTTAGTCTCGCAAGCGTATGTGTCGACAGTTTATTACGTTTTTCAGAGTCATTATAGCATTTACTAGACAATTATTACAAAGTATTTGGTACTGATGTTAGAATTATTTCAGACAGTTCAGAAAAATAGATTAACTATCGTGTTGTGTTGTTCATTTAAGAATTAACTTTTTTACACATTACGAAAAAGGCAGTATAAATGATCGATTTCAACCCGTATTGAGGTCAGCACGGGCCGAGATTATTAGCCATGGCTTTTTTGCCCGTAATCTCAGCCACTTGGCCTTTTTAATGGCTGAACTTGTCACGACTGCCTGGGTTGTTGAGATTTTATTACGAATGCACCACGAGGGTTAACACGGTCAACCGAGCTCGAACTGACTCTATGTTGAACAGGACATTGGTTGAAAATTCTTATTGTCTTTAAAGATATCGCTCTAGACAGATCTGAAAACTGTCATTTTGTGTGAGTTGATAAATGAAAGATAAGGCCACGCTCAATTAACTCACAGTGCTTCCAGCAAAGATGTCTTCTTGTTCTCTTTCAACAATTTTTACTTGTTACATTCTCTATTCCCTTAATCTGTCTTCTTCATTCTGTTATTGACATTATTTTCATGTTCAATCACTGCCAAAATTACTTGGAGCACCCAACACTTTGCGCAGTGCTTTTCTATTTTTCATTTGTTTTCCCGAATACTACTACTTCCGTCCCCCCCCCCTCAGAACAATGTTGAAAGTATAGGAAAATTAGGGGGAAAGGGGGATGGCTGAATTTGCCGTTAAAAACTGACGTTAGTGCTCCTAGACCTTTGGCAGTGATTGTACGTCGACGTGCTTCGTGTCTGCCATCCCTTTTTTTCCATTTTTTGTAGCAATTGTCCTAAATTTCAAAGAATCCCAAAGGCTTCATTATACTGACTCAAAGGCCTTATATTAATTGAAAACTGTTTTGCTCATCAGTGCATCTGTGCGTACAAGCAGGGTTAATAGCCAGTGCAGAATTCACAATCAAAATTTACAAGTGACAACTATTTCTTGAATTTGATCGTTATAGGGGGCTTCTTTTTAGAGAACATCCCTCTGTATTATTGCCCCATCTAGTGAATAATGCAAAGGTGTCTTCGTAGTAAGCTGAGTAGTTTTAATGCCCTAACCTTCTTGTAAATTTATATGAATCAGTATACCTGTAATTATTTTTACGTCAAAGGGGCATTTTTAATATTACCTTGTTGATAGCTGTCATTGGTTAACCGATTTTTATTTACATCAAATGCATAAAATCAGTTTATAGCTTTTTTGTTGTATTCGTAAGATGTAGAATAAAACGGAATGTTCGGTTCAGTTCAGAAACTGCTATTTTTGCTGCAAATCAATGGATATCAGTAATTTATAATATGTCGATGTGATCAGATTTACGGAAAATGTTGAAATATAGAATTGTAGGATGTTAGATATTATCGAAATCATAGATACTACGAAAGTGTGGAAATTTTTTTTTCATCACTAAATCAAACATATGTTTGTTGTGTTTTTTTAATTTTCTGTTCGAAAATACTAGACAAATCCTTTAAAATTTTGCAGATAGAAATAGTTGATTTAAATGTATAATTAGAAATAGCATATATAGTTACTTCAAGTGTGTATTCCTAGAGGCAGAATTTTCAAATCTAACAAATGATACGCTGCTGTAATACCTTTCCTCGACTCCTTCATTTTTGTGTTCTGCACCCCTTTGTGGGTCAAACCTAGTCAATCCTTTTTACCGTGCCAAACCTAGCCAAGCCTTTTTTTGCCGTTTGGAGCCCAAAGGCGCCCTTTTAAGTCGAATATGGGCTTTTAACAATAATAGCATTTTTTTAAAGTAGGTACACGGGGTCGAACTACCCTATATCCCAGTAAGGATGCAGGCTGCACTATGAACGCTACCTCTGTTTACCTAATCTCTGCACTCCCAATTTTGATAGGAAAATCGTTGGTCTCGGCAAGTGGAAATTTTTACGGAGGAGCAAAGGTTGATTTTTCATCCGCTTTCTTACTGTCAGAAAAGCAACTGTCGCATTTTTTCTACAGTTTTAACATTTGGATTGAAAATATCTCTAATTTTGGTACGTGATTTCGATGTCGTAAATGACATGCCTGTTATAACTGCAGAATCGATATTACCATTAAGTATAACTTAATTTATGAAAAGGGAGTGAAAAGATTAAGTAGAATGTTAAACGGCTCCTGGTTGCAATTATCAAGAAGGACAAACGAAAGCTGGATTTTGGGTAGCTAAAGATAATCAAAGCTGATGATCGAAGGTCAGATGTGGAAAGATGGTGCACTCAAGGATGCATCAATTAGATAAAAGATAAACTTAAATGCTTAACTTTCAAACTGGGTCGAAATGACCCACCATGCCTTTGCAGCTTGGAGACATTCAGTCTAAGGACCTATTTGCATTTCATCCAATCAGGCAAAGAGTGTTAAAACAGATGAATATGATCATTGGTCTCTTCTTGGCATCAGACTCACCAGCTTAACCTCTGTGTGGGAGCATTGGTTCATTCACATATGAAACGCCAGTCAAAATCGAAATATGTGCGGTTAAAAGCCAATTGTAAATAAAACCTCTCTTATTATAAAGTGGTGACATAACGAGGATTTGTTCAATCAAAGTGTCTCAATGACTGTGCACGTTGCTCAAGAATATCGTATTTTGCTCTAGTCACCGAGAGAAGCAGTCGAAAACCACACAGCCCGAACGAGAAGAGAACATGGCCAAAGTAATCGCACTGTTTGTTGCTGCAGCCTTGATGGTTTGTTATGTGGCCTCGCGAACAATACCGGGTGAGCAAAAATACCATACTAAAAGCAAAAGAATATCTAACATGTGTGTTTTATCAAAAGATACATCATTAAACTAAGATAAATAGTTGAAGATCGTCCTACATGCCTATTGAGAACCAAATGGTTCTTCTGAAATAAATCTGTGAACACATTATTCTTTTACATATACACTAGTTGAATCCGTGCTAATAGCTTGTGGCTATGTCTAGTGGCCATACTCTAATACAAGAAAAAATCTTACTTTTTGCAGCATAGAACTAACAAACTTCAAGCTCAGTTTCAGTGGCAGAAATTGCGGGGGTGTGGGGGCAACCGCCTCCCAGGTTTTGCTAAATAGTCGGTTTTGTCGGTAAAATTATGTCATTTGTCGGCAAATTTGCTTGCTTTTGTGGACATTGCCTTCCCAATTGAAGAGTGAATTTCCGCCACTGCTTAGTTTCTGATTTTCATCGACAGTTGTAAGAACGGAGATCGTTTTTCATGCATCAAAAATATGAACCGGCTTCTTTCACGAGATTTGTCGAGAGTGTGTGCATTTAGATGCCACATTTTCTGTCGAGATTGAAAAAGGAAACTTGATCAATGAAAAATATTTTGATCACAAGCCCTGCTCTTTCTTTTCAATATTTATGATTAATCGTGAAATTTTAATTAAAACAAGTAAGATTCAGCTAATAGCATAACCACAGTGGCATAACCCAGTTGAGTCATTTGGTCGCAAAAAAATCATTGATTTTAAATCTATCAATTTAAGTTACAATATCTTTATACGATGTTTTACCTTTCAAATTATTTGGGTACGCGTGCTTTAAACTTCAAACATTTCAAAAGAAAACTATAGTTTTTCAAAATATTATTCATTTTAACTCTCCCGGACAAGGCTCTTGAGACCCTCGTAACCGCCCTTGACATCGTACTGTTAATTTTTTGTTTGCGTCAAGTTTCCTACAAAGTAACCTGTTTATGCGGTGCTCATTTTGTTCTATAGAATACTACTTGATAAATATATTGTTTGGTATAGGCATGACAACCTGAAATGTACTTAGAGGGTACGTTGCGTTGTTGTAATGGCGACTCTGTTGAAGGGCGCGACGATGCTCTCATCTGATAAAGTGGCCGCCAGTAACAAAGACTAAAGGGGAAGGTAAATCGTGTGATTCTTTTAAAGGTTCGGTGTGGTAACCGTTGGTATTGCGAAAGAGAACGTATCTAGGAGACGCGACATTCAGCTGGCCAGACATGATCCTGTTCGCCAACCTGTGGTTCTGAAAGCAAAAGAGCCATTGGCGGAAATTCAGGCTTTCATTTGGGGGGGGAGGGGGGAGCTCAGGCCTACAATTTTCCGACAATATAACAATATTTTTGGGTGGGACCTTCAAGAAATCAATAACTTTTGTTTAGCAGAATCCGATGAAAAGTTCGGCTAATGTTTATCGAATCGAAGTTAGATATACAATTCACAAGCAGTTTTAATTTTTGTCATATTTTGTTTGTTTGATTATTTAGTACTGGCTAATATTTTATCAGCTATGCTATGTTCAAGTTTTACAAAGAGGGCACAGAGAGGTTATAGAGGCCCCTGGTGTAAAAAGAAAATATGCGGATCAACTGCAAGCGAAGCGAGCAGAAAAGTTGGCAACTACACCCCTTAGATTAGCTTAAAATACATTTCAGAACAATTTCTTGCAGTAATTTAAACGGTTGTCAATTATCCGACGAAAGCCTAAACTTTCCGACGAGATCGTTGATCGTTGGCTTGAACCCTCCCCCCCCTCCCCCCCATATCCCCATAATTTCCACCACTGAAAAGAGCCATCGCCAAACGGGCCAAAGGTTGTCTATTTCTAAGCTTATTAAAGTAACGACAGGATAACGTAGAGAAGGTGAGCCTCACTCAAACTGGGCATGTTTCACGCCCTCGTTTTCCTCTTCTTGGTGTACCTTCATTCCCTCGTTCAGAACTTCCTCCCTCAGCCTTGTCAATGCCAATAAGCCACCTTTTTAAAGTCTTAATTCAGACTTTGAAACGGAATTTACCAAAAGTAGCGCTTACGTTCTCTATAAGTTCTTTCAATCGTTGTGCATAAATAAGAATCAGAACAAAATTTGTAAACCTATAACAGACTTCCCATCTCCTTTACACCCTTCATGATAATGCAATGTGGGCATTGTAAGTTGTGGTTACATACAATGGTAAAATTTTGTAAAGCTAACCACCGAATATGCCAAAAATTCTTGGTATTGATTAAAACAGAAAATTCTCGGTTTGTCTATCCCTACATTATCAATCGTCGTTTCGAATACCGTCTCTTTCATCCCCATCGCATTAGGCATAGCCATTAAAAACCATATGGCCGAAAATAACAAATACATAATAAAATAATGAGTCATGGGTCATATCGTTATAGCTACATTTTTCCTCCATGGTCTGTAACACTAACCTTTTTGTCTGGTCTTTTTGTGTTTGGATGCCCACGTAGGATAATTCGTTAGACTACCTTGAAATTCTATTCAATGATAACCCACAATTCCTGTCCAAACAGAAATGTGGGTAGAGATAATATCACAGACTAATTGATGATAATTAGACGAGAAAGCTTGTTATGCGCCTCAGTTTATGTATATTTGATATGAGTAAAAATTACAATCCTCAACAAAATAGTTGAGACTTTTCAAGAAATTTTTTTGTTTTCCCTTTACCTTTGAAAAATATCCCTTTATTTAATTTCTAATAAATGTTTTTGAAGCATTAATGATATAACTGCTAATCTAGCATTGATTTTGATAGAAAGGAGGGGGTTTTGATATAAAGGGGCAATGTAAAGTAGAAATTTGCGAAAATGTCATATTGTCTCAACATCCTTGTCCGCGATTGTAGCTTAAAGTCCAGCTCTAGTTATGAAAGCATAGCGGTTTTTCATTTTTCATAATTCAACCCCTTGGGAGTTCAACCAATCTATAGCACAGATAGGTAGCTAAGGACATGTCCTTCTCCGTAGTAGCTAACCTATTACATGGGGTTTTGGGGGCTCAAGCTCCAAGCCCCTGTGAAATTTTTTGGGGGTCTCAGCCACTCCTAGTCAAAAGGAAGAACAAGAAATTTGAAGCAATTGAAAACGGTGCTCGAAGCTGAATGTACGTTGATAACTTTGTGAATGGTACAAGCCACCCCTTGGTGAAATCAAAAGTCTGCATCTATGACCTTCACCAAATATAGCCATGAATGACGTAACCAAGTTCCTGAGATGATTGCTCAGAAGAGGGGTAATGTCAGTCAAGATATTTTCTAAAAGGGCGTGTCGTGCCAACCGCACTCTTAACCTACCCACATTGCAGAGAGCCAAAGTCACCAAATGAATCCAGCCATTTTGTAAATTAGGCCACATTTTGGACGCATTTGTTGCAGTTTGAAGATTTGCAAGCGGTATGCGATTTTATCAAAAGTATCTTGTTGCGGAAAGCAAACGGGTAATAGGTTTTTGCTTATTCTTGCGGTTTCTTTGGATTACCTTGAACTAAAAGATGGTAAGCTCCCAACAAATGCAGCAGCATTTAGGCTCAACTTTTTCATTACTTTCCTTTTACTTCTTGAGTAAACTAAACAATGCTTATCTAGTTGGTTGTTGTTTGTCATTGGCATGATATCGCTAGTAGGCATTTTAAGTCTTTGCAAATTGTTATTCATCGCCTAGTGTGATCATCTTAATGATTCACACGGTATAGATTTACAGCTTTCCATTTTGATACAAGTCGCTTATTTTTGGATTTGTATCCAAACCGCAATCTGCCCACGTGCATTGATCCAGATCTTTATAATCCATTTTCGGTTGCAGAATCAATTTACTTGGAAAAGATTGCTTCAGGGTTTTATTCAAACAAAAAGCAGAAATAGTTTATCGCTGAATCATACTTGTACTCTAGACTGCATCATAGAGACAACGTTTCTAAGCAAACAGGGCTCAGCTCAAATTCAAGATAATGATCTAAGAAATCCTATCTTAGGTGAAAAAACTTGTTTAAGGAAGAAATTGAATAAAGGATCTCTGGTGTAGGCCTATTCAGTCAAGGTTTTCATGCAAAGCAAAAAACGTATAGCATAGCATTGCCTAAGAGCTGATAGATGTTCCTGTCTGACAAAAATTTTCTGCATCGTGTAGATTTATAGCTAATTATCTCAATTGTTTCAGACCTGAATGTAACAGAGAGACTGATATTCTTTCAGCTAAGTATTAAAAGAACGAAAATATGATTGACTAGATTTAACTTAAGATTACCTGTAGATTAAGTTAGGATTTAGCCTTGTGTCTTTAAAATTCCCAGCTATCAGTATCAATTCATACTATCAATATTACTGTACCAGTGATAAGATGTCCGAAGGTTGCTGGCTTATCGTACTTGAAAAATTTATCCATACTTTACACAAACAAAACAACTGATGCATCAAAATTTTTACAAATTTTCAGCACTTAGCTAGAGCACAAAGGCAGATAAAGAGGTTCACTTGGCCCACCACTTAATGCTCATGATTTCGAAAAATATGGTCCCAATGGCTTAGGGAGCCTAATGGGAAAGTTTCCTTCTTCCATCACTTGCTTTGCTGTTAAAACCTTCTGAACATTAACAAACGTCCTTGTTATGGATTATTGAACTGCACTATATCCGTTGCTAGGTATCTTGTTTAATGAAACTGAAATTGTTACTGACCATTGGCATGGCAGTGGGCGTTCAAAGGCGTTCATCAATGCAGCTCATTGTTTTCAACACAAGACCTGGTGTTTTTAGAAGGAAACAATGGCCCCAAACCCCCTAAAATGTCCACCTCTGCAAGGCCCAAATATTTTTCCTCTGCACTTCCCCTATTCTCGATTTTAGTCAATGTTGACACCAATGTTTTCTGTTCACACTTATTGAATGCTCTTATCTGACTTGATTTTGATTTTATCGTAGCTTGTAAAGTTGGGAGTGACTACTACCCTGTCAATGAACTTTTTGTCACAAACGATTGCAAACTCATGTGCATTTGCCAAGCTGGAAGTGCCGCAGCTTGCTCACCATTGTGTCCCAAAAAAGTCTCCAAGAACTGCACTGCAAACGAAGGAATTTTCATTCGCTATGAAGTGCAATCTTTCAAGCCGAAATGTTTTTGTGAGAGGGAAACATGCGTACAAAGACACAGTACCTAATCTGCAGAAATAGAACCTTTCCTGGGGCTAGATTTGTAGACGTCAACACCAACGGCTATGGATGCTGACCAGCACCAAGTTATCTCAGACAAAAGATTGCTCTATCTACTTTTAGATTGAATAAGTACAGCAAGTTAAAACCTTAAAAATATTTCACAGCCTAGAGTTTTGTTATTAAAGGAACATTCATATTAGCTGTTAACATTTCTGTATTATACATATTGTTGATATTAAAAGTTTGTTTGTACTGCATAGGGTCGGTCTTAAGCATGAATGCAAAGAACAGTGAAATCTTGCGAAGTCTTTTATGTAAAGGAAAGATTATGGCAAAGGTTTGGTTTATTTGCTGATTTTCATGATTTTTATGTTTCATATTTTCCTTTTTTATAAACAAACAGCTTTTTTACTGCATTTAAAGAAAGAATATAATTCTAGTTTTAGAAAATTTTTCTTGTAAAGTTCTTGGTTTTGTTTATTGTTAACGAATATGAGTAGTTATTTGCTATGTTTTTGGGCGTTTTGTTTTCGCTAGATCTGAAATTAAGAGATCGATGATGTATTTAGTCTCTGTGTGCGACCTACTACCTATTGAGTTGCAAATTTTTGAAGTTATAGCGTAGCTCTGTTTTCTTTTTGGTGTTATAAATGCATTCACTTTTAGTAAAAGTTTTGCTTTGAAGTTGAAAAATGTCATTTTTTGTTGCTGTGTTTCCTTGGCTTTTCTCATCATAGAAGCTACGACAGGGACAATTCCAGGTTAATTTCGGGAAAATAGCATCAAAAGAGAAATGTTTTCACTTTGATAAAATAGCTCCCTCAAAAATAACATTCCCACATCCCTCATGAAGTCAGGCATTGAGGCTACATTCCCTCATCAAAGGGAGGAACATTGGGCCGTTGGTGCAGCGGCACAAGTTGCTCCACCTAACCCAAAAAAAAGCCCTAAACTTTATATAGCTTGATTAACTCAAGTGCAAGCAGTTTTAAGTTCTGGGCAGGGAATGGACAAGAAAATATCACTTCTCTCACCAGGGGCCGATGCACCAGTCCTACCTTAGATTCCAAAGTTACGAGAGGGAAAGACAAAATATGACAGGATAAAAAGCCGGAACGATCCTAAACTAAAAAAGGCAACAAGACCTTTTAAAGAATACTGTGATGTAGGTAAGCTCTAATTCCTAAAAAGAAAACACACTTAGCTAGCTACCAAAACACACTTGGGTAGTTACCAAAAAGGGAGGGAGGGCACGGGAAAAGAGAAGAACGTTGAAAAGTCTACCAACAATCACGATAAGCCCAACCCAAACGCTTAAATACCCTCATCAGAGCCAAGGGACCGATAACTCTGTGTATAAACCCAAAATACAGAACTCCTACTGCCCTATACCCCAAATGCATCGAAAAGGGCACATAAGGACCAACTACCAGAATGAAAGCATGATAATTAACACCCAAAGTGGAAAAGACAATTTGCATAAAAGTAAAACCCCTAGTAAATCAAATTCTACAACATCCCTCGTGAAATTAACTCAGATAAAATTTCATTTTATCAACATTTCTTTTATGTTCCTGCCACAGAGTCATAGAATGTACCAGGTGTTTTGGGTACGAGGCAGCTCGGTAACGGCAAAGTGAGATTTCGTACAACTACATATTTTGAAAATGGCTTCCTTCGAAGGATCATCGTTTGAGATTCTAAAATCCTGTGAGGACAAAAGAGACTACCGAGGATATGAACTTGAAAATAAGATGAAAGTCCTACTAGTGAGTGATCCAACAACAGAGAAATCTGCAGCCTCAGTGGATGTACACATCGGTGAGTATGAATGTAACCAGCCAAGTTTAGTTTTATACATACGTCATTCCTTATTTTTTTTCACCAACTTCCAATTTCTGTGAAGTTTTTGCGATGCTTTTTTGCCATATTATATTGCAAAAGCAGAACTAAGTGTAAATATAACTTGGCTTCCTGACAGACATAGGATTATTTGTATTTGCAGGAAGAGCTTCAAACATTTACGCGTTGATGCGATAATATAATAGTTAACTGCTTTTTTGGATGCCATACGCAAATTCTACAATCTTCATTGTTTAGAAGCACTTTCAGATCCAGAACTTCAGATTCATTGCTGCCAAATAGACCTGTTACTTTACACTTAAAACAAAAGGGGTAAACCCACATTACGTTTTAATCTCCCTAATATCTCTTATAAGGCACCGTCGTCTCGTCTGTCCTAAACTCTTACTCCTACTGGCCAGACTGTAAAGCCTGTCTTGTTTATCTTGTCATGTTATTGGGAAATATCCCATATTCAAACTTCTGAGTTCTGATTACGAGAAAAAACAAAGAACGGAAAGCCTATGCCACAAATTCTGCAATCTTCAGGCAGCTGTAGCATACCTTTGGTATCATGCGCAAACTCTATAATCATATCGAGGTTTTGAGCCTATTTCTCTGTATCTAAAACTTTTGGGAGTTTTATAAACCCAATCAATCACTTAGCCAAAAATCTTTGCAGTGCTTCCATCCATAGCAGCTCAATGAGGTCCCAACATGGATGATATGTGGTGGAAGAAATGCTGTGACATTGGAAGCTCAATCTTGTCCATTTGTTAAAATCAGTGAACTCCACACAAAAGATAATTGGGTATACATACATGAAATAAGCGATTTCCATTTTATAATATCAACTCAAGTATTAAAAAATTGAGTGTGACTGGCACAGTGACTGGCTCTGAAGTTTGTTGTTAGAAAATCATGGAAGCAAATAGTTTGTTGTTAATTAGACAAGTCAATTTTATGCAAACAAATGAATACAAATGAATAATGTGAATACAAAATTTGATAATTACATTTTAAAGCACCTGAAACTGGTCCTTCTTAGCCATAAAGCACATAACAGGTAACATAAAACTATGTTGTTAAGTTAATTGTAGTATGGGATGTTCAACTTTTGTGCACTAGATGAAATTTCTGTTATGTTGGGTGTGCAACAGGCAAGCAGAAAGTTTTTACTATGCATTACCAATGTTTGTGCCACATCAAGCTGCGCATAAACTTTTTGTTGTCTGTTGGTATAAAAATATTTATAGTTTTTAAGTGACAAAATTGACACATGGAATGAGATTAAATCATTTTGAATTTTATGACATAAAGGAGGCTGTTAATTTTATAAACGCCAAAATTTTAAAATCCAGTGTGCAACTAGACCCCCTTATGATCATGATTTTATAATATGTATTTTTAGTTCAATTAAGATTATGTTGAACACACTTATTTTGGTCACTATTTTTGAATGCTCATTCATCCTGGTTCAGGTTTTTCCTAGTATATCAAAGCTATTCAGACTAATTTGTCAAGTGTCAACTGCTTTCAAGTTAACATCAACACTTTTTTCCAGAAGATTTTTTTGAGTTTAGTTAACTGAGGACAAAATCTTGATGGTGACATCTGGAGCATTTTTTGTACTTTACTTTGTTTATCCAGGCCACCAACAATGCCTTGTCTGTGGAAGTTCTTGATACAAAATTCTGCTCACCTTTACTAGTGCAACAGCTCAAACTGTTCAGTCAGCCTGTCCTCATAATAATCTCAGTAAGGATAACCAAATTTCCCAAGCCGTACTTTATTGTTCTTGTCAACATATTGTATTACAGCAGATTTGCAAATGCACTATCCAGCAAGAGAGCCAACTGCTAAAATTAAGATTCTCAAACTCCTTTATCACAGCTTCAAGTTACTCTTCCTTTCCGAAATAAGTATTGTTTTGGGGGCTTTAAGAAGCCTAGAAAGTAAAAATATTTTCCAATTATATTCAAATTTCTGCTAGTAGTAGTCACTAATAGGGTTCTTTCTAATAGAGGAGAGAAAAATAAACAAGGAAAGGTTCCAATGCTGAGCCTCAATTTAGGGTACAAAAACTGGACCCCCCTCCCCAAAAAAATTTGAAGGAAATGATTTTTTTTTCAGAAATTATCGTAATTTTCTTTTAAAAAATGGAATCCATGGTAGCTGAGTTAGAGCCAAAGATCCCCCTTTTTTCCTCCCCCAACATCTGTCACTAGAATATTAGCATGACTCTTCCCCTACCCAATTTCTCCCAAGAAACGCTAATCTGTGTTCTTCTGAGAAACGTTAAATTGTCTATCCTGAGCGGTATAAAATTTGGTTAAACTTGGTCTGGGAGATTTAGAGCTATTTAGAGCTTTTTTAGCTATTTAGAAGGTATGATTTCAAAAATTTTATTTCATGTCGGACCCATCATGGGTCCTCCTATATCATTAAATTTCATTCTTAACACCCCAGGTTCAATTTTGTGCTGTTGTCTCTGAAAATTTTATTCATCAAATTTTATGAAAGTCACATCCTAAGGAATAACTGTAAATACCTTTTATAGAGCTGAAAAATTCTCAGTAAATCCAATAATCTTGATTTTTGTTTTCTAAGTCGTTTTCCCCTCAAACACATACCATAAATTGCTTGGTGGTGCCATGACCCACTACACACTTTATATTCATTCGCCTTGCTGACCCCCCCCCCCTCCCCAACCCCCCTAATTGACATGACAGATTTACGGCCCTGCAGCTGTTTGATGGTAAGACATTTTATGCCTGTTAATACATCTTAAAGGTAATACCATTATGCCAAAGTTAAAAGCTTTTAGTTTCCAATCATAATATGTACTCCAATTTGTCGTATGATTTTAATATTAATTGAAACACTGCTGACGTCAAAACTCATGCAGTCCATCTAAGCTGTCTTTATGATGGCTGTCATGCTAGTGATTTGGCATTTACGCAAAAAATCATTTTTTCAGTGTTCTAAAAACCACCTTCTGAAGATAGGTAGAGGCAAAAAAGAACTTGGACACTACCCTCATATTGATATATTAATTATATTACTAATATTAATTATATAATAATTAGGGGCTAGATAAAGGCTAATGAAAGGACAGTTCTGGTTATCATTCTTTCTCTCATTGGCTTCTGTAAAATATCTAACTATAAAGATTTCAGGCGTGTGTAATTACTGCATTACCACTGTTTATGTCTGTAATCAAAGGGTTTCCTTATGAGAACTGAGGGGTGTAACCCAACTGTTTATACAGTTTGGTGATGAAACCATTACTTGCTCGATCTGGTAGGTTTTACTTTTTGTGCCTCCCCCCCCCTCTTAGTTTAAATAACAATGTCTGAACAAAAACTTGATAAAATTTGAATGATTGAAATGGCAATATATATTATGAAAGATGGAAATAAACTTTAGCCTGCAGACCTACAAAGACATTTTCAAACCAAGCTCCCATCTTAACCACAACATTATGCTCTCTTTGCTCAGTTTTTAATTCTAATGATTACTTCAGTGTCTATTGGATAAAAGGCAATCTTGTTATTGAAATTAAAAAGCTTACAAGATAACGTAATATAATTAGGCGCACTAGGGATTGTGTAACATATCCAAGAACGCTTGATGTTTGATTCACAACTGAATCATGATATCTGCCATGAAATCTAGGTATTTAGGCTATTCATGTTAAATTTTTTTGTGCCTCGATGATTTCTTAACTTTACACACTTTTGGCAACTATTTTGCATCTTTAGGACGCTACATTCAAATATTAGAATTTCCCGAATGTTGATAGATTTATTGGGCAGATAGGCCCTTGATAGCTTCTTGTTGTGTTTAAAATCCTGTGATCTAGAGTTATCAGTTGAATATCTAGAAGGTATTACCAACAAGTATAAATATTTGTTTTCATTTTAGGGAACCTCTCAGACCCAGCACAGCTTCCTGGTTTAGCTCATTTCTGTGAACACATGCTCTTTCTTGGTACAGAAAAGGTTAGTTGCATGACAAACTGGATAGTTTACCACTTACCCGCACTCTTTACTGTTTTATGGAACTTAACTTGCTCATAGATGACAAGACTACACAAGAAGGACCCAATAATTTTTTATTTCTATGATGTTCTGGTCGCTACACTAAATTTAACTGAGGTTTTTTTAAGAATGTTGCAAGCAATTTATTTGCAAAATGTATTGAAGTGACCCTATAGTTGTAAGGAGGCTGCGGAAGTCTTTTGTCAACTACAACTTGTGTGTTAACTGTATTGGCCTAGAACTTTGCTATTGACTGGGCCTACGGTAAGTTTGACAATTAGTGACCAAACAATAGGCAAACTGCTGGGAGTGCAATTTGGGAAAACCCATTCAACAGCAATGTTTTAGAGCAATAATGGAAGAAATTCTAGGACATCATATCAAGATGAGGGTATGGGATTTCGACAAATCATTTAGCACCTTTTTATGCTTGGAGAGTGAGTGCATGTACTGGAGGTGCTCTATGTCCGGATATGTCCGGGTATTTTTCTCTATAGGTAACATCTTTATTGCGATCAAAAAGAGGGTGGTCGCTCAAAGTCGTGACGTTGTTTACCTATTTCTTGCTGATGACCCTTCTGGCAAGTGCGCTACCGCTCATTGATACAAAACCATTGATTTCCTCTTGATTTTCGGTAAAATACGGCTTTAAGCAATTGACAAGCTTTGTATCAATGTGATTTATTGCGGTTTTATCAACCATCGTATTAAAAAAGTCTGTAATCACAAAGTTAATATTTGGTTATTGTTGCCATGACATCAACTGAATTTTGCTCTTCTACACAATAACATACCTTTCAAATTTAGAACATAAGATATCTAAAGTAAAAATTTCATTAAAAGATTAATAATGGCTATAATTACTTTTCCCTTCACAGTATCCATCAGAGAATGCTTTCACTGAGGTGAGCTTGTGAATAATTAAGTTTTGCGATATCATGGTACCTTTTATCAGTGTTCCCCGTAAACAAACTTGTTTATGACTTTTCTGAATAGTTCTTTGCCGATAATACACCTTTGAAGACTCGCCCAAAACCCAAGAATACGTCACATTCTCGACGTATCTACAGTCTATGCAAGGCCCATCCGCTCAAACGTCTCCTCTAAGAAGCAGACTTTTTCAATAATTCACAGCCAGTTCAAGAGACCTCACTTGTATTTATGCGCATCATTTAACAGTTATTTTCAAGCAACATTAAGTTCTAAATTATATCGTTATAGCTTTGTTAGGTGATTTGGTTGAATTCTGAAATACTTGTTAGGAGACGCTTGGTCATTAGAGAAGAATTTCTTAACTCAATTTGTTATCAGGTAAAGTGTTCAAGCCTTTTCTTTACTCAAAATGCCAAGTCATTCAGAGGCCACTCACTTACTACATAACGCCAGTAAGCTAAGTAGATTTGGCGTCTATTTGCCAATTTCAAATAGGTGTCTGAAAATTTACTCTTCCCTTTTTCTCCTCAATGGTGTTCTTCCATGGATCAAATATTTTCTCTATAGTTTCTCAACGAGCACGGTGGACACTCAAATGCCTTTACCTCACAAGAACATACAACTTATTATTTTGACGTTCGCTCAGAATGTTTGCTGGAAGCACTAGACAGGTATGTTATTTTAAATTCAATCCATGATTCTTCATTGTAGTAAATCACATACCCACAAAAATATCAAAGAGAGCAGGACAGGGAGGGCCTAGCTCTAGAAACTAACTGTCTTCGGCTTGTCTCTCACAGGGACCTCTAACCTCTCTGTTTCTTAATTTGTCCTCTGAGATAACAGTGACTTGATGCAAATCAATAGTTTTAACAAGTAACATCAGTCTTGATTTGATCTGATTACGTAATCCGACCAAGGAATCGACAAGGATTATACAGAATGTCCTTGGATAGCTGATCTGCAATATGCTGCTAGCAATAATCTTACAATTCTTTGAAAAGAAAAAGATTAACTGGTTTGTTAATTGGCTAACTAATCTGTTGTCATAGATAAATTTTTGCAAAAATTGAAACCTTGTTACTGAATCCTTTTTATAGCCCTTTTGTTTTCTCAACCCAAAGAAAAGATGAAGATTGTCAAGTTATTTTCAGCATTCGTTCACGTACATTTTTTCATTTGAATTTAGGTTTGCCCAGTTCTTTCTCTGTCCACTTTTCAACGAAGATGCAAAAGATAGAGAAGTCAATGCAATCGAATCAGGTAAAGAATGCCTGATTAACGTCCAAATCACTCTTCACTTTTAAGATGTTCTATTAAATCCATTTCTGAATATGTTCACGTAAACCAACTTCATTTTAGATAACTGTAACAAATCCATTTCAGTTGATACCTAATTTTTGAAACTGAAATGGTTACTCAAGGTTGCCCAGGTGACTTCCATACCATTTCTGTGATGTTATTAGGGTTTAAAATCTGCTTTACCAAAGTCGAGGGACCCTCAAAATTTATAAAAATTTGGATAAATTTTTAATTGCTATATATTATAGGGCCTGGAATTTTTAGTCTAATTCAACCCCAAGCATCTTTCGTTTATCTGAGCATTTCAGGCTAAGCCCGAGAAAGGCTTATGATGGTGTCTGTTTGCACGATTAGAAACACTAATCGTATGTTATGTATGCATGCTTCCAGGAAATAACGGCCATAACGCTATAGCAACATACATTATATAACGATTCATATTACGATCCATACACTATGCTTGAAGCTATTCCCGAGCTACACGACTATTTCGTTACTTGCATCCGATCGAAGGAAAGCAACAGTCTCTTATCATCAACCAAGCCCATGTAAACATATTTTTCTAATTCCTGTTGTTCCAGGTCAATATCACGGATTAGGTTTTTAGTAAGTAATTAGAGTGTACAAAGAGTAACATGGTTTTGGGTTCTCGCTTTATTTAGCTCTCGGCAGCTCGGAACCTTTATTGTGGTTTTAGATCTAGATTTGCCTTTTAACGAGCATAGGCTGCGTGTTTTACACTATAGAAATATCAATTGATTTAAACCATAAATTTTTCGGTCTGTTGAAAGTTACTGTCACAAACCAAGATGATGAACCCAATTCCTGTCCCATTAATACAGCGTTGACAAGAGACCGGATACATTTGAATCTGTTTAAAAATAGGTAGAATCTTGTTCAAAGTGGGTACTATCTACCAGTGTAAACCTAGCCTTGATTCCGTTTAAACGTGATACGGTTGACATAAGTTAACTTTTGAAGAGTTACAAGGAAAGAACAAATTCATTATCTATTTCCAAGAGGAGCCGTCATTTTCCAGTGACGGAGATCTAAAAGCACGAACCTACCTTTGAAGGAAAGGTTTTTGAGGAAAAAGTAATACAAAATAACCTAAAGTCTACTGGAATCTACTGAAAACAAAGCTTTGGGACAGATACCACTAGATTTTTAAAACTAGAGCATGGGCAATGCTTAATTGCCAGATAGCAAATTCAAAGTGGTTTGCAATTTCACAAACAGATTAAGAAGAAGCTGAAATTGTTTTGTATGTGTAGATTTTTATGTGTTTGTAGTTGTTTTGTATCTGTAGGTTGGTATGTTTGTATAGATCAACGACTGAGCCGCGTGCGAACAGTTGTAAATACCATCATAGAAATCTGTGTCTAGTTTCCGCAGATTTCGCTCAGTCGCAAACACTAACCATGAAAACCTTTGTGGTTAGGTCTAATGCCTAAGAAGTCTAAGGATATACCTACTCTCTCTGTAGCTAGGAATCGAACACATTTGCTATACTCTCTCATTCCTTTAACGCTGATTCCATTGGTTTTCATATCATTGAACGATAGCATCTGACAGTAATCCAAATAGTGTTTTATTTTCTCTGTTATTAAGTATGTAATTGAAAGCAGCAAATGTTTCTCTCTTCCCCTTTCCTTCCAATATGATCCTAATTCCGACTGCCTTTTATTTAATGAGGTATTCTTGATTTTCACATTTTTTAAAGTTTTTAATACAGGATTTTTAAATATGGCTCTCAAACTATCACATTGTCAATGTCAATTTCGGCTTTTCCATCTTTGTTGTCATTTGACATAGTTAGAAAAATTTCTCACAAACTTCTATCCATCAAATCGAGTTCTTATGAATTAAATTAAAGGGAATATTTGTTTTGAAACATTTTCATTGGCAGAGACACTTTCATTGCAACACTTCTTTTTTTATTTGCAGAGAATCAAAATAACTTATTGCGAGATCATTGGAGACGCCATCAGCTGTTAATTTCTACATGTGCGCCTGATCACCCCTACAACAGATTTGGAACAGGTTATTTTTTACTTTTTTGTCAATCAGAGCCTGGCTTTTTTCATTGACGTGCAGCCAAAATTTTTGTTCTGGCTTTCTTTCCCTTTTATATTCATCTTTTTATTTTCATCCCCGTGTCTTTTTCTGCCTTCAAACATGTTTTCATTGTTTATTACTTCACGATGTCCTCTCATATGTCCCGATTGCTTCTTTTAGCCACACGGGTTACAGTCCCTATTGTCTTCCTTTCTCATATTAATAGTCATTTTTCTTTCATTAATTTTGCTGAAGATGACTCATGTCTGTTTAAGTCTTCACTTTAGTCTTAAGTGTTTAAGTTAAGTGTTTACGTGTTTAAGTCTGAATTTACAGGAACTATGTCACCTTAAAACTGGAATGTCGCTATAATAATCGTCAAACAACAAAATGTCTTTTTCTGTCGTCATCCAAGTTAACTTGATTGAAATAAAATTTATACAAAAAAAAATTCATGGAAAATATTTACTCTATCAAAAATGATTGATACTTATTGAGGAAAGAATTTAATCTTATTATTGTTATTTACATTGCGGGGTAGCACTGCTATTTCCTTTGTAGTTTTGGTTCAACTACAATATTTCTTTTTTTTGGAAAGTGCTGAAAAAAGTCTTGACTGATATAAGGTGCTCTTTATTTGGCTAACCAAGTTATCTAATTGATCTTCTGATAAAGGGGATTTCCCAATTACTTTTTTAATATCAAGAGAAATGATTTTTTACCGTTGTTATTAGCTTAAGACTCACAAACTTGAGTGGTCATTTGTTTCTCTCTGATCATTTCTCCACAACCATGTCCTTAAAAAATAGAGCATTTTCAGGAAAATTATCTCTCTTCGCAATCTTTTAATTTCTACTATTAAGAGGAGATGAAACAGAATTGAGTTTGACGACAAGATATAGATTTGGTAAGTAGGCGGCAGTGTCTACCTGAGAGAAAAAAATCAGTGTGAATCTAGAGAAATTAATGGATTGGTGAATTTAATGTTTTTACCACCCACGATCAAAGGAGAAGAATCGACAGTGCTCATTGGGTTATTGACTCGTCCCTAAGAAACTAAGTCGTTTGTTTGTGGATGTGCGTCATTGGCGACTTGTTATCTCGTTGCTGAACTAACTGTGCATATTATGCGTACTCATATCACCTGTACTTAACTGTTAACTCTTCTGATGATCTCACTCAGTCTGAAGAACCACTTAGTTTTCTGGCGGCCTCTGAATACCCTCAGCCTTAGACACTGTGTAGGCCATCATAAGATAAAACTTTACCCAATCGCATTTATTTTGCAGGAAATTTACAAACGTTGAAGACCTTTCCGGAAAGCGAAGGAATTAACATAAGAGATGAACTTCTTAAGTTTCATAATGACCTGTATTCGGCGAATATCATGGCTCTTGTTGTGATTGGTAGAGGTAATTTCTTTTACGTCATTCCTCGTCTTCATAAAAAGGTTAAAGAAATTTAGTAAATTTAAGATGTCTGATTGTTCCGCCCAACTTTCGTTTACTCGCATACAGCTGTCATCTTTTTCATACCTGGATTACGTAGGCTACAACAAACTTTCAAAAATTTGACATTTTATGCAGAAAACTAAGTCTAATGGAGAGATTAGCAGACTTCATTTCTTTATTGTGTAGCGTTTGAAGACATATTTTAAAACTGATCTCTTATTTTGCTTCAAGACATATGCTAGAATGATTAAGGGTCTCCATGACTAATCCAACAAAAACACCCACCGATTACGCAAAACAGACCTAGTTATCCGTTTCTTTTAGGGATATGTCATTCTAGCAACGCTTGAAGAAATTGAAAATAACTTGCATTGAAAGTTCAAAATTTGACCCGGTGTCTTTGAGGATTGATGTGCAATTTGTCTCTTTGGACTCAAATGATTGTCTTTTATGGTTGATATACAATCTCCCTTATCTTTGCTGATCTTAACCAGGTCCATCGATTTCAGCTTTCATGAAAGATTATATCCAGTGCTTATCAGAATTATGTAGATGTTACATTAAAACTTGTATGTGCTTGTTTTTTCTGTATCTGCTATATATTACATAAATGTTTTTTGTGAATGTGCTATCTTTTTTGTATTTCAGAAAGCATTTCAGACCTAGAGAAAGCAATACTTCCGTTATTTAGTTTAGTTGAAAACAAAGGAAGCCAAGTTAAAGAGTATCTGCAGCATCCTCTTGGCCCTGAACAGTTACCAGTAAGTGTTGTTATTTTGCAGTACTAGGCCCTGAAATGCTGTTACGTTGACAGCAGTATGAGACAGGATACATTACACCCATTTCTAGCACCACTTTTACTTTACGCGAGGTGTCACTTTACGCGAATCAATAAATTGGTGGGATTGCATTTTTCAGCGTTTTGTGGATTCCAGGCTCAATCCTTATTGTCACATATGCGTTTCATATTGATGCATTTGCTTAATGCCTTTTATCATGTCAGTTTTCGTTTAGGACATTTAATATATGGGAGCAGTGTTTCCCGGTTATTTTTAAATAAGGATCGCAATACAGATATATAGAGCATAGCGATCATTTGAGAGGTGTTTTTGATATTACTCTTTGCGATCGCACAGTGGCGCCAATATAGGTTAAATAGCAACGCATGATGATGGACTGGACAAAAAATCAGGCGGAAATTCGCTTTGTAGAGGCGTGCAATGTTTTTTGTAGACAGTGTGGTAAAAACACGCTGAAACGGCGAAAATGGGCCTAATTCTAGCTGCGAAGTGATCTTGTTGTGAGAATCCTGTGTGCTGATCGGTTTATTTGGTTGGGAGAAAATAATAGTGATCAGAGCTCTCCGCCAATCAAAGATTTGACCGCAATGCAGTTATATAGTAATCATTTCCAGAAGTCGACGCGGTCACTGATTGGTCAAAAACCAGGAACCAATCAAGCGGGTTATTCTTCTTCACATGTTACTTTCGATCTGAATCTGGGTAAAAGTTTCTGCTTACCTTTAGTCATTACCGTGAATGGCCTATCAAACGCCCTGTGTGTTTTTTTAATGTTCAAGCTGTTAGGGTGGGCGCTTATTCGAACTGGACGCATATTTGAGCGACATTTATGCTATAAAGAGTATCAGACAAAAATATCTTTAGGCTACTTTATTTCAATTTTTTCGTGTTATCTTCAAATTTTATGGTGCTAAAAGCTTATTTGGAAAATTATTTTATCGATTTTTGAAATGCATACAATGGCACGTTTTTTCAAGCTGAATACCCGTATATTTCAATGAATTTACCCTGCCCGTTCTCTTTAACCAGATTTTCCCTACTCTCCTTTCAATTTTCAAGGTCCAGCTCGACATCGTTCCTATAAAAGACTCGCAAAATCTACACCTAACATTTCCAATGCCAGATCTTCAAAAGCATTACGAAGCCAAGGTAAGCGTTTTTCTTCGACATGCCTCCGTATCTATGCCATCTCAGAGCTTATGCATAGAGACCCAGAAAATTGTTTGTTTTTCGGTGACTATGGAACATGAACTTTTTGCAATATAGGTATGGGTATGTTGATGAGTCAAGCTCAGTTAAAGTTGTGTTACTTTGTGAGAATCGTTGACTTTTAAAACAGCCAACCCAGTGGTGATTTTGAATTATATTATAAGATCATTTAAGTGTCAGATAGTTTTCTAGGTGTTTTCTGTTTTATGAGAGCTAGTTTCGGCAAAATGGTTTAGAAAATGAAGAAATTTGTTTCAAAATGATAGCGCTTGGAATATTTTAGATATTTCAGCTTGTAAATATGGAAATTCTCGGAGATCTTTCTAGGGAAGTTTCAGCTGTTCTTGCACTGAAGCTTATCTGCAAAGGTTGATCGTTGTCTGTTTCTGTACTCCAAGAAAGCTTTTTCTTCGCCATGCCTCGTTGTCTATGCGTTTGATGAGTCTTGTAGTATTCCAGTAGAGGTTCGGTAGTTGTCCGGTAAACCCAAAACACCAAAAGTCCAATACATGCAATACAGTAGACTGTTAACTAGAAACAGTAGTCCGTACCCCCATAACACCTGACAGTAGAAATCCGGCAAACCCAAAACAACAGCTTCTCTTTATAGATTTAAAATTGGCTTCGTTAGGCATTATTCTTTCACATGGAAAATGTAATCAAAACACGGTTTCATTTATTTTATGAAAGCATTTCATTGTTTGGGTTATGCTCTATTTAGGTTTACCTACACCCTAACTGGATGCTATTTTGTCTGAAATAGCTGTTTAGATGGACAGTTTTATTGCTTATTTCGCTGCAACTAGCGAACGCAGAGCGCTTCTGGGCTCGTCGCTGTCTGCTCGTTTGTTCGAGTAACTAGATTATATCAATGGCGTATAGGGTTTTATTGATGCGAAAAAAATATTTCGTTTTAAAACCATACAGCCCTGCAGCTAGTCATATCTCTTAATTAAAAACTAAAGTTTGTGATGTTGATTCAATTTACGTTTATTTTGTCGGCTTTTTGTTCTTTTTTCACAAGAAATGATTTCCTAATCACTGCTTTATATCAAAGAATCTAATAACCTTTCTCAGTTACATATTAAAAAAGGTCTAAGTAGTAAACAATGTTATATAGATTGTATAAAGTTTTTCAATTGTCTTCTTTCATGATTGTGTTCTTTACACTTCTTTCCAGTACACTATGATATGATTATTGTTTTTGGGATGAGAAAACGTCCTGAACGGAAGGTTCAAATCTAAGTTCAATTGTAATATTCACTTTAGTTGAAACAAATACTTATTAAAATGTAAGCAATAGTAATTGAATAATGATTTTCTTTGTCAATGATGATACTAGCTCCTAGCATATTAGCTGAACGTTTTATGAAAGATCTATTCTTGTGATAAAACTTTTTCTCTCACGAAACGCTTCTGGCCTTGACTCTCACGAAACGCGGTATCTTCGTGCACCCAAGTTTTACGCAAAATACTAAGGTCGAACCTAGTTCTGCTTGGTTTCGTTTGATATGCAAAGCTTCAGAAATAGAATTAGAAATTGATTGCAAAAATAGCTCAGAGTGACATCGATCTGATCCTGTCAAAATATTTGTAGCCTATTGAACTAATCAGTTGTTAAGGAAACAAACTCTCGAATGTGTAGCCATAAGCCGCGTAATAAAGTCTTCGTCATAGAAATGACGCCTTTGTACTGCAAACAGCTCGTGTCGCAAAGATTAATGTTCACAGCAAAATCTTGAAAGAGACCTAGGAGATCTGTGTTCATTATATTACAGCATTCTTCGTTACAACCTTTTTTGGTGCTGTCAAGCTAAAAATGCTTAAGGTTTTTTCTATTTGAGCCTCAAGTTAGGCTTAATTTTATTCCTAATTCATGGACCTTTGAATATGTTAAAATATTAAATCTACGTCTTTGGTTAATAACAACAAACATACATTTTGTTAGGACTTGTATTTTTTGTGTTATCCAGGGAATTTCCCTTTAGAACCTGATTCGAAATTTCTAAGATTCTCTCCAAATCTGGAAATATGCTTAACCCTACGTTTATTCTTCGATGATTTTGAGTCTCAGTATGCCTAAAGAAAAAGGTGTAGTAGGTAACATATATTTCATCCCAAGTGACAACAGCTTCATTTACTCTTATTTTAGCCTGACCACTACGTAGCCCATCTCATTGGTCACGAAGGCCATGGAAGTATACTGTCTGTCCTTAAAAAGAAAGGTAAGTGACGTTGTGATGGAGCTAGCCTCGGTATCAATGCACAACCAATTGCATGACTTCAGGAGATTTAATGATTGATCTAAGGCCTCCATTTTCAACCTTCTAGAACTTAGCTAGATATAGCATATAATAGTAAGATCGATACACATGTCCAGCTTTAAACGACAACTGTAATAATCCTGGATAGGAGGGTTGACAAAATGTCAACCAACCTTTCTAAAATGTTTCTATGTCAATTTTATCCCTTTTTAAAGCTACGTCGTATTTTGTTTGTGTGTGTAAATGCACACGTCATCGCTGATAAGAACCAGCTCTATATGCAAAATCCTAGTCAACAGAAAGTCACCAATGTTTTATATCGGTTCTATCTAGACCGATAATACTGATGTCGGCTCTGTTATCTGACGTCATCTGAAATCTAGTTTATTTTAATTGATATTTTGTAGCAGATCAGAACCTTAGATACGATGAGCTGCCAATCCAAAGCGGATTCCTTATATCTACAAGTTCGAATTGCCGTGGTTTATTGATTGTTCACTTGGTTACATGTCAACTAAAGCGATAGTAAATGTAACCTGAAAATCTTTATCAGCACCAAAGGTGCAAGGGAAGAATTTCGTCTATTTCCATGTGACAAAGATAGTTTATTACTCCCTTGGTTTAAATACAACTATTTGAGATGTCGATGAATCACGTTTCATCCTCTGTACATTTTGAAGTGTTTGTCACGTTGGGTTATGTTGCAATTGTGATACGATTTCTGTTAAACGGAATAAATACCAGCACAAGCTGGAATCAGTTTGATAAACGCCATTAGAAACACTTTCTCAATAGAAAACTATCGATATGATTACAATAGTAAATGAAATTTGAAAAGGTGTTTTCGGCTGGTTTACGTTTGTGCGAAATTCTGAGAAACAGTATAAGATGTATTTTCTTTCAACCGTAATTGTAACTAAAGTTAAATTCCGTTAAGTCGTACCCCTGGTAACTTGGACTCGCACTAAGCCGTACTGATTTTTAATTCATATTGGATTTTCCTACCTAAACTAAGTCACAATTCGAACCTCGGGTAAGTAAACTTACAGGGATTGAAATGTATTATTGTTGAACAGACAAAAATTAAGTTGATTTTAGGTTGGTCAGCGTTTAGTGTTTTTAAAGTTTTTATAAAGATTAAAGTTTGAAAAATAAGATTCAACTCGGATAGTTTCTTTCGATTTTTGCATACTCCCGTCTTTAATGCTAAAGCTATTTATTCTTCTTTGGAAGGCCTGACAAGTGATTGATTTGCTACCAAATATACACGATAAAGCCAGCAACCAAAAGATTACACATATGATAAGCTTAGCAATCATGGCTAACCAAATGACAAAAATATATGTAGTTGAATATTTAAGATTGATGCAGAGTAATTTTAGGATAATAGTTGTGGTTTTTATCAGGGGTTGTTCGCGATATGACAAGCAGTCTACGAATGATGGTGTCTCGTTCACGAAAAGTTGTTCTTCCGTGCTACCCCTTAAACCATATTCCTTAAAACGTCATTCACAATGTTGAAAGTAAATTTTCCAGTTGTGAATTTTTTATTCAAGTCCTTCTTGCAATAAAGCAGGAGACTAATTTTAAAGCTTTGCGGTCCTTTCTATTCAGAATACTACTTCTTGCCAAAACTGTTAGATTTCTACGATATTAAATCGGTGGTATGACTAGTAACATTCAAAGGAATAGTTGCTTAAGCTTAGGAAAATGATAGAGAGCCTCGAGAAAATTGGCTGTTCAAAGTCATCAGGATTGGCCCTCAGCAAAAGTCGTGCTTGTAATCGAAAACAGTACATCAATGAAATGTATCATGACAAATATTCAGTAATCATGTGTTCATACTTATGTGCTTTATATTTCCAGGCTGGATTAACTCGCTGAGTGCTGGTTCAAGCAAAGGGGCAAAGGGATTTTCTTTCTTTGTTGTTAACATGGAGCTTACTGAAGATGGAATAGGCAAGTTTTTCTATGAACGTTTACTCTGAATTTATGAAAAGAAATCAAATTGAAGAGGGTTTTAGTATGTAATACTCATGATTTTGTGAGGAGCACTAGTTAGGTAAGACAGGGGGAGTAGGTAGTTATGTGATCGGCTGGATAGTTATAGGATACTAAAAGCAAAAGACCTTCATATTTACCGCTAGAGGGGATCCGTGTTTTATCTCCGTTTAATTTTTATAGATTCCACCCCATATCGTCATGAAATTTCCAAAGATGAGACCCCCTGCGAGCGAACGAGGAAACCTTTTTTTTGCCACCAGGTCCTTTAGATAAGGCCCCTAGACCTAGAGGCTCCCCTGCTCCCCTCTCGGTGGCTTCTTAGACGTGACTGGAATTCTCATTAATCGTGTTATATATCTATATACAGAAATTGGCCATCCGTTTTTGCCCATGACCACTTTATATATGAATAATTTTTTTCAATCATATACAGTGGTTTTATCATAGTTTGAATACCTTATAAACAAGTTTAGCCCAAAGCTGCTGCAAACTGTTTTTCTCGATAGTTGTTAACCCGGCTTGATTATAGGAGCGGCGAGTGAGTTGAGGATTTTCTTCCCAGTGTATATTAAAAATGTATTTCTCCACGTCTGCTCAATATTGCTCCTGTTACTTAGAGTTAACTTTTATTCTGCCTGTTATATACTAATAAATCACATACGGAAGTAAATCTGTCGAAAATTCTGTGCAACTTTTTTAGGAAGGGTAACAGCGACGCACATATAAGCACGTCTTGCCAATGTACAACGAACATGATGAAGTTCAAAGATCTTAGACAAACGGAAATAGAACTATACTGAGCTGGACAGACCGTTTGAACCCTATTAGCAGATAATCATTTCCTAGTTACTATATTTGGTCTCTTTATATTAGGATTCAGCTTCTGCTTCTTTTCTTTATCTGTAAAGCAAGTTTTATCAAATCTTTCCGTCATATTCAAAACATCATGACGACAGCTTTAAAACTTGAAATTCAAAGTAAATGGTTTATCCCAGATTCATATTTTTGCAACCAGATGGTGACCGGGGTGTAAATAGTTCCATTTGCTTCTATAGCTTCTATAAAGCACTGTCATTTGCTGTGAAACCAAAATGTTTCGACACCTTTGCGAAGAATGTGTTTTTAAATGGCCGAGAAAAGGTCTGAATGTTGGTTTAGATTTCAGTATGATCCGAAAAAACTTCGGTTTCCAAAAGTAAAAAATTTCTGATCAGTTATCGAGAAAGGATTTTTTGGGGCTATGTTCACGTACTTGGGTGGTTTTACTTCATATGCACATCACCAGATTGTTTTTGGGAACTTTTTGGATTGGGAAATGGGAACATATGTCAACTCTATACCATTAGCAACCATCATTGTTTTTAACATATTTTTTCAATTCTTTTAGGACATGTCGATGATATTATCACGAGTATTTTTCAATATGTGAACTTGTTAAACGATGCCGGTCCGCAAGAATGGATTTTTAACGAAATTAAGGTTAGTCTTGTTGATTTTTATCTGAATCAAATAATTCTTAACCAAAAGTATTGCCTCGACGGTTTTAAAGATAGCAGATAAACGACTTGTATTTTAACTGTAAGCCAAAACCCAGACATGCGGTGTTTTAAACACTTATGAGGTTCAAGTAATAGTTTTATCTTAATGAGTTTTGTAATAGGAAATAAGAATGCGTCCTTTAATTGGTTTTATCAGTCCGTTGCTTGCTAAATCAAATTTGCTTTTAGATGCTTATCACAGAAACATATAAGGCTGGTTTTGCTTCTGACTATCTAGCTAAATGCTGTTTAGTTTTGAGTTGGCGGTCATTTTTGCAACCAATATTCAGTAGCTTGATTGGAGAATATCGAATTGCAGAAAAATTTTATTCTTTATTTTATCTATCAAACCATTCATCTAGATGTATCATCAGAACCTAGAATTTTATTCCCATCAAAGGTTGCAAAAGAACCTTTACTGCAATTCTGTTTTTTTCTGGGTAGTCTACATATCGTTGAAAAATGATGAATATAGCCACGAAGAAGTTTCACAAGTATTTTCAAACACCTGGTATTGTAAATATCAGTTTGCAAGGTTTGCTTCTAATGTTACTGAGCCCACGTACATGAGCTTCATTTTGACAGTTTCTTGTCAGGGTATTTTGCTGTCTTTTCCCACCTGTTTGCTGCAGTTCTAGAAAGATTTCACTTCCGGATACCTTGCTCAAATCATTGTATTACAGATTAATTTAAATATAAGAGTGTATGTCTGATAAAAGATTCAACAATATAAACAAAGTCTTGATCAATTGACCAATGTGTGAATGCTGAACTTTCTAAAACATGTTTATTACTATCCAAGAAATTGCCATTATACGAGCACTAAGCTTTAGCGAAGCTGTGTGATACTAACTGAAAAATTACTATGATATGAATACTAAGCCTTACATGTTTGTTATTAACTTAAAAATGACTATTATACGAATACTAAGCTTTAACCGAAATATGTGTGACTAACTGAAAAATTACTATGATATGACTGTCATCAGCTCTTCGTGTATGGCTTTTTTAAACCTCTTGTTTACATCTTGGGTGGAATCTAAATTTCAAACGAGCTTATTTGCTTGTTATTAGGAATCTTAATGCTTTTCAGTCAAACCCGTTATTAATATAACTGTCGCGAACCTATTGATTCAGTAATTTATATCCTTAGCAGTGGTCAATGAAGCACCATTCAACAACTTCTTAGCGCTATTTCTATAGATTAACCAAACATAGAAGTTATTGTGAACAAAATTATTTATTTCGCAGTCAATAGGATACCAGGGATTCAATCTTTTTCAATATTGGTTAGGCTGATAGGCTTAGTCGTATTAATGCATTCCATATTTGTTTAACTCATTCCAGTATTAGTTGCTTGTATTGAAAATTTAAGATATCCACCCATGATAGCTCACTATTTGCGTTTATCCAATTTAAGACATTATTAGCCACACATCATTCATTCACGTACTTGCTTACTACTAACTGCTTGTCGTTTTATTGGTAAATTTTGTTTTCCAGGTAGCAAAAAGTCAATCATATAAATAGTTGTTTTAGTTTGGTTTCGAGAAAGGTGCCCCCTTTCAAACCCCAGAGAGTTTTTGCGGGTTTATCCACAATTACGTATCTTGTATTCAGTCATAACAAGCCAGCATTAAACTGTCAAAACTTAATCTCAAAAATCATGTCTTTCAACCAAAGTTTTTCTTTGATTTCTGAGACCAATCTTTCGTCTCAGGGCAACCTTGGCAGATTGTTATTGAGTAATAACCAAAAAAGTCTTTTTAGCTGTCAGTTACATTATATAATATAATATTATATAATATCATATAATATTATATTATATGATATAATATAATATTATATGATATAATATTATATGATATAATATTATATGATATAATATTATATGATATAATATTATATAATATTATGTTATATTATATTATATTATTAAATAATTTATATTATATTGTATAATATTATATGATTAAATTTAATACATATTATATTATACTTAATTATATTATTATACTTATATTATATGATATATATTATATTATATTATATTATATTATATTATATTATATATATATATTAATTATATTATATTATATTATATTATATATATTATATTATATTATATTATATTATATTATATTATATTATATTATATTATATTATATTATATTATATTATATCATTTAGCTATGGTGAATCAATATTCTCTTATTCTTCTTACAAATCTATAATAAACAACAAGTGAAGAAGTCAGGGTAGTATGTAATAATGAAAATTGTTATTTTTCAGGCGTTAGATGATATGACATTCCGCTATAAAGACAAAGAAACTCCATATGGTTACGTTACAACGCTATCACATGCAATTCAGGTGACTAAACCTCTTTTGAAAGCTTAGTCTTACGTGACATTTTATTCCAATCAAACCGAAAGAAGAACGCACTTAACATCGACTTTATTCTCTATGTTTTCAACAATCAACTGTTCTAGTTGCAACCATAGTTTTCAGAGAGAAAAATTTTCGCTGTTTGATCTTGTTATTGGGGAGAATTTGATTCGCTTCAGGCAGTTGTAGCACTTCCAACAAACGCCATTCTCTGAATTGTTAATCTTTTTATTTTTCCAGTCTTGGTTGGTGTTGTTTATACCCTAATGTACCATTTGATTTCTCATTTGATATAGAATTATTCCTCTGTTCATCTCATGCGCTTTTTAATTCTTGTCCTAAATATCGTATTTATCGTCATAGTATAAGGAAAAAATTGATGTCTAAATATCTCGTTTTATATCAGTTTAAAATAGTCATGCACTTGTAGTATAAGCTTTGGAGTGTTTGTCACTTGATTCTATTTTTGAGCCATTTGCTTTGCAGATGTATCCTATTGAAGAAGCTCTTTATGCACCATACAAAATGAGCCGATTTGACAAGAGCCTTATAGAGCTGGTTTTAAGTCATCTAAAGCCATCAAATCTACAGTAATTCTTTATATTGTGAAATTTCCAAATTATTGATATGTTAACTAAAGCGATTTCTAGGTATTTTGTCATCAGTTACTAGTTTATCCTGATTGATCAAGATCTCAGCATGAAAATTGTAATATACAGTGAGATCCTAAATGGAACTAAAGTGGAATTCGTCAAGCTTTTATCGCGATGCTCAATTTCCAGGCGGGAAGGCTTTAGATTTTGTCTGTAAAATGTCATTCAATAGGCCGGTTTCCTATCAGTTCAAATATTGAATTCCACAATTTGAATTCCAGTTACCATGAAGATTTAAATGATTTGTTTTACAATCAAATAAGACACTTCCGCTACATTATCCAAAACAGTGTTCTTTCTTTCATGATCAGAAAGTCAAAACATCACTTCTTTTTCCAGCAAAATATATAAGTCACTGTCGGTATGGTTACGTCCATTTTTTCATTTTCCTGTCCTTCCCTTGCATCACTTGAGCTAGCAATCAATATTGTTACAAGTCCTCAAAAGCTATAACACGTAGAGCCTCAAAATCTAAACAATTTAAGAAACTTTTTGCAAATGATGACGTGTGTTGCGTATGTATGTTGTATTTATTTTGGTTATCTTCCAGCGTTCAAGTGACTTCAAAATGTCATGAAGGGAAAACTAACTGCACAGAAAAGTGGTATGGCACTGCTTATAACGTCAACAAAATAGCAGAGGAAAAGCTTAAAGTATGTGCAAAGATACACACTGTTTTTCTTGCTATTTTTAAAGTCGACCTTCCTCTAGCCATCGAGTCACTGATAGCTATAATAAAAAGTTTAAAAGAAACAGAAAGATTACAAAAACAGCCATGATATTCAACCGAACAGCAAATGTTGTTTCCTATTAAAGCAGTGCAATACAAGAGGTTGTAATTCAGAATTGCTCTATATTTTTGGCAGCCCCTTGACTCTGCTTTTTCATAAATAGGGTTTTTTTCCAGGCTTTGAAATGAAATGAATAATACTGTTGCCCAGAAAAAATAACGTCTTTCTTTTTTGTTTTTTTATTTTGCAGAATGTATATTGTCTTATGATAATGAATCTTTCAGCTTTGAGAAACCTCACTGTTAACTTCCCAGCATGTGATGATGTTATCTAACCGTTTTATTAAAAAGTACAGAGACTAGGTATATGGCTGAATTGTGTAGAGCATTTCGTTTTATCTTCACTATCAAAGAATTTTTCCCAGAGTTTCCCAATGGCAGGTTCACAGTGGCTGGACGGTGTTAATATACAGGGCCGCTGAGAGGGATGGAAGGGGGACATGTTGCCCTAGAGCCTCGAGGTTTAGGGGGACCCCCATTTTAAGAAAATATTAAACACGTGTAACATAGGTAGGCCTAAATATTTCAAAACGTTTTAAAAGATTGCAAGAAAGTGACTGCAAGAAATATTCTGAAATGTATTTTAAGCTTGTCTAAAGAATGTGATTACAAACATTTTCCGATCGCTTTGCTCGTAAGGGCCTCGTCTTTCTGTTTTGCCGCAGGGCCTCAGAAACCTCTGGGCGGTCCTGTTGATTTGTGATAACTGTGGTTTGATAATTTTATTTAATTTTAATTTAATTTAAAAGTTAAATTTTTGTTTAATTTAATCGCACCATCAATGATTTAATTCAGTATTTTATTGTTAGCACTGAGCCCAAGATCATATGAATCTGATTTTTTGTTGCTTAAACAAAGAATAATATTTTTTGTTTTGGGTGTGGCGAAAGGTGATATTTCATTGCAAGCAGTTTCAGTATATTGAAATTTAGCTTTTAACATTAAAAGCACCATTAATTTAAACTACTGCTCCGTCAAACAGAGTTTAAGAAAGATCCAGGGTCAATTCTTCCAAGAGGAAACTGTCACATTTCATTTTTATGAAGTAGAAAATAGCTTTGAAAAAAAAACAAATATTTCACAACATGCTACTCAAAGCTATTTCGTCTGATACTCCTGATACGATTATTTCTTGAAGTAAGGAAGGGAAATATCTTTTTTATTTCTCGTGAAGATAGAAAGATATTCTTTTTACAGATATGGGAGGAATGTGGATTGAGTAAAGACTTTCATTTGCCTCCACCTAACGAGCTGATTCCAACAGAGTTCAATATGAAAGCGAAACCATCAGATGAGGTATAAAGATTAGTTTCTACAAATTTGATATTTTTTGCGCTCGGATTGCAAACTATTGTTTCTGTCATTATATAATCAAAACGACGAGTAATTGACAGTTTTCAAATTCTCAAAGCTAACCAACACTCTAAGATTCGACAACCTGCATAGTCGGTTTGTCAGTAGCACATATTTCATCAATGGGTGCCACCTTATAAGCATCTTGCACCTTCTTTATAAGGAATGTTTAGACAAAGAAATGCAAGTTTTTGCTCTTTCAGTACTCTTTAATGTTGACCTGTATGTAAACGAATTTACGTAAGCACAATTGTGCTCTCATGACCCATTGGCAACAAGGATGTACCGTTAGACATTTTTGTGTATCACCATTGCCAGATATCGGTTGTAAATTCAAAGGAATTTCTATTCACTCTCTCTCCTTTTTAACTCTTTGAAAGTTCACCCATCACAATCTTTCTCTTTTTAGCTAAGTGAAGTCCCTGTGCTGCTCGAAGTAAGTAATTGCTTTGCTAGCTTCTATATAAGTCTAATTGTCTTTAGTTTGATTGAAATTAGAGCTAATAGCTATGGACGTCTGGTTTATGTTATTTTACTTTGCTTTGTTCTACACAAAATGCTGATATCCTTTCAAGAATAGTATAAGGAATCGTTAGACACAAACGTGAACTGTATAGTCATAGAGCTTTGCATATGATGACAATTGACACGAGATGACAAGTATAGTCACGAGATGACCTTTTTGTCAATGACAGTTTCATTTTAGTAAATTATTCGCCTTACAGGAAGATGATATTTTCAGAGTTTGGTTCAAACAAGACAAGAAGTTTTGCCTCCCTAAAGCATGCTTATACTTCGAATTTTCAAGGTAGATTTTGGGATGGTTTCATACATCAACTTAGCAATTGTCATCCTTTTAAAATGTTTTCCATAATTTCTTACAATATGTAGAACAAAGACAAAAACTTGACATGAGAAATAAAACATTTGCAGGGACTCAAAAACCTATTCGTAACCAAGCATTATTAAAAATTAATCATTTTCAACATAGGATAATCAGTAGAATTATTTTATTCAAGTATATTACATAGATTCTAGAAGTAAAGTTTGTAAGCAAGGGATAATATAGCATGTAAGAAATCAAACATTTAACTAAATAGTAAGCAAGTGTACAAATGGTAGAAAACTCTGAAAAAGAAGATGATACCATGTTTTCGGATGCATGAAAAGCTTCTGAATGTTCTCTTTCCTCAACTTTTTATTTTTTTATTTGAATATAGCAGATACTCGATGATGATTCCAGTTTGTGTTTTCTTATCTAATTAATATGAAAAATGATGTTATTAAAGATTTATCTTATAATACTGCATCGAATTATTGTATTTATGAATTTTTTATTACAGTCCAGTCACATTCAGTCATCCTCGACACTGTGCGATGGTGGAAATATTTCTCAATTTGCTTCAAGACTCCCTCACCGAATTTTCCTACGATGCAGAATTGGCAGGTGTATCATACAGAACTGAACTTCACGTTCACGGAATCCAGGTAAGGTCCCGACTTTCTCGAAGAATTGTATATACTGCGTTTTGATGGACAAGACAGTTTAAATGAACAGGACAAGACATACCTTGCTAAAACCTCTTCAGAGTGCAGCAAACATTCCCCCATCTTTAAACCATTTAATGCCAGTCTGTTTACTTTAAAAACCAGTGAAATGATTTTTGGCATTGGTATCTTTGAAAATTCAATCACATTTGGTTAAATCACCCTAAATATATTTGCTCGCTCTTCAAAATTTAGAAGTTTGTTTGTTGCTACGGGCTTTATAATGCGTTCAACTTGCAGTCGACAGGAAATGGGATTGAAGCCTTGTATACTTTTTCCCTGGTGAAGGCCCGTATTCCAGTGTGGAATATTAGCTACCTTAAATCTACTTGTGTTCATTGTTGTTTGTCCTCGAAGCGTCGCAGTGTTCTACATTTTCATCAACTTTTTGCCACAAGCATTCCATTGGAGTCCGTGAAGCAGCTTGATACTCTGGCCTTTCCATCATTAACATACACCAAATGGGGTGGTCTTGGAGTAGCTGTTAATGAACTTTCCTTTATATCCGTAATCTTCTCCCTTTGTCTCAGTTAAGAATCAAGGGCTACAACAGTAAACAAAGTGTGTTGCTGAAGAAAATCGTCGAAAGGTTGGTGAATCTGGAGATGAAGCAGGATCGATTTGATGTGATGAAAGAGAAGGTACAACTTAAGTTTCTTCGCGTAAAAGAGCTTTATTTGTAGAGCATTGCCCAATTGTGCCCTAATGACGGTTGTATTCAATTAAATTTGTGTGCAGATTTTGCTGACAAAATCTTTATTTAATCATAATCGTTGTTTATACAGCTAAAGATAACAAGGCTCTGTATCACTTTGATGTTAACAAGATTTGAAAATTAAAATAAAAGTTGGGCCAGCGATTTTCGCATTTTCAAACGGATATCGAACTTCGTAAAAGGAATGAAACTTGCGAATTTAATCGACAGATTTGCAAATCTGTCGCTTTTCTATTCAAAGACTTTTGCCATAAATTAAGAACTATTTCAGATTTTGTAACCCTATTTTTTAAGTAATATGAAGTCAGGCTCATCTATTTAAGTTTGAGTTGCCAGTCTGCGTCTTAATGGAAACTTGAATTACTGTGTACCAACTGGCATACGTTGGTGAAGCTGAAATCCATTGTAGTTATTGCAAAGCTTAAAGATTGTGACAATTATTATCACTAAGTCCATACTATGTTTTATTTTAACCAGATTCAAAGAAAGCTAAAGAACTTTGAGGCAGAACAACCTCACATGCACGCCATATTCTATATGTCATACCTATTGTCCGAGCAGGCCTGGGACAAAGTGGAAATACTCCAGACCTTAGCAGGTGATGTTTCCTTATTATTATGATTACACAGGGTCAATTGTATACATAAACAAGTCCTTTGGTTAAGTGAATTAAAATTGACTGAGGCAATGAAAGATATGTTTTAGAATTTATCGTCAGTTTCTAGTGGGTGTGCAGTAGAAGATCACTGGTTATCGCAAATATTTACTCATATAACTGAACCGAAAGTTTTTTTGGAACAGAATAATAAAAAAAAGAAAGTTAGCTGCTCATTTAGATTACATTTAAAGGTTTAAATTCTGGGCTTACTTTTGAGGTATCTACGCTTTTTTGGGCTGGTAAATTTATTATCTTTTCCTGCTACATTCAGCTGTAATAGACCACTATGCTCTTGTCAACAGATGTGACACTTGAAAAGTTGAAAGCATTCATTCCAGAGTTCCTTGGTCAAATGCACGTAGAGTGTTTGATTGCTGGAAATCTAACCAAAGAGGTATGTCTAGTATTTCTTACAGTATATATAATCATTTCTTATAAAGATATTTTAGCCATATTCATATACACTAGCTTTCGCCATATTGACACTTACATTCTTATACTGTGATGTAAAAACACCAGCCTTAACTGCTTAGAGTGTATATTCCTTACGAATCTATGATTATAATTCATTTCCTTGAACAATATATTCCTTGAACAAAAGTCCTTAAAGTTCTTAAATGATGTTGTGTGCATCGATACGTTGTGTATTCACGTGGATCTGTATTTCAAAGTAAAAAAGATCCAGAAGCGATTTATTGATACGGTGCTCTTTCTGCCTCTCAGGCCCGTTTTATAGCAAACATCGCGCATTCCCCCAATCAATGTTGGCTAGCGGTTTGTTCTTGTTTATTTCAGCTCAATTTTAGACATCAACAGCCATGCTCCTACAGCTAAATTATTTATGGGAGAGGGTTGCGAGTAATGTTTTTGTGAGTGTTTTTGCAAGGTTTTGGCTGTATTTTTCATAGGTTCCGATGATGCTTGCTTTCAGTCTATGCCAAAAATAAGTTCAATTTACTTTTTCCCAAAGTAAATTGTTATAATTTGCGTTCTAGGAAGGTAGAGAGATTGTTCATATGGTGTCAAACCTCATGAAAGAAAATTCCAATACGAAAGCTCTCTTTCCACTCCAAAGAATTAGGCAAAGAGAAGTACAGCTCCCTGATGGTAATATCTTCTGTGGCATCTTAATTTATATCGCAATTGAATGTTTTTGTGTTTATCTTGCTTAGTTAGAAATTGTGAGTTATATTACAGCTTCATTTTCTTCTCAATTTTTCGAAGCAAGCAGGGCAAGATTTTGGCTTTTACTGATCTTTTATGTCATTTAGAGGATTTGAATTTAAGGAATCGTCAGGTCCAAAACGCTTCAGCTTGTACTTGTAGTGAGTTAATGCTGTGACAAAGTTCTTTCTCAATCAAGTCTTGAGCTTGATCCTAGAACATTGCTGTGTCTCGACAAAAGGCAACCGTTTCCCAGCAATGTGGAGACGAAATTTGGCGTAATGAGATGTGATCTTGGATAGTTTCTAGGCCAAGAACAGAATGCCCTGCACGGAGAAATTTGCTAAAGTAATCCTATATGGAAATAGACCTGACAGAATATTTCTTTTGGAATGAGAAAACTTCTCTGTAGCATTTGATATAAGGGCTGGAAGATCAATAGACGTAATTTGTTGAATTAACAGAATCGAGCTCGAAACGCATTTCTTGAAAATCGAAGTTTCCTCCATATTATGAAGCTACCGCCTGGAGTATGCCCTCCAGCGTCAAATCATAATCATATGACTGATAACCATGCGTACGATTAAAAAATAAGATGTTTTCCATATCCCTTTTGCAGGTTGCTAAAGAAGGGGGGGCTCCAGTGATAGTCCGTTGCTGCAAATTTTCTGATGTCTTACTTTATGATACTTCAAAATGCTTCAAAATTAATATCTAACTTTTTGTATTGTTATAAAATTGAAGCTTAATTGGTTTCTTTCTTTTGTGAGTTCAATTTGGCCTTTTCTAATGAGACACTGCTTGCTCTCTTTTTATTTAGGTGCTTATTACATTTATGAAAGAAAACACAAAGTCCAGAATAATTCCTGTATCGAAGTTTATTATCAGGTATTTGTATGCTAGAGAAGAACATTTTTTACGTGGTGCCTTTGTTTTAATTTCTTCCTGGAGTAATATAGAAATGTAGGGAAATTCATAGAGGACTTGAATATTCATCCAAGGCCACAATTTGTTAGAGAACGAATTCAACTGTATCGTTGATTTGGCTGGCTTTTAAGTATCGTGGCCGTATATGGCAGACTTCACGTCATTTGATTTATAAAACATGATTTTTGGGCAATATGAGAAACACGCAGGCCTTTATTTAACGGAAATTATGAAATTTTGTTAACTAATATCCTAATACTAGTGTTTTTCTTTAAGAAATATGAAACTGAGAATTGGTTAAGCATCGTTAAGATGTTTGTTTCATTTGGGCCATGGAACTGTTTTGCTATCTAGCAATTTTGCTTTTATTATTAGACGGAAATGCAGTGTACCAGGAGCAATGCAACGCTAGAGCTGTTTTCCCAACTCATTGCTGACAAATGCTTTGACCAGCTACGAACACAAGAACAATTAGGTGAGATCTTTTTGTTTCAATAGAAGATCGCTGGTTTCCGCAAATATTTATTCGTATAACTGAATCGAATGTTTTTTTTTAAATGGAAATACCTCGGTAGAATAACAAAATTGGCTGTTCATTTTGATTACGTTTAAAGTTTTAGATTCTAGGCTTTCTTTAAAGTATCTACGCTTTTCGAGCTGGTAAATTTTTTTCTTTTCCTGCTACATGAAAGTCACATGTTTCATGAAAGTGACAATCGCTTAATTGAGTTTTTGTTTTTGTTTTCAATTAAACCCCCAATGCCTTTGATTACCAGATATTAGAAACGATTCATTTGTACCTCAAGTATAGCATTACTTTTAAACGTTTGCCGCTTTTGTTTTCCAGCTTTCTCCTTCATAAACGATTTTCCAGTTTTCTTCTTCATAGGTTTTCCTCTTAGTCTATGATATTCTGGATCTTTTGCTACCTTTAAAGTACACTTCAGCGTTTCAAGATGACAGAAGTAACGACATTTTCTTCTTTTTAAGGGTATATTGTATTTTCCGGTGTTAGAAGGGCAAATGGTGTCCAGGTGAAGAACCCTTTCATTGATTTCTTTTTAACCTTCATGATTGTTTACAAGTTTTTTATGCAGTTTTAAATGTGATACAATATTTTATTTATATCATATTATCCAAGCTGTGAATACTGTAACAATTTTTTTCGAAAAGCTTGGGGTCTTAAGGGCAGTTTTCAAAAGGCCTGCCAAGATTGCTCTACACAGTTCATTGTATAAAAGCTTGACTTACGTGGTGAAGGTAAAGTAAGAGCATCTGTGCTCAGCAACAGTGGCTGTATATCTATGACATTGAATTCCAATGATTGAGAACAATGCTGCCTCCAATTGTAGCTTTGTTTGATGTTGCTTCCAATACTCAGTCGCTGATAAACAAACTTGCTCCTAAATGTTTCTCTTATATTTTTTGGATTTTTTAAGCTATTGGTTTTTTATGTTTTTACCTCCTGTTTGAAGTGACCCCCCCCCCCCTTCTTCCATAAATACCGTTCTCCTTTAAGTCATTATACTCACTGGATAAAATTATTTCAGGGTTTGCGATTCATAATCCAGTCAGAGAAGAATCCTGCAATCTTGGATGAGAGAATTGAGGCTTTTCTTTCGAACGCAAAGGTGATTCAGTAAACATATTTGATTTTCAATGATGAATATTTTTCAATTACAATATAGGTTGTAAACTATGAAGATTACCATTTACTTGTCAAATAAACAGAGGTGATGATTGTATTAAGGTTGAAAGTTGAGGTTGCCACTGGAACCTTCTTGTTCTGCACACAAAAGTATAGATTAAAAGTTATGAAAATTAGTTGGCCATTCTTGTCTCCTTACGGCGAATGTTATTGCATGATTTAGGAAATATTTATGAACAATTTCAATTTCATGCAATAAACTTTGTATTTTTATCAAAAGGAACATGCTCTTGCTCGACTATAGTTCTTTCTACGTCTGTAAACTTAATTCTTGAATTCCAGGAAATAGTTCAAAATCTTACTGATAAAGAGTTTCAGAACCATGTCAATGCTCTTATAATGAAGAAGCTAGAGGAGCCGAAGAAATTGTCAGATGAATGCAGCAAATACTGGAATGAAATAACAACCAAAGAGTATAACTTTAGAAGGCGTAAGTATTTACGTATTTCATTTTTGAAAAAAATTCCTCCTCAGATTAAAAGGAAAAACTGCAGAGAAAAAACTTGTTTGGTCTTGTCTAGCTTTTTCAGTCTACCATTTTGTCTTTGACTAAAGTTTAAATAGTGAGTCATTTAGTCAAGCGGTGATTTAAAACGAACATCACTGGCAAACCATGACAAATGAAGCACCGGAGGTGGACTCGATAAAAAGCTTTTAGACCTTTGGTTTTTTCTGAATGACACATTTTTAAGGCTACTTTGAGGCTAAGCTGATAATAGAGTACCGAAGTGTGACGTCACCAAAAGTCTATTTTTAGAATTTCTAAATTTTGGCCGCATAATCTGAAAGAACGGCATAAAATACCTCTCATTGTGTAAAATTAGTTAGATATGTTCCAAGTTGGACGAGATATGGCCAATGAAAGATTTCAAGTTTGCCAACGGATTACTGTTATTCTGGCCTGGTTCATAAAGTTATGAACCAAGACCAAATTACAGAGGTTTGATGAGGCAAGAGCCTGTCCTTATATGGTCATATCTAAGCCAATTCGTGATGCCTTTAACTGATTTTGCACGCTAAGAGGTGTTTCATGATGCCCTTTTAGGTTCTGGGATCAAAATTCATAAATTCTGAAAATAGATTTTTATGACGTCATCATTTCGGTACTCTATATTGGACCAGTACTTGGCTTTAAAAATACCTTTTCAGGTTTCAAAGTTAAGTCATTTCTGTTAATCATGTCTTTTACAGATTTTACTGTTGTGTGGATTTTTCAAACCTTGTAGCCTTATCAACAAACCATTGGCAAAACTTTTTCAAAATCACTAGCAATCTTGCCTTTTTCTGCCCTTGTTTGTTTTTTTATTTGTTTTCATATTCATTCAATTTTATTTTTATTGTATTCTATCCAATAAAGTTTTTGCTTTCTTTCCAAGCAATAATGGAGGCCGAAGAACTAAGAAAAATTGAGAAACACGACGTTGTCAACTTTTATGAGGTACTTACTATTAATGAATATACCGAATCATTATAAACTTTCTGAATGGAACAATTTAGGCATAGCCCAGATATAAAACATAAATATTGCCATTTTAGAAATAGACTAAAAGTCCATTTTGAAAAAAATTTATTTTGGTGTTTCCACTGACGAATGAAAGTTTTCTTTTGGTTAGGTTTCTGTGTATTTAAAAAGCTAATTAAAATGTATCATGTGAATATGTGCAAATAGTTACATAAAGATCGAGCGAAAGCTACTAGTTGGCTACATTTTTATATGTCTGTTCTTTATTTCTTCCCCTTGGTATGAAAAACCTGCAATGGTTGGTAAGATATTGCATTGATAACGAACCTTCATATTTAAAACTGTTTTGTTAAAACATTTAAGTACAAATACTGTGAAAACATTCCTGTCACACAGTGATCACCGTCAGTTCATTTTAATAAAATTAATTTTAAAATTTCATATTAAATTTTATATGCGACATATAACTTTTCCTTGAAAGGCGTCATAACTTGCATATTAAAACAAGATTTGATGGCATATTTTCTTTGTAGTCCCTGCTCTCCTCCACTGCTCCGCAGCGGCACAAGATATCGGTTTACATCCTCGGCAATGGCTCGAAAGAGCACAAAAATGTCCAGGAGGCTGAAGAACCACAGGTAGCTATGTGGTTAATTTCCCTTTGATTTAATAAATGAAAACTATATATGTATAGGCTTTTAAAGTAACCACCTCTATACATTTTGAAGATGTAGTTGCATTTTTCTTTCTCTCGACTATCATTCAAAAACGGAAGGATTTAATTGTTCCTCAAACTGGTTTTTTTGTTAAGTACACGAGATGTCTTGAGAATATTAATCATGTGGATGTGACCTCATGTTAAATTTTCCAGATAATTTTAACGTCTTATTTAACCTCTTTTCTAGCAAGAACTGTCCATTTTTGTGTATGATCACATTTTAACAGCTCGATAACACCAGTACACCGTTTATGCTTCTTTTTAGACTGGTCCAGAGTACATCACAGATGTCCTTAGTTTCAAGAGCAGTCTTCCACTTTTCCCAGTTTTGCGTTCCACTAAGACACACTGCAAGACAAAGGCTAAGTTGTGAGTTTGTATTGGGCCAGCTAGGAATTTTTGAAAACTAGTACTTTTGCAATTTTAATAAAGATATATAAAGAACCACACGCAAAGCCATGTCTGGAATATTTACGTGACACAATTCACGAGTGTTATGAATAGATGTGGAAGGCAAACCAGCATTTTTAACTTATGCAGACCCCACTGATGACAAGAATTTCAGTATTCAAGAATGTTTCGAATAATTCTAGAATTGTTACTTTATGCTGGCCTAAGTGCTTTTGCCCCACATTGTGGCTATTACCGAAGGCATACACTGTGGAAAACAAAAACCCTTTTATTCGATCCTGCTCAGCCACTTTTTAATTTATTAAGCAGCAGTAAAGAATACACTAGTCCAAGAACTTTTTCATACACTACCACTGTTCCAGCCTACAGTCCAGTTTTTATATTTGAAGGGCCTAAAATAGCTTTGCAAAAGGACATCTAAATGCCCTTTCGTAAATCACGGTAGTATCTCGAACAACAAGCAGCATCTTCGAATGGTTTACTTTCAACCTTTAAGGCCTCAAGGAGAGCAACGCTGAGGCGAAAAGATCAGCTTACCACAATTTATTGATGACTCAATACACTAGGCTCGCTAAAAGTTTATTGCAAGTCATGTATTTCAAATATGATCTTCATATCGACAAAGCTAAGTGATCATTATCATAGTCGTTAAAGATACATTAATCTAGGCTAGCTTTGAAAAGAGGCGGCTCCTAAATTGCTGAGTAGAAATCCAGTGCCTTACACTAATTTTAATAAAAAGTCAATTTCAATGCTACGATACCTTTTAGTCGACCTATGTGGAAAAAGTTCTATGATCAGTAGAGGCATCTTAATAATTGCAACAATATATGCAGATTTTTAATAAGAGGCGCATGCAGCCATTTTTTTCATAAAGAACTATTTGCTAACAACACCAAATGAACTTTAAAGCGAGACGATTGATAGTAAGAAATGATGAGGTTTTTATGTAGCTAGGACCTGAGATGGGAATGCTAAACCTCTTTATAATTATGTGTAGAATAATATTTGAGCAGCTTAAAAGCAACGTCCAAGCGTCCCGGACATTACCCTTAAAGTCTTAAAGCTTTCGTCAGACAAAGAATGAAAAAGAGGGGTTGGTTTGTTTACTGTTTTATTTCTTTTCATTGGCCTTGGCACTGTCGTTGACCATGTGGCCGCCATATTTGCTGAGCTCTGCTTATAAGATGTCGGATTTTTGTTAGAGAAAAGGCTTTTGATGTTGTGGTGTGGTATAAAAGTGATTTAGTATGCTGTAGCTCTGATATATTTAATTTGTGTTTTGTATGAAGGTTTTCAAACCATATAAAGATGTAAAAAAGATCAGTAACATAATCCGAACCTTATTTTAATGTAAGCAAATATTTGATCATCATGACTGGAAAATGTTTCCAGGAATGTGGTTTTGTTTGACACCCCTCCCCTTTTATCTTCAAGATTTTTGCATTGCAGAGTATAGAGAGCTAATGAAAACAGTAAATCCCTTAATCGTGTCTTATAACTTCAAAGAAATTAGTTGACAAGGGTGATAAAAGTAAACAATTTTATACACATAATATATTTCTGTTTGTCATTGTAGCAGATTTGTTGTTGTGTCTTTTATCAATGGAAAGGTCTATTCGCATTGCATTGGTGTCTTTCTTTGTTTTCCATCTGTAATATCCAAAAACAGGAACGATTCTTCTCTTGTTCCATATACATCAGTTTGTACTAAACCTGCTTTTTCAGATAATATTTTTTCAAAAATACGATTTTTTAATTTATTGCGGACATTGCATTATCATTGCCTTACAGTTTACAATTGGGACAGACAGTAAAGGAATTTTCACAGCACTTTTCCTGAGCTAGATTTTGGTATCTCTGATATAAAGATTTAGAGGGGCTCTTCAAAACTTCCCAAAAAGGGGCCCTTTGAAACCCCTTCGGGCCTTGGCTCGTTAGTCCAACTAGCTAGTCCGTCCGTGCATCTTTTTAACCAAGCTAGGCTTTGATATTTCTGCTATCGCCTAACCTTTGAATAGGGGGAAGAGAAGAAATGCAGTACTTCCACTTTAAAAAAAAAGAAATTATCATATTTTTGCCCTTTTGGTATTGAGATATCCCTCCTTGGCGATATAAATTTCTTTCTAATTTCTTTCCACGTATATGAAGAGGAAAGCTCTCAAAACAACGTAAAATTTTTGGCAAAATGCTTGCCTAACGCAGCCAGGCAATTGCCCGGTGGGCCCTCCCTATGTGAGCGAAATTTTAAACACAATTTTAAACGATAACTCGTATTGTTTGGTGGCGGCCCTTTTCTCTTGCTGTTACACCGAAATTCTCTCGAGATTAGAGGGTACAAAATGAATAAAAATATTACTTTGAGGTTTCTATGTACTGCAAAGACATTTTCCAAAATTTGGGGTCCTTGTAAGTAGGCAGTATTCTGGTCCCAGGGCTCACCAGCTCTAATGCAATAAATGTGTTACCAAACAGGAAGTTCAAAAATCCGAAAAATTTTCATTAGTTTAATTTTGTTCATTTGATCATAGGTTATGTTGGCAAGGACATGACAATTTTTGTGACTCAATTTCTAGGAAGGTAAAAATAACTTTGATGCTAACCATTCGAGACTATACATGAAAACAGCGGAGGGGCAAAGCCTCTTTTATTGTTTATGTCAGGATCAGTCAAGAATTTCGTAAAGCTGTAACATAATTTCTGCTGGTTGCCAAAACTGGACAAGAAAAGGAGGTGAGATTTGACCAGCAAACTTTGATGCATTACAAACTTTATACTCATAGAAATCTAGACATAGTTTGACAAATCAAAATAGAGAGGAATGACTCGCAACTTGAGAGGAATGACTCGTCATGCTGTACGTTTAGTTATGTCTTCTATAGACCAGACAGGCATTCGTTACTTTTAAAGTTATATGCAGTGATGTTGGGGTTGTCGCTAAAAGTTGATATTATGATCTTGGCTTGTCGGTAATTCTGAACTAATTACCATTAGTAACATCATTACATTACTGGGAAAGATTGGCTCAAACGCATTTTGCCGGTCAAATCTCCCATCCCTAGCCACAAGTAAGGGCAACATTTTTATGTGCTGTAGATATTACTGTTGCTAAATTTTTCTAAATATCAACAAATGAATATAGGAGGCCTATCACTGATTGTTTTCTTGAAGCAATTCTTAAACGGGCTTCATTTGTGCAAGATAGCTATAAGTTTCTCATTTCACTTTTAAAAAGAAACTCTTGTATCAAATCTGTATTCTCATTAAAAAAGCCATTATCAGCTGAAGAAATAAGGAAGGCATTATTTAATTAGAAGAACAACTATTTTACCTGGCCTTGAAAGGTTTTATCGGTCAAAATTCAACGCGCCTCCCAACTTAATGCTCTGGCTACACAAATATATAAATCAACAATGTTAGTCCTTATGATACCAAATATGCGAATAACTGAAAAATCGTGCCCATGAAGATTACTGCTTTACCGAACTGTCAAATGGCATTCCACGCCGTTTAGCGTGAACCTTGGAGCTATAACAGAACAGTTATGTTCTACGGGTGGTGGTTTTAGGCGAAGTTTTAGAGGGGGAAACGGACCCAAACATTGCGCTTGGGCACCCAAAAGGCTCCGCATTCCCTAAAATTTCCACTGTTTTCTACACGCCAAAGCGTAACAGGTATATAATCAATTAGTACAGTACAGGTATATACTGTACTAATTGCAGAAAGTAGAGAAGATCTTCAAAAAATGATTCACGAACTTCATTAAAATTGTGAAGAGTACAGTATGAATCTAAATGCAAAGAAAACCAAAGTAATGTGGAAATAGACAAGAAGGAGCAAATTAAATGTGAAACTAAAGTAGAAAACAAAGAGCTAGAGCAAGTAAAAGAGTACAAATATCTATGAAGTTGGATGGTTGATAATGGAAAATGTGAGAAAAAAGGCAGAAGAAATAGGTAAAGCAAAACGTAATTTTGGAAATTTATGTATTTTTGAGAAGCAACATCAATACAACCTCAATTTGAGATTAAGGCTACTTGAAGCCTAGACCTTCTCAGTAATAGGATATGGAAGCGAAGCATGAACATACAGCAAAGTAATAAAAGAAAAACTTAATGCTTTTGAAATGTGGTGCTACAGGAAAATTCTGAAAATAAGCTGGACTGAAGAGTAACCTACAAAAAAGTGTTAGAAACAATTGGACATCAGAGAGTTTTAGTCAACGAAATGATAACAAGAAAAATGAGATTTTCTGGCCACGTTATGAGGAGATCATCCGGGCTCTTGGCAAGGCTTGTTTTAAAAGGTATTATTGACGCAAAAAGAGACAGGGGACGACAAGGAAGAACATAGGGAGACGATGTTAAGGAATGGAGCAGGTGTGAGAGCATTGGAAGAGCTAAAAGATATTCTGAGGATAGGGATGGTAGCCAACCTTCTGATAGAAGATGGTACCAGATGATGATGATGATGTATATTGTATTGTATTGTATTGTATTGTATTGTATTGTATTGTATTGTATTGTATTGTATTGTATTGTATTGTATTGTATTGTATTGTATTGTATTGTATTGTATTGTACTGTATTGTATTGTATTGTATTGTAATTATTATGTCCTTGCAAAGTCTATGATCCTTTTCTTGTTATTATGGTATTTTCCTCATCTCATCTGTACATGATGCTGTTGTTGTTGCACAATTGAACATCCGCTGGTCCCTGGTTCCAACGATATTCACACGTGCCAATGTCGTACCAAAACGAAAAGAAGCCGTCATGATGGAATCAAATTAAACATTTTGACCCAGGAAATCAGTTTTTAACTTATTTAAAGTGATTTTTATAAATATATAATTGTCAGTTGATGAGCCTTACTCCTGTGGAATGCGGACTTCGACGATATTATAGGGATGAACTTCGTGTTCTTGGCTGCCTAGGCCGGTAGGTGCTGCTTGAAACCAGCGTTATCTTTCTCATTGCCGCCGTTTCTCAACAGATCTCGACCCTTTGTTTTCGGAGCTTTGCTGAATTCACCAAGAAAAATCAAGAAGGTAATGTTTATTTCTTTCTCATAGTAAATCATGTCCGTGATTTATTCTTTTAAACAAGTTTATGAAAATCGAAACTGCTTTCCGTGTCGTCTACGCGCAATAAGCAACAGGAGGAAATTCTATGTTTACATGATAATCCGTGACTGACAGGAATCAGTATCTGGAGAATTAATTATTGAGTTTGCTTCTTCCTTGGGCTTATTTTTTTATTAAAGTAATAATCTTCAGTTTATTGCAATTTTTCCAGTTTTGTGCCTTATGTTATCGTCTTTATTGTTGATTGCAATGAATGGATTGACACCGTTTTTCGTTTCTAAGGAAAAGAAAGCTTGGATGCGAAACCTAAACCACCAAGTATAAAAATGTTTTCAGAATAGTAAAATGTTATATTTCAGGAGTTTTGTGTATTTTAAGGCGAGGCACTTGCATATGTTTAATTTGTTTGATTAAGAAATGTTAACTTGTACGCAATTAATAGTACTTGGATTATTACCTACCAAGTTGTAAAATAGTTTTCTCTACATTAAATAATACCTGCAAAGCATTCTGACCTTCATCATATAAATAATCTAAATATCAAAATATTTATATATCCAAATGATATCATTATTTTATATTTTGTATCATCATAAATTTTTGTCTTAGATTTTTAGTATGAAAATGGTCAGTAATATTTCTGGTATGGAAGATCAAACAGATGTCCTAGAACCAGCAAATGGCGAAAACGCTATGGATCAGTATTTGCAGTCTATTGGTTTGTACAGGAAACCAGTTGCAAAAGATGGCTCATGTTTATTTCGGGCAGTTGCAGAAAAGGTATTATTACTTGGTTCATAGATCCTAGAGATATGGCTCATAGACTAAACCCTAGAAATTTTAAATGTGATTATTTTTTGAAATTTCATTCAGGCCATTCCTGGAGACGAGGGCTATAGCCTGTGCTCGTGGAAACCCCACGCAAAAAAGTTTTGCAAGGGCTTTTTTCCGCCCGCGCAGTTGTTTATAACAACGCTCTCATTGAATCATTTTTGTCTCACTCCCAAATGTTTTAACTATTTACCACTATATATATATACCAGGGTGTTTATGAATAACGTTGTGTCAAATAACAAGATATTTGGTTTTTATAAATATTGTTATAAAATGGAAATTACCTGTTAAAACTAGCAATGGAATAGGAAATGAGTGTACATCTAAGGAACAACAGATAGCGTAAAATAGCAAGAATGAGAACTACTTACACTGTAAAGTAAGAAATTTGTGTTACAAATACACTCATTTTTTAATAAGAAACACACTACAGGAAACAAAAACTGGGCAATCGGAGAAAATTAAAAAACTTTCAGAAATAATTCGTTTTTGCTCTTTGACTCTTCAACTGGGTGAGAGATAAACGGTTGCGATTTGTCAAAAAGGAACCAATCCTTCACCCTTTCTGAACTCTCTCGTTACTTTTGCTCCACATTTTTGCTTCCCTTTATGCTTTGAGGTTTATGTGTATGTTATCCGCCAACCTTTATCATGTTATTTTTTCGCTCTTCCCTGAAATTTTTCAGATTAAGAAACTCTTAAGAAAGAATGAGTATTGGAATTTTCTATACCATTAAGAAACTGGAGTACTCAAAGTCGACCTTCATTTATTATAGAAAAGAAGTGTATTTCAGTTATTCTTTCTTGAATTTTTATACCAATCAACTTTATTCTTCCATTAAACTGTTCTGCTCATTGTACTGCTTTTTATGGATAAAGATGAGTTTAGTTGGATACTACTCAAAAAATTTGCGTATCTACAAAAATGTTGCCATTTTGCAAACAAAACTAGAGATCTTTTTTGTCATTTTTTAGAGTAGAAATACACACAAAACTGTCTTCTTAACATAAATCATGTTTTACAAGTAGACAAGATAATTTATTTTTTGGCTTGTATATACTCAAATATAAATAGATTAAAAATAAAATGCTGCCAGGGCTAAATAGCCCATGCAGCCAAATCAGCAGGGGTCTTTTTTAGCCCTGGTGCTTTTTTTTCCTGGAGAGGCCTGGAAAATTTGATGCAACAATTAGAGATATATTTTGTTTTTTCTTTCAATTTACATCCTTAACATCTTAATATTAACCAATTTTTTATAAATTATTTATTCATACCATGCTATGAATTATCAAAATGCAAATATTTAGTTTAAAAATCTAAACTTTTCAAGGTGCCTGTGCTAGTATGGATTTATTAGCATTTTGTTCTTCATAGGTTTATTTGACTCAAGCAAGACATTTAGATGTCAGAAGGGAGTGTATCCAGTTCATGAAGTCAAACAGTGAGCTTTTCAGAGCGGTAAAAAAGTTTTTAAGATCAGTTTTCATTATCTGCCATTACATATTATCTTCATCACAACTTTAAGCAATTTATAATTCCTAAATTTGTCCTTCCTTGAAGTGATGCTCTCAAACTTGGGATGGTGATCTAAAATGTTTCCTGTGCCTCCTATACAAATTTCAATCCAAAGCCATTCGCCCCATCAATAACTGCAACCTCAAAGTAGCTGTTAAACCTCTCTCTTACTTTTTTACAGATTTTGCTCTCAGGAGGTCAGAGTTATGATCCCTGGTCCCCTGAGTTGTGAAGGTTATACAAGGTACTCTGCCAGTGCTCACCCTTTCTAAGTCTCTTTGCCAAATTAAACAAAAAAATTTTCACAACTCATCCTTTCCCAGATCTTGTGAACCCTCTACCCTCGTTACCCTCTTCCTGCTTCTCAAACATTTTTCTTTACTCATTTAAAACTAAACTTAAAATCTTGATCTTTCCTCCCTTTCTTCCTTTGCTATAGGCTCCCGGGCCTTTCCCTAGCATTTCCAACTAAGAAATCCTTGTCTCAGAACAGAAGCTAGAACTTCAAGGCAGTCAATTTTGTGTGCAACTTACAGTTCTTTCACATGTCTCACATATAGTTTTTAGGTATTTGTAAATTTCTTGCAGATGGAAGTCGTTCTGAAACATGAAATTATCTTCCAATTGGAATGTTTACTGATCTTATTCTAAATTATTATCTTTGTATTTGAAATAGAGACCAAAATTTTACAGAGTACAATGTTTTTGTCACACAACATGCTATATACATAGATAATCAATAGTTTTGCTTAGGAGCGTTGTACACTATAGACTTGTGTGTCATTGCTTGCATTCTCCCCCCACTAAATTCCCATTGTGTCTATTGGAATAAAACTACCATTATCTAAGCAAATTTTTCATAGAAAATAATTTTTCATGTAGCTGTGAAATTCTATTTAATTCTGTTTTAGTTTGTGCCAGGATCATTTGAGCACCATTTATTTGATCTGCAAAATCCAAAGGTAATAAAATTTTGTGAACCATTTTTATAATTGACTACTACTTCTTCTATAGCAAATAGTTTCAATTGATATTTTTTGATCTATTGTAAACTTACTTTGTGTAGTAGTTTAGTATTAAATAAACCTGTTAACTTTGAAGCTTCAAATTTGAAGGGAATCATGATACAATCAAGTAGCCAGCACTGTATCCATTGAAAACAATTGATAGAAGTTGTTTTTGCTTGTAGACTTTACACACAGTTATATTCTTGGAGACCTCTCCATTTCTATAAATATTGGATTCCAATCTTAACTTATTTTGAGGCTACCAGGAATTTACTCCAACAGTTTCTGTAATGATAAGATAACGGCTATAGCATTTTTTTTGTTTCTGAATTGGCTAATTAAGATATATTTTTGTTGAATTATGTGTTGTAGACAGGGGCGGACACTTGGTCAAATATTGGGGGGCAAGCCTATTGTTTTAATAAGATGACCTTACATTTCCCATTGTTTTCGAAAACAAAATACAATTGTCCTCTAAAGTATTGGGGGTCGTTGCCCCCCCCTTGCCCCCCTAAGTGTCCGCCACTGATTGTAGACTATTACTTTTGTCAGCAGCGTTCATCTTCAGTAATATTATCAGCAATATTTTTCAAAACTTACCATATCTTCTTTTCATTGCTGGTAAATAAACAACAACAAATTGCTGTATATCGCACTCAAATATAAAAAACTAAAAATAAGAAGATTTCTGATATTTCTACATTTAAAATTCAGTTCAATTAGAAAATTATCTGCAAGGCACAACTACTTTTTAGAGTTATTCAGAGGAATATGTGGAATGCCACATGATGCCAAATGGAAATTGAGATGCCAAAAGGAAAAAATTTATGTGCCACTGAGAAATTGTATCAGTGATGCAGATTAGGCAGTGCTTGCCAGTTTTGAGGTTTCACAGTTTTTCTTGATTTAATATTTTTGTTCTTTATGTAGGAATGGGCTGGTCAGGTGGAAATTACAGCATTATCTATGTTGTACAAGTAAGTTTCATTGAAATATCATTTTTTCCCTTTGTCTTATCCTTTTCTATAATTTTTGTTATTTCGAATATATTTATTTTATGACCTTCAATACCAAACTTTTACTGGAATTTCAACTTAGGATATATTATATATAGAATTTTTATACATTTTTGAAGAACCCGTTGGACTTTTTTGGTGAGGTTTGTGTCATTGAAAAAACCCAGCTAATTACTAAAAACCTATTTAAGCAAATCCCTATCAAAAGAACAGTGGGTTAAATAGAAACTTTCTAATACCAAGGTCAGTCTCAAAAGTATGTGAAAAGAAAATAAAACACACAAAATAGGAAACAAACTACTGGAGTCACCAATATATTGTGTATCTATTTTTTTGTATGTTATTTTTCAAGATTTATTAACCAGACAAACATTCTAGATTAAAATGCTAATATTTTAGGGATAATGCAAATCATTATTTTCTATAGACATGATTTTATTGTTTACCAAGAAGTCAATCAGCCACCCCAATATGTAACTGCCAATGGCTATAAAGACAAGGTAAGCTTTTTACATTTTTCCAATTACTTCTCCTTCAAATACGGTAATTGTTTTATGTGTTTTGGTAACTGCACTATAGTGTTTTATCATAGATGATAAACTGTTAATGAAGAAATTTTACAAGAAAAGATGCAGTTTAATAGCCCTTCAAGATCAGAATACTTTTAGATGCAAATCATAGCAACAATAAATATTATGTACCATGTCCCACTGTTTCATCTGGTCAATACACACAGGTCATATTCTTATTTTGCAGATTGAGTTGTGCTTTTCAAATGGCAACCACTATGACTTCATCTATCCAAAGTCTTTCAAAGAAAATGCAGCAGTTGTTCAATGTAAGATCTTGACATCTAAACATTATCAATGACTACTGATACCATTGTACCTGTATAGTGGAAGGTTCTTTGAAATGTTGTTATTTCTTGCACAAAAGGTTCCTTCAGAGCTCATTCAGTTCATTCACTATTTCTTTGTTTCTTGCTCCAACTACTTAATCAATTTTCCATTTAACTAATTAACAAATTGAGTAAAAGTACATGTAAATTCCATTTGTTATCATTTTTGAAAAATTTGAATAACTGATTTTGAATTGTTGGGATTGACAAAAACTATATTCTCAATTGCCAAGCTAGTATTGTATACACACATATAGCTATAAATTTAGAAAGCAAAAGTGAACAAATTTGTTTTGTGAAAATTTATTTGATTATCTATCATCCGCTTTAGGCTTATTCTTCAAAATTATCTTGGTTGTTAAGATCTAATTCTTACCATACATCATCCTTCTTTTGCAGCAATGCTTTACAGCCATTTATACGACATAGTATTCCCAGAGTGTGAAAAAGTTGATAATCCTCAAATGGAAACAAATACTACCTGTGATGCTTCACCAGAGGAAGCAAATAAACAAGTTGAAGTGAAGACTGCATACGACAAAGGTACAAATTAATAGGAAAATTGCTCTAAGATCTGTCAAAAATTTTAGGACAGAACTTTGAAATTAATTAAAGTATCAATATTCGAAAAAGTGTCTGAATATCATAAATAAATGCTCAAATATTTGTTGGTATGTGCATACTATGAATTACATGGTCTAGTTCTATTGTTCAAGCCTGCCAAGTTTAATGCACAGCGTTTTGGACTTTCAGGCAACCCTTGACCTGTCCTGTGATATCTTATTTTTACTAAATAGAGTTTTCTTATAACTTGCTTTTAGCTAGGATTGACAGCTGGCTCCATGAGATTTACATTGAGATCTGGCTCCATGAGATTTAATTTTATAATCAGTTGCAAAACTAGAGCCATACATCAGAACTTTTTTATTAATATTATTCTGTTACATTGTTTTCTTGAACAAATACAATTTTCTTTTGTTTCATTTAACTATTTCTCTTTACACTTTTCAGAATCGTCTGGTGTTTGTTGGGAGTTGAAGCGATCCATGGATCCAACTGTTTATCGAAATGTTGCTCTGGAAGTATGGGAGAATTCCAAGCAAGGTTTGCATTTCTTATTTTCAGAAGAAAATCCATAAGACAATTCTTTAGCTCTTTCAATATTTCGGATATAAGTAGTTGCTTCTAATGCAAGCAAAAAGGTTTCTGCAGGAAATGTATGCAAGATGATCGATTCGAGTAAGAAATACATCCAGTATAACTGAATATATAGTGTCCTTAGTTTAACTGTATTTTATCCATATCTGTGATATGAGCTATAAGGGATTATGCTTTTTCTAGTGAAAGTCTTTTACTAGGCAGTTCAAAGCTGTTTGTGTTTCTGACCATTTGTGAGCATACACTTTCGTTTGATATCTTTTACCTTATTGTTCCTGTTCGATCTTACAAATTTTGTTTTCGTACACAGATCAAACCTGTTCTGATAAACTATTGGCATCAAAGCTGCAGTACAGAATCGGAGAATACTGCCTATTGAGCATGAGTGATTCTCAGTCAGCTGATGAATCTTTTAAAGTACGAATAGATAGTATATGCGAAAAGTCATTGACATACTATGTATGGATTCCAGATCTCAATGAATATACTAATGTTTCGGTTGATCGTTTGCGGCCTTTGCTAGAAAAACCGGAAAAAATAGCGCAAATTGCTTACGACGAGCTTCCTGGATTTTACAACAAATCAGATGAGTCTTCTAAAGACCAGACAGGGAATTTCCAGTACCCAAAGAAGAGGCAAAAGGGTAGTGGTGGTAGAAGTGGCCGGGAAGATGAAAATAAGGGTAAGCGATTTGACGTCAGAGGTGAAGGGAAACCGGATGGTAAACCTGATGGAGCAGTTTCTAATAGGCGTGACAATAGAAGAGATAGAAGGGGACGGGGTGACCGGCATGAGAAAAATTCTGAGAAGAGAGGTAAGCCGACTGAAAAAGGAAGCAGGAAACCAGATGTACAGCGAGTGACTTCACCTCCTGCTGTATCTACAAAGACTGATATAAAGAGTCAGGTAAACGAAAAAGTTAGTGGAGCGAAGAAACCTGTCGATCAAGAGGCACCAGAAGATAACCGACCAGGGCAGGAATACCCCTTGCTTAAGTCGCAGGAGAAGGAGAAAACTGCCAAGCAGCATGAGTCTGCTGCTGCATTTTGGCAGCGAATGCGAGAAGCAAATAAGCATGCTGCCAATGCTGGGGAGAAATCTGGGGAGAAATCTGGGGAGAAATCTGGGGAGGCCAGTGATGAGCCGAAAGGGAACAAACGCGACGAAGGTAATTTCAATACAAAAGCAGTTGTTGAAAACAGAAATACAGTGGCGTATCAAGAACTTCAAAAAGGTGGGCCTAGGAGTAAAACTGAACAGACTTGTTTGAGTGCCAGTGAAGTCACTAAGCATATTGGCAAAGAAACACTTTCTAAGCTTCACGATACACCAATTGAGTTTCATGCTAATGTTGAATCAGGATTTAATGTCAATGCTTCAACCGAAGAACATGCCTCTTCTTGGGAGCAAGAGGCTCCTGTTCTGACAAGGGCTAAGAGTAATGTTTCACATGTACGGGATCGGGAAGCAAAGCCAAAGGAAAACACTGCTAATTACCCTACGCCAAGGAACAATATAAAATGCGCTGTAGATAATAATCCAATTAACATTATTGAGTCAAGTGGTTCCTATAAGGAACTTAGTCAAGGATATTCAGATTATGTAGAAAGCACTTCAGATACTCTTAATAATGAACCCTCAAGATCGCATTTCGAAGAAACTGAACCAGAAACGGAAGATGCCTCAGCAAATGAAACAGAAGTTGCTCAAAGTGCTGTCACAGATACGTCAGCCCATGGTCTTCCTGAGGGTGAGCCCTATTTCTCGGCTGATAGCAAAGTACTGTTTCCAAGTGGCTTTGATGAACCAGGTACAACTGATGGTAGATTTGCAGACAGTAACAATGACGAGAGCAATGCAGCAAGCAGTCCTATAACTTTTATGAGCAGTCGATCGGATATTTCTGCAAGTTCAGATGAAAGTAGTCGTCTTGATATAACTAGTCCAGTAGCTTCAAATGACAGTAGTGAACCGGTACTAGTAAATGCCGCGGCAGGAGTACCCGCTGGTAGTGGTCAGTCAAAAAGCGACCTAAGGAACGAGCAGCGTATTAGGATCTTGAAAAAAGACAACAAGGATCGTCTCGGCTATTTCAGCTCACCAAATGAAAGCAGTTCGTCGATCGAACAAGCTGAATCGTTATCTAGAGAGAGAAGCCCAGAGCCAGATAGCAAAAGGGTACAGAGTAAAAAAGTCAGTTTCGGTGAGGTGATAGAGATATCTCAGATCTCTAATGAAATCAATCCGTACGCAGATGCTAGGTTGCAGGCTGTAGCCTCGGAAACAATGCATAATCCATATGCAAATGCTAATGGATTAGCAGACTCACCTGATCAAGCATACTTCGAAGATGGGGTAAATATGGGTGCCTCAATGGGTATGCCTACACAGCTGATGCCAGTTATGATGCATAATCCAATGCCACCGCCCAGCGAACCGTTTCATTTTCCACAAGGATTTTCCGTAGACCTGGATGGCAAAGATTTACCTAATCGTACGTCGTTTCGTCTCATGTTTTCTTTCATTGTTGATTCAATTCCCTCTCGACTTTTGAGCAGTTTATGTGTATTTGAAGTTTAGGTCCTGCTTTATGGTAAAAGCTTTGTTCTTAAGCTAGTGAATAGGATGTGTGCTTTTGCTTTTTGAGAAGATCAAAGTTTATAGTTTATAGGAAAACAGATAATAAAATTGAGTACACATATTACTTTAGCAGAAAGTTTCCCTGTAGAATCAACTTACTTGAGGTTTCACCGAAGGGCATATCACTCCATGTAAAAATCTCGTACAACTTCACTGGATTTCCTATTGTTTTATCTGAAGATTTCTGGAAATCCTTTCGTTTTGGTGGAAATCTTATTCGCTATTTCCAAGAGTGAACTGTTTCATTGGGACACTTCTTCGCAGCATATCATTCAAAACTGGTTGCAGTTATGTAATGATCAATCTAGTCCTTACTACTCTCTCATAAAGTTGATCTTGTTTTTTAGACATGCCTACTCTTCGATTTTTCTACAATCTGGGATTGCAGGTAATAGCTCTATTTCCATAATACTTGCTACCGAATAATGGCCTGTGGTTTTTTTTTTGCCTGTTTACATTTTTAGTCTGTATGGCTCTATTTCATGCTCTTGCTATGTTTGTAAGTCATCCAAAATATATCCTCAGAATTAGTTAATATTTTATTGCTGCCATGAAGACTAGTGGTTTCATTGAGACACGGATACTACTATTACATGGAAACTGTTACACGTCATTACAAGCCAGTCACCTTTTTAAACGAAACATTGTTTTCTATAGAGACTTGACTTTGCTCTGCCTTCTTTTAGTACTTCTGCATGCAACACCAGTTTGTTAACATGCCGGTTCAGCAGTTATCCGCAGTTCAGGTTCAACCACAGCCTGTACAAGGTCATATGTCATCACCGATTCCTGCGCAGCGCTTTGCCACTGCAGTTGATCCTGCATCTCATTTCAACCAGGAACAGGTAAAGTTATAGCATATAAGGTGACCCTTTGTTTTTTAAAGCCTGTCCGCATTTATGCAACTCCCAAAAGGAACACATGTTAGAGTTTTAAAATTTTTGAAAGCTTAAAATCTGCTGATGGGCAGTCTCTGATTTGTAGTTGCCATCAGTTATACTAGCCACCATTATTCTAGCTCCTTAGGCCGTCTGAAAAGGCTCATTAAGCCAGTCACCCTCATAAGTTGCATATAAACTACATATTGTTGTTGCTGTTATTGTTTTTTGTTCTTGTTGTCGAAACGGGCATGATATCTCACAGTAGGAATATTTTGTGACAATGATTAGTTGAAGGGCAAGAGAAAAACGCTGTTGCCTTTTTGTAGGTTATGCAGGCACAGCAAGAGGATTTCACAAACGTTTCAGCGGCACCACCTGTGCATTACGACTTCATTTCGCAGCAGTCGTTGAATCAATCTAGGCAGCACCATCCACAAGCAGGTCATCAAAACAGCGCAAGCCAATACGAACAGCCTCCGAGAATGCGAAGGGTTAGAGGTAGAGGAGTCCAGTCCGGGCCACACCTGTCCATTTCACGAGGATATAACGTTTATAACCAGTCACAACACCAGTACAAGCCGCAGAGTCGAGTGGGGAAACGAGGCGGTTTTAACATGAACACGGGGTCTATGGGAACAGGACACAATCAATCGTATCAGTTTCATTAGAGTAGAGAGTATATAAACCGGTCATTATCACTAAGGTAGAAATTCTCGTACGTTGGTCGTCAGGGGTGTTCCTCTTGCGATCTCAACCGGCCCATTTAAAGAATTCTACTTTTCAGCCAATAATTCATTCACCCCGAAAACCGTATATTCCCTTTCAAACTACAATTGAATTGAAAATTGAATTATCATCGAGAGAATATGTCAAGTGACAAAACTATCTACGTCTCGGACCCCAAATCATACTACTTCTCTTGACAATTATTTTTTTTGAAATACCTTATCATTTGTCCGGACTAGAATGGTTTCTCTATTCTATCCTTAAAGAAAAAATTTTATCCCGAAAGCAGTGTTTCATGTTGAAATGCTTTTGTTGCGAGATTTCCCGCCGTAACTGCTTTCAGAATATGTTGACTGGTGATGTAATCAGCGTATTTCCAAATAATTATAGTTCACGTTCAATGTAAAATCTATCCCGACTTGATTTACTGTGTATATGAGGTTTGAGTCAGATATGTGCACGTAAATATGTTGGTACAAAACGCAATAGGCCAGATGTCAGGTATGCGATGTACATCCTTGACGGGTTTTATATGATAGTTATGATGGGTTGATTTTTAGCGTGGCAGTCCATTTCAGCAAGGGCTCGATAGGATTTTAAAACCTGTTTTGTTTATGCATTGTTGCTGACCATCAGGCTATCGTGTGGCTGTCCAAACATGGACGTATCTTGGCATTAGGCCATTCATCATCTATACTCCGTCATTCCTCTCTCGTAGCAAAGCGACCTTAAGTCTTTTTCTGAAAATGATTAGCCGGCCAAATTAATACGATGTTGAAAAGACAGATGACATAGATGAAGGTCACTAGGCGAAACAAGTTTGCAAAATTTATATTTAGTATCCTTGCCAAAATAATTACGCACAACTGTCCATTTGTTGATTTTTTGCAGGCAAAACTTGCATTGCCTGGCAAGCTGTCGAATGGCCTGTCCATTGTAGCTTAAAAAGGTTTCGAATATATTCGCTAGCAGATGGGTTTCCGAACATTCCCTTTTGAGCATCTTGAATGACGTCATTGCAGCTCTCTTCGTTAAAAATATCACCATAACTAGCCAGATTTACTTTAAAGAGGGATGGTATGGTCAAACCGCACTCTAACAGTGTCACTGCAAACATCACATTAACGGCATCATTAAATTATTTTTGCACCAGCAAATGCAGTACTTATTTAAAGCGATAGAATAATTTTGTACCACAATTAATTTTAACCAGCACTTAGTCATGTCAATTCTTATTTCTTGATAGCTTCATTTTTTAGACGACAAACGGCTACCAATGCGATCTGATAAACGCACCCCATCTTTTTAAGGCGGGCACGTCTTATCATAAAGTTTCGCACCGTATTTTATTGTTGAGATAATAGTAGGCGCAAAACGTATGCTGTTTTGTTTAGATGTTCACTAATCAAAGAAGGTTTTTCGCGTATTTAAGTATACGTGAAAATGTTAGATAGGGGAAGATTTTCCTGTGTTGGATATCAATCTGTGATTTCAGATTTCGTTTATTAAGTAGAAGTTATAACCATATTCGATACTAGAGTTTCACAGTGAAACTTGTAAGAGATTAATTAAGTTTTCTGTCGTTTGCTTCTGTGCAAACCTTTTACATTGTTGGCTAGACAGTTAAATTTGTTTCAACTAGAGGTAAGGAAGTCTGGTTATCTGTTTTTCATCAATTTATGCCTACATAGTTAGCATTTTTATTACATTTAAAGTGGGGAACTGTTCCAAAGAGTTGCCGTATTCCTTTGTTGTATGCATATGTTGCATCGCCATTCGCCGAATATTCCATAACTTCTCGTATGAGCCCCTAACCTACCTCTGATCAAAGTTGCCTATTGCAATATTTTGCATAATTTACAAAATGTTTCACGTTTTTTGCAGATCTTTATTTTGTCATGCATAATTTCAAGGATCTTTATTTTGTCATGCATAATTTCAAGGTCTCGTCGTATACATTCAAGAGACTCAAAGTTGTCGAAACTGCCAGTAAAGATGAATAGAAATACAGTGTTTTGATGTGTATTCTCGGTATAAGTAGCAGTTTTTGGCATTGCAATAATATGTTCATATTCTGCTGTTATTCCCAGATTTGATGCTTTAAGCTTATGAAAGGTACCTTTTGTAAGAGAGCATACGTTTAGATTCGTTTAGTCGAAAATGTGTAGATTATTGTAGAATTTTTGAGTTATGAATATGTTCGTTAATTATGACGATTTCCTTAGACTGTTTGCTTCAAAAGAATCTGGGTGATGATGAGCTGTCTCTCAATGAACTCTCCCGAACGTAGTTAAATGGTTTTACGTGAGAATCTCGATAAGTAAGATCCAGTTTTACCCGAGTAGATTAGGATGATATGCATGCACCCATTGCCGTGCTTGCTTGCACTGTCCATTTAAAGAGGCCTAGGTTCCAAATCGCACTGGGCAACTGCTACTACCCTGTTTCTACTGCACACTTCGCATCTCTTCGTGCTCTTAGAAACGCTTTCTTGTGGTCATCATATTCGCAATCATATTGAAAAATTCTTTTTCTACCCCTTTCCCCTTTTGTCTTTCAATGTATGCTTCTCGAGCTGTTTGATGCTTATGCTGCCTCAGTAGAACTTAATTTATTGAATCGTGCAAGAGCCCAATCTGAATCTCGCAGGATCCGGATCCGGGTCGATCTTAGGCACCTTCCCCGTGAGTTGCCTTCTGCAAGGGAGACCTGGCTTAGCTCATCGCCACACAGGTTTTTTCAGTGCTATTATTAAATATATAGTTTTGTCAATTTGTTAATTTTATTAAACAAAGTCGATAAAAATTATTGAAAAACAATCTGTCTATTTGTATCCGAATGGTACTGGATGAAGTTGTTGTATTTTTTCCTGTAGTCTTGCAAGCTTGCCGAGTTTTGGAAAATAATACCTGTGTGATTTCATGAGCGGAGCTAGTGAACAATGGAACCGTGAGACTTGGCAACCTTGTCTTGTGTTGTATAACCAAGTATCAAGTTAGTTGATGACTGATGTCATACACGAATAATATGGTTGAAATCAAAGAACCCTGCAAGGCATAGAAATATTTCTGGGTTTGTTTTCAGAAGTATCCTATTTAGAGAATGGGCAGAGCTAGAGAACATTGTAAATGAGAATGAAATCTAAGAGCAATTCAGCAATAAAATTATTATGAAGAGGAAATGCAAGAGAATAAATTGAAACGAGTCAAACAAATAGAGAGAATTTAACTAATGGAAATTATCATACACTCATTTTGTTTCACAAAAAACCGTTTTCTTTATAAGCAGGGGGAAGGTTATGCCCCAACTTTTTTGCAAAACAATAGATATTTTTTCAAAATCTTTTGTTATGAGTTTTTAAATTTTCCACTGGCTCCCCCCTTTTCGACCTATGTCGGAGCCAATTATTCCTTTTGTTCAATTAACACAACCAAAAAGTAGGTAGAGTTCCTTGTGACATATTTGCTTTTTTGGCTGTTGTGTTTCATGATACCTCGTGTTACGCTTTCTTCGTTTCAAAAGAGTAGCTTTTAAATTGTAGCAAAGAAAGAAGGAAATGTTCAGAAACCCATTACTAATCCGGATGCCTGTTAAGGAATTTCGCTTAAAATATCTCCACCTTAAGTCAAGGTCTGTTTTGAGCGCGAAACAACGTGACATGGTTTGGCTGAGATAAAGTTGGTAAGAAATTCAGGACCGAATTGTAAACAGCTAGGTAAGTGCTGTTTTGATAACAGCTACATTGTCGATACAAGAGTGAAATAAGTTTAAATTGCAAGTGAATTAACCTTCATCAGGATTATAGGAACGCACTTTTTCACGAAGACTCCAACCTAGCTCTCTAGTCCCCCAGGTGAGAAACTTGTACGAAATTGCTACGCGTGGCTGCGAGTAACAACATATCATTAGCTGCGACCAGATTGACTTACAGAACCTTAAAATTGTATGGTTTGGTCATTTCCTTTCTGAATCGAGAAAATTCTTGACATTGGCTTTATTTTAATGTCATATTATTCTCTGACGTAAATAAGCATTGGACTTGTTAAGCCTGAAATACACGATCAGTTTTTATCAGTTTTTAACTGACAGTTTTCAGTTTTCAGTCAAAAACTGATCGTGTATTTAGCAAAAACTGATAAAAACTGATGCATTAATGACCTTCAGTTTTTGACTGAAAAAGTTGAACACGTTCAACTTCGTCAGTTTTTAACTGATAGGATTTCTACTCATCTATGTAGACTCCATTGTTTAAAGCTGGCGCCCCTATAATCCCCTTGCGCAAGTGCCAATTTTTTAGAGCAGCGTGGGTAAGTGCGATCAAAAGATGGTGAAGAAAGTTGTCAATACAGATGAATTCATAGAAGCGTGAAAGGAAGCTCCAACAACTCGTCAAAATTTTCAGGCGTCATTCTCAAAAATTTTCTATATTCTGCTTCATCCCCCGATCTTAAATCTTGTAGAAGAGTGTCGTAAACACTGAGGTTAGTCCTCCTATTCAACCATGGCTTTACCCAAACCGACCTTGTTTTCTTTTTTCGATATTTCCACCTTCTTTGACGATCAGAGGCGCAGCTAGAAGAACTGCAGTTTCTTGATCAAGCTCCATTGTAAAAAAGAGCCGATCTAATCAAAACGCGAACTCATTCCAAAACTGAAGAAAACTGATTGTGTATGGAGGAAATCGGTTTTTGTGAAACTGAAAACTGTCAGTCAAAAAACTGATAAAAACTGATTGTGTATTTCAGGCTTTAGTTAGATTTTCGGATTACCCTTATTAAGTTTAAGGCTAACTCAAAGAATTTCAGAGATTGAGGTGTCACCCCCATACCCCCGATATTTTCTCCTGACATTCTGTGTGTGCAGTGTACTTACATGTAAAATCTGCATATTAATTCCTCTGCAGCAAAATACAAATATAAATATATGACCACAGGAACAAACTTGATTTCAAGTTTTATGGTAAAATAAAAAAATTTAAAGGGTTAAAGTGCCCCCTTTTTAATCTTAAATGTTTCATTAAGTAGAAGGCCTAGTCCAGCCATCCTATTGTCATTGTGGTATTTGAATTTCAAAGTCAAGTATAAACATTTACATAATTTATGTAAGTTTTATTTTCTTTAAAGAAATGTAAATGAGGAGCAATACACAGAAGAGTGTTGCCAACCAACAAGATGCTTCATCACCATCATTATTCACACCCAGCTCAAAGAATGAAAAGAACGCTGAGGAAGGTAAATCAATTTTGTTTTCTGAGACAGGAATTTGGAGTTTATACCAACCAACTGCAAAGTGATTGCAACTGGACAACAACTTTGTAGAAAAAGTTGGGTATGTGGGAGGTTGTATGCCTGTTTCAAGCCAAGTGGGTAGCAATAGGTTGAAAATCAGGTAGCTTGAAAGATAGAAATAAAAAGAAAGACCTGGCATCTTTCATCAATGATGAAAGTTTGCTCAAATGGGTGCTAAACTCTCTTTTATAATGGCACCAAGACTTGTTTTTAATGGGGTTGACGTGCAGCCTGCAGCAGAATGATGGCTGTTATTTATGTCAAAATTAGAGAGTTGTGGTTTGCACTATTCTAGCTAAAGGATTAGAAGGAAAATGCTTCAAGAGGCAGTTTTTCAAAATGTTTTAGGGTTTTTCAAAGAGTCTGAGGAAATCAATTTGGCTATACTGAAAATATGAAAATATAATACTGGAAGTATAAAAAAGCAGGAAAAGGCAGAAACAGGGAAATAGTACAGACAGCCAAACAAATTTTGGTAAAAATGATTTTATGGTCAGACAAAAGTGAGTGTTTATGGTCAGTCAAAAAATTTGGTGTTATACCAAAGCTGATATGCATGTGCCTGCAAACCAAAAAGGTGAATTTTATACTTTATTTTAGACATCTTGAGAAGACAGGATCACAATTTCATTCCAACCACACCAGCAAGTGGGGTAGCAGGTTTAGACCAATCCAAAGAGTTATTTTCTGTTAGTTCAAGAAAGAGAGGAAAAGATGATTCATTTATAGCTGCACTCATACAAAGTGACCACAGCCTTCCAAGGTATTTTTCTTATATGCTGATAGTTTGTAATTGGTTGATACACTCAGTCATAGAAATTTAGCTTTTTGCTTGGCGGGAAAAGCACAGTACATTATCCAAGTTTCCTATTTTAGGGGCATTTTCCTTCTTGTTTCCTGGGCTAAGATACCTTATTTTTATGATCAATTTGTCCCTGTCCTAAATTCCTTCACTGAATGGGTTTTAGTTTTATTGATACTTTGTGCTTGCAACAATGATGTATGACAAGATCAATTGACACTAAACTTTCAAGTACACTTCATTGCCCAATAGTTTTCTCTCTACATGGAAATTATTAGGGGTAAAAAGAGACTGTTTGAATTTTGTCACCATCTAATTTTCATGCTGTTGATACAGTTCTTTTCAGCGTAAACCACAAGTCAAATCAATAGTTTACCTTTTTTCAATTTGATCAATCAAAGTGCTTGTCTATATGCAACTAAACCTTTTTTACATCAAGGACAGTCAAAATTGCTGGGTTTCACTTGGTGGCCATGGTCAGCAAATTCATAATTTTAGAATTGAATTTCATTTGTTAACGCAAATTCAATCTTTTGCTCAGAGCATAATTTTAAAGAGGCACCATCACATATTTTTGCCCCCTGAAAATTGCAAAAATATTTTGGTCATATGAAATGGGGACAAAAGTTCTAGAGAAAAATGGTTTTGCTTGTTTTGTATCGCATAAATTTTGCAAGAAACAAGCACAAATTTAATACAATTGAATTGTTGGTAACCACTATTTTTAAGATTATCTGTTGGTCATCAATAAATAATTGATTGGCCGTGTGATATCCAAAAATAATCCTGAAAGCTCTTGGCTGATGGGGATTTTTTGATACAATGCAAGATTCCATGCCTAAAAGAAATGGCTGCTCACATCCATGTTCATATAGCACACTACAATGATGAAAAACTTTTTTGACAATATCAATTTTTATGCGTTGATGCCTCTTTAACTAAGGCTGAAAATGCTTGTAAGTTTCAATTTTTGTATGGCTTTTCTAAATAACACAAATGTTTGTTTCATTTTCACAATATATTTATCTAGGTCACAAAATGGAAAATATCATTGGCTCTTTGATACACCTTCAGATTTTAGAGGTATGTTTCAAAAAGGCTATTGTGGGTTCAATGCTGTCTTGATTGCTGAAATTTTCCTACAAACCACTTTCTTAACCTAACTTTATAAGTTTCTTGTCACTTCCTATATAAGAAGAAGAAATATAGTTGCAACAAGAATATTTAGGGAAAGATATCTTATCTTATTCTATGGTCCATTAATTTTAGTTCTATCCATAACATTTTAAACAGCGCTGTTCCTCAAATAGTCATGAAAAGATCTTTGTATAATCCATAGACAGTTCTTTGTAACATTAAATTGTTAATTAATGATGATAATCTTTTCTTTTTCAGAGTCACCAGTCAGAAAAAACAAGGTAGTGCCCAGAATAATTTTTATATTTAAAATGCATTGAAATTTTTGACATTACATATTTATATGGTGTTATCATTCAACAGACGTTTTGGAAATAGGTAGCCGTTCCTCTTCATTTAACTGAAAGCCAAAGTAGATATCCTGAGTCCTTTGTGACCTCAACTTCCATTTTTAGGGTGTATCCAGGAGGTCACTTGACAAACTCATTGACCCTGAACCTGAGTTGTGTTGGATTGAATCCATGGCCACACCTCCTTCTGATACTTCAGAGAGGGAATACAATGAGCTAGATGTGTCAAGTAAGTTCAATACGTTTTAACAAATGAACACACACTTATTTTCTTCCTAATTTCCAGATAACTGTAAACAATTGGTTGATATTCTGAGTAAGTTAAAATAGGCATTAATGCATTGAGAACATTAACTGAAATACTTCAATTGTTTGCAGACATAATCATTGCAGAATAAGCAAATATCTCTGTAGAAACACTAAACCAACAGCAAAACCTGCCAAATGTAGTTTATGGTAATGCATCTTCTATCTAACACAAAGTTATTTTCCAAGTGTTCCATAAATCTTTAGGGTACTAACATCAGAACCAATGTTATATGTTAGAATGCCAACATGATCAAGTCAATCTCTTTCCAGTTTTTTCATCCACAATATTTCTTGTGCCTCATAATGTTGATTCTGATTTTGACAAAATATACTGTTGGTTATGACAAAGCAGTATGCATCTGATGATTTGATTGTCCATCACAGTTTCAGTAATGTCATTGTGTAAATCTGATAAACTGGTAGCTAGTTATCAAGCTTATAATCTAATGGAGGATTGCATTACCAATTTATAGGTGCAAGGACTGCTCAAAGCTTGTCTCCTGCAGTAGATTCAATCAACCATGACCAAAAGAAATTTGGAGAGAACATGCAAATGAAGAGGGTAAATTAACAGTTAATTGCTTATTTAGCTACTTTTCTCTAGTTTAAGTAAAAGATGCTATTGCTCTGAATCTTCTATGTAATTAACACCTAAAGGAACAGAGTTACTGTTTGTTACATGGTTTCTGTTTTAAGAAGATGCTGATTGTAAGAAGATATCCTCTGTTTGGTATCCATCAGAGGAGACTTTACTGATCTTTCAATTTGCTTGACTCAATTGGAATTTGTATTGATGCTCATAAAGCTTCCAGAATTTGAAATGTTAATGTTTATTCTTAGAGTGTAGCCAGAATGCTGTTCAGTCGTGCAGCTGACAGTAAAGAAGGGGATGACAAAAATAATGATCAAGAAAATTGGAATATCAGTGAGCTTCAATATGATGACGAAGATTCTGTGCAACTTTCACCATCTGTCGTTCAAACTGAGGCTAAGGAGATGAGCAGCCAAAGTGAAAATAAAAGTGTTTCTAGCCCAGTGCCTATCTTGCCCAAAACCGATTCTAGTGGAAAAAGCAACTTTATTCTTAAGGATTATAAGAAGAAAGTAATGGCTGATGAAGAACAAAACTCGCTTACAGAGATAGATTTAGGTGACACATCAGCTGGCTCGTTGTCCCCTCCTGTTGTGCCTGCTCGAGATGAAGGTGATTCAAGGACTAAGCGTCATGTTCAGAGGACTAACGACAGGACTAAAAGCGATAAAATGAAGTCGAAGGATGATTATCCAAATGCCTCATCAGCAAAGAGCCCATACTTAAAGTCTGGGAGAAGCCAGCTGCATGACTGCCCAAATGACAGAGTTTTTCAGGATTCTGACAAATTAGTTGACACAGATATGCAGATGGATATTGAATGTGTAGGTGTAGACATGTCACCACCTGCTGGCGTTGCATACACAAGAAATCCAGCAGCCAAAGTCCCAGGAGAAATCGCAAAAAGGACCGTAGCAGATGATATCAAGAAGGAGCCTTCGCAGAAAAAGATTAAAGCTATTTGCGGAAACAAAATCAACGAGCAAGATAAAACCAGTATTGCTAGGTCACCCCAAAAGAAATCAGATTCTAGTGCATCGGGTTTATCAGATCTAGGGGAAGTTTCGCCAGATGTTGTTTCCGTTAAAAGATCCAGTCATACCAGGTATGAATGCAAAGTTACAGAGTCAACTCCTAAACCAAGTAGAAACAAAAAAGAGGTAAAAAGCTTCAATCGAGCAAAACCAGACGCTTCTGTTGAGTCCAAAATTTTAATCACCGTGCCGTCAAAGAATCTAATGACCCATTCTGTGTCAATTTCTCCACCTATGACATGCAGTGAAGCAGAATCACTAGAAGAAAAGGGCGAATCAATTCAAAGAGGCGGTGTAAATAAAAATTCTATGAAGAAGTGTGAAATATCTATAGTTAATGAAATCATATCAGAAATTGTAAATAGTGCTATTCATGAACATCGCCCAAGAACTCAAAAGCATTACATTGTAAGGAAAGCAGACGATGCACTTTCACCCGCAAGCTGTGTTCCAAGAACTCCTGCAAAGAACATGTCTAAGGCAGCTAGAAGGTTAAAGAGTCGGATAAGGGTTAGTGGTGTGAAGATGAAGAAAAACTGTTTTCAGGAAAACATATCTGAAAAACCTACGAATCAAGGCTGTCTTTTTGGTGAAGAAGTTTCAGGGAAGCAAGATTCGGAAAAGTTAAAGTATAGAAAATTGAATAGAGATGATCAAATAAAGGATGACTATAGGAATAACAACAATGGAGTTAATGACGTCGTGAATTTTTTGCCTAGCAAGTTGGATGATGAAAGAAAAAAGGATTTTGTACATTTAGAGAAGGAAAGCGTGAATCCAAATCTTGAGTGCTGCGAGAAGTCAAATTGTAAGGGTGAAGAGTTACTGTGTGTAAATGAATTTTCTGAAGGCTGTGAAAAAGCGAGTTATTTATTAAAGCGTGATATTTGCAACAACAAAATAATCGATTTTAAGAAACCAGTTGAAAACGCTTCAATGAAAATAAGTGGAGAAAAGAAAGTTTTGCCTGTGCAAAGAACAAGCCAGGAGGCAATTATTGAAAGAAAAGCTCGTGTGGCAACTGCCTGTCCAAAGAAAATTTGTAGAACAGTATATGAAAATATGGAGGAAAAGGTGGTTGCTACTAAAACTGCTGAATCGCCACCTGATAATGCTTCCTCTTGTAAGAAGACATCTTCATCTTCAGTAGAAGACGTTTTGGATGTTTTGATGTTTGGTAAAAAATGTAGCGAGAGCAATGCACGGCTGCATGGAGCCAAGGGGCAACAAGGAATGGACTTGGTTGAAGGCTGGGTTGCAAATGACGCCGATCAATGCTCGAGAGTAGTTGAAGGTTGTAAAAGGGACAGCTATTTGGTACATCAAGATTCAGTAGATAAAGAAAAGAATAAAGATCCAGAGATTGGATTCTGCAAGAAGCAAACCTCAGCTGATGATTTAAAAAAACAAACAGAAACTCCTGCTTATAATAATGACAATTACAACCAAATGACAATGGACGATCAACAAATGAAGACAGCCAAAGAAGAGAGTCCGAAGATTAATCGTAAAGAAACTGAGAAACGTACCAGTGCCAAAAATTTTCAAAGTTCTGGAGAGCCAGTTTCAAATGTCACGGAAAACGACGTTGTTAAAAAATGTCCTTATGACAAGACGGAGATAAAAGATTTCGAATATCCCGCTTCCAACATAGGTTTATGCTTTCAAAATGAAGCATCCTCTGCGGTGCAAGAACAAGAAATATCGTTCTGTAATAGTGATAATGGTGCTGTTGAGTTGCGCTCTTTAGTAAAATTCGATGACAGCACGAAACCATCATGCAGTGATCAGTTCTATGCTACTGACAGAACCGCTACCGATGCTTGTGACAAGGATAGTGAGGTAGACATTAACATTTCGATGACAGATTCACTTCTGTCAGACAAGGATGGAGGTGGCTTGGAAGCTTATGGAGCTGAAGAAAGTGCTCCAGAAGAGAAAGATGGGAGTTTTGAGAATGATGAAGATGGAATTATTCGATTGGTAAACAGTACTTTCAGTTTGGATGATTTCACACAGTTACGCCAAGAGCTCGCAATTGCCCCGGTCTCTTCTACTGACAAGTTTACATCTACATTAGGAAAAAGGGTATGTGTATCACGAAGGGCCCTTCGATCAACAATAAAAAATATAGAAACAAAAATCAAATGTGAAAATAAGCAAAACAGAGTACCTACTGTTGAAGCTACTAGCACAGCTTTTGAAGGTAATGCGGAAGCCACAAATCACCCCTTAGAGGATGCAGAAATGAAGCCAGAGACATTTATCAAAGAAAGCTATAAACGAGGTGAAGATTCAACATTTTGCAGATTCAGTACAGCATCTGGAAGGAAAGTCAATGTATCAGTCAAGGCACTTGAAAAAGCAAGGAAGATACCAGAGTCAGATGCAAAAGAGCAAGATGTCCCAGACAAAGTATCTCCTTTTAAAGGATTTAGTACGGCGTCTGGAAGAAAAGTGAATGTATCAGATAAGGCTCTTGAAGCAGCAAGGAAGAAGCTAGAGTCAGATGCCAAAGAGCAAGATGTCCCAGACAAAGTATCCTCTTTTAAAGGATTTAGTACGGCGTCTGGAAGAGAGGTCAATGTATCTGACAAGGCCCTTGAAGCAGCAAGGAAGAAGCTAGAGTCAGAGGCCAAAGAGAAAGATGCCCCAGTCACGGTATCTTTTGACAAGACTGCCCTTCCTTCTTTTAATGAAGAGAGCATTCAGGCTGATGCGAGGGGCACTGAGGAGGGGGTGCTTCAGCTAGTAAACAGTAGTTTTGATGTAGATGAATTCACGCAGTTACGCGATGAAGATATAAAAAAGCATGCCTCTTCATTTAATGGATTTAGTAAAGCGTCTGCAAGCAAGGTGAACGTATCAGGTAAGGCCCTTGAAGCAGCAAAGAAGAAGCCAGAGTCAGATGCCAAAGAGCAAGATGTCCCAGACAAAGTATCTTCTTTCAAAGGATTTAGTACGGCGTCTGGAAGAAAGGTCAATGTATCTAACAAGGCCATTGAAGCAGCAAGGAAGAAGCTAGAGTCAGAGGCCAAAGAGCAAGATGTCCCAGACAAAGTATCTTCTTTTAAAGGATTTAGTACGGCGTCTGGAAAAAAGGTCAATGTATCTGACAAGGCCCTTGAAGCCGCAAGGAAGAAGCTTGAGACAGAGGCCAAAGAGAAAGATGCCCCAGACAAAGTATCTTTTGACAAGACTGCTCTTCCTTCTTTCAATGAAGAAAGCATTCAGGCTGATGCGAGGGGCACTGAGGAGGGGGTGCTTCAGCTAGTAAACAGTAGTTTTGATGTAGATGAATTCACGCAGTTACGCGATGAAGATATAAATAAGCATGCTTCTTCTTTCAATGGATTTATTACAGCGTCTGCAAGCAAGGTGAACGTATCAGATAATGCCCTTGAAGCAGCAAAGAAGAAGCCAGAGTCAGATGCCAAAGAGCAAGATGTCTCAGACAAAGTATCTTCTTTTAAAGGATTTAGTACGGCGTCTGGAAGAAAAGTGAATGTATCAGATAAGGCCCTTGAAGCAGCAAGGAAGAAGCTAGAGTCAGATGCCAAAGAGCAAGATGTCTCAGACAAAGTATCTTCTTTTAAAGGATTTAGTACGGCGTCTGGAAGAAAAGTGAATGTATCAGATAAGGCCCTTGAAGCAGCAAGGAAGAAGCTAGAGTCAGATGCCAAAGAGCAAGATGTCCCAGACAAAGTATCTTCGTTTAATGGATTTAGTACGGCGTCTGGAAGAAAGGTGAATTCATCAGATAAGGCTCTTGAAGCAGCAAGGAAGAAGCTAGAGTCAGATTCTAGAGAGAAAGAAGTCCTAGAAAAAGTTACTTCGTTTGTTGGATCGGCTTTAGGGAGTAAAGTCAGTGTATTAGACGTAGCCTTGGAAGCTGCAAAGAAGAAGCAAGGTGCAAAAGACTTTTACTCGACTAACATCGATGAGTTCCCTCCTTTTGATAGAGTTAGAATAAAGTATGACACGAAGGCCACTGAAGACGGAATTTCTCAGCTTGTTAATAGTAGTTTTGATATAGATGATTTTACACAGTTACGAGATGAATATCTAAATAGGGATGCCTCTTCATCTAATGGATTTAGTTCATCTTCTGGAAAGAAAGTGAATGTATCAGTTAAGGCTCTTGAAGCAGCAAGGAAGAAGCTAGAGTCAGAGGCAAGAGAGCAAGATGTCCCAGACAAAGTATCTTCGTTCAATGGATTTAGTACGGCGTCTGGAAGAAAAGTGAATGTATCAGATAAGGCTCTTGAAGCAGCAAGGAAGAAGCTAGAGTCAGATGCCAAAGAGCAAGATGTCCCAGACAAAGTATCTTCGTTCAATGGATTTAGTACGGCGTCTGGAAGAAAAGTTAATGTATCAGATAAGGCTCTTGAAGCAGCAAGGAAGAAGCTAGAGTCAGAGGCAAAAGAGCAAGATGTCCCAGACAAGGTATCTTCGTTCAATGGATTTAGTACGGCGTCTGGAAGAAAAGTGAATGTATCAGATAAGGCTCTTGAAGCAGCAAGGAAGAAGCTAGAGTCAGATGCCAAAGAGCAAGATGTCCCAGACAAAGTATCTTCGTTCAATGGATTTAGTACGGCGTCTGGAAGAAAAGTGAATGTATCAGATAAGGCTCTTGAAGCAGCAAGGAAGAAGCTAGAGTCAGAGGCCAAAGAGCAAGATGTCCGAGATAAAGTATCTTCTTTTGACGGATTTAGTACAGCTTCTGGAAGAAAAGTGAATGTATCAGATAAGGCCCTTGAAGCAGCAAGGAAGAAGCTAGAGTCAGATGCCAAAGAGCAAGAGTCCCAGACAAATATCTTCTGTCAATGGATTGAGTACGCGTCTGAAGAAAATGAATGTATAGATAAGCTCTTGAAGCAGCCAAGAAAAGCTAGAGTCAGATGCAAAGAGAAGATGTCCCAACAAGATCTTCGTTTCAATGGGATTATACGCTCGGAAGAAAAAGTAATTATCAGAATAAGGCTCTTGAAGCAGCAAGGAAGAAGCTAGAGTCAGATGCCGAAGAGCAAGATGTTCCAGACAAAGTATCTTCGTTCAATGGATTTAGTACGGCGTCTGGAAGAAAAGTGAATGTATCAGATAAGGCTCTTGAAGCAGCAAAGAAGAAGCTAGAGTCAGATGCCAAAGAGCAAGATGTCCCAGACAAAGTATCTTCGTTCAATGGATTTAGTACGGCGTCTGGAAGAAAAGTGAATGTATCAGATAAGGCTCTTGAAGCAGCAAGGAAGAAGCTAGAGTCAGATGCCAAAGAGCAAGATGTCCCAGACAAAGTATCTTCGTTCAATGGATTTAGTACGGCGTCTGGAAGAAAAGTTAATGTATCAGATAAGGCTCTTGAAGCAGCAAGGAAGAAGCTAGAGTCAGATGCCGAAGAGCAAGATGTTCCAGACAAAGTATCTTCGTTCAATGGATTTAGTACGGCGTCTGGAAGAAAAGTGAATGTATCAGATAAGGCTCTTGAAGCAGCAAAGAAGAAGCTAGAGTCAGATGCCAAAGAGCAAGATGTCCCAGACAAAGTATCTTCGTTCAATGGATTAAGTACGGCGTCTGGAAGAAAAGTGAATGTATCAGATAAGGCTCTTGAAGCAGCAAGGAAGAAGCTAGAGTCAGATGCCAAAGAGCAAGATGTCCCAGACAAAGTATCTTCGTTCAATGGATTTAGTACGGCGTTTGGAAGAAAAGTAAATGTATCAGATAAGGCCCTTGAAGCAGCAAGGAAGAAGCTAGAGTCAGAGGCCAAAGAGCAAGATGTCCGAGATAAAGTATCTTCTTTTGACAGATTTAGTACAGCTTCTGGAAGAAAAGTGAATGTATCAGATAAGGCCCTTGAAGCAGCAAGGAAGAAGCTAGAGTCAGATGCCAAAGAGCAAGATTTTCCAGACAAAGTATCTTCATTTAATGGATTTAGTACGGCGACTGAAATGAAGGCGAATGTATCAGATAAGGCTGTCGATGCAGCACAGAAGAAATTAGAGTCTAATTTCAAAGAGGGAAAGTTATCAGGGAAAGAATTGGGTTGTGAGGGTTTCAGTAATGTTCCTCAGAAAAAAGATGAGGTGTCAGACAAGACCTTTGAAGGTATTGGAAACCAACGAAAAAAGGGAATAATTAAAATAGACCGTGTTAAATCAAGGCATTGTAAGGGAGAAAATTTATGTGTCAACGAAGAGAGTACGCCACTGATCTTAGGCCAGAATAGAATGGGCAATACAAGTAAAGCTGATGTTACTGGCATGAATTCTGATAGAAAGAGAAGATCAGGCTCGCCGAGACAGATAGGGTTGAATTGTCAACCTCAGAAAGATTCGAATGGTCCTGATGATTTCACGATAGAACTGAGTGAAAGGTTTGATGAAGATATTGAGATGGCAATGGAAGAGGATCCACTTCTTTTGGGTAAAGAAACTTCCGATATGACCGATCATGTGGCTGAGTGTTTCAAACAAAAGAAATTTCTTAGCATTTCAGGAGAAAAGGAGAGTGATTTAAAAGGACAGGTAGGAATCCCTTTTAACAGATAATGTCTTCTTAGTTGCTTTTTCTGTGTTCTTATTGATTTCACTTCTACAGTGCTTTCCCTGTTTTGATTTTTTGTAATTCTTCGTTCTTTTTACAATTATATTTACGACGAAATCCTAAAAAAGTACTTGTTCTGCTAGTGGAAAAATTTTCATAAGTAACTACTACATGGATACTAATTTTTGTGTTTCTCTAAGATCTTTTCTTAAAATACCTTCTTTAATTTTTGATCTAAGAATATAGAGACTAATGAATGATAAATAGTTGCATGATGACCACTCAAGCGTGAAACTCGGAGTTGTAATTTCGATATGCATTATAAAATTAGATAATGATATGCTTTATAAAAGTAGGCAAAACTGTTTTTATTCAGCAGGAAGTCCCGTGGGTGTCAAAGAGAAGAAGAAGTCTTGGAGTAAACAGGGGGAGCTTTTATTTCAAAGCGAAAACAAGCAGCCCATCTGGTAAAGAGCTTATAGTTCGTCCTGTATCCTCTTTTTTATAAGAACAAATTTATAAAAACACGAGCCTCAAAATTGGTCAAAAGTTAAGAGCAAAATAAGAACAAGCTATGGCTGAGCTACACTTTAATGCAATTTTAAACAATATCGCAAAAATGAAAGTTTTTAGCCATGTATAGGTGCTATTTTCGAATAATTAGGAAAAGTAAGCCTGAACTTAATTTACTGGTTCTTATAAAAATGCAATTAGTATAGGATTTGAAAAAGCACTGTAAAAACGCGTTAATGCACTTCACTGCACTACCAATATTAAAGCGAAGCATTCACGCGATCTTGCTTTGCTTTCCATTGCATTATCCGTCATTTTGTTGTTTTCCTAGCTCAATAAAAGTATTTGATGTCAATCGAAGTAATCATTTTGTTCGTGTCTTCTTAGAATTTCACAGTGATAGAGAAGCGAAGTTCACAATTCCACTTCTTCCGAAGACATCGCGATGTGAAGATCTTGTTTCCCCGATTACCTCAAAGTAAGCTTTTTACCCCGTGTAATTCATTCCCGTTGCCTCAGTTATACCCTAATGCGTTGCCTAATAAAATATTTGTACGATAGCAGATGACATCCTACCCGGCCTGTTTTCAAAACTCTCTTGCTCTTTGTTGCTTAATAAAGAGAGTTTCCGGGCCGTAATTATGGTTTGCGATCGTTCGAAGACCAAGAGCTGCTTATCTAGGCCCTCTTATTTATCATTTTCCGATTATGATTTTAAGAGAAAACTGTTGACTCTAAATACAAAAAATGCACGTTATGGACTTTTAGATAGAAAATTCCCTCATTTTTCTGCCCCACTTATTTTGCTTGAACTGAGTAATGAGTAAATCCACTCCATGTAACCCCGTCTGTTTTAAATTCATTGTCGTGGACAGAAACCTAACTTATGAAACAAACTTAAATCTACTTTTTCAAGACGCTATCCGTACTTTCTTCCTTGAAAATAACGTTATTTGTCAACTATTTCTTTAGTAGTTTAAATTTGTTGTCCAATCGAAACGTCTACAATGTCACCAATATAATATATACAGCGTTGTTGTTCTTTAGATGCATTAACTTTTTCTCTATAGGGTTGGCCTTACACGACCTGCTAGTGCCCCAAGACTCAGCTATGGCTCTCATTCAAACACCACCCCACTTTCTGCTCTCGACCAAAGGAAAATGAAAAATGGAGCTGTTAAGTCGTTCTCGACTCCTTTTAAACTGTCTTTTGGCAATAAATCTAACAACATGGCAACGTCAGGAGTTCTCAAGAATGAGAGGTTGAAGAGGCCATTATTTTCTTGTGTCCCGTTTGGTAAACGACGCAAAATCGATGACGAGATGTTTTCATCGCCAGGCGTGGTAAATAGTTTAAACCGTGTTGCTTTTTTTATTTACAATTTTGTTGGGTTCTGAATTCATAGTATGGACTAGCCTTTATGATTTCCAGTACTGTTGACATTCACCCAAATGCACATAGCAATATTTCTTGTGTGCCATTTATGTGCTGCCTCGTGCCAGGTCTTCACAAAACTAAAATACAACAAGTTCGAAGAAACGATTCCATAAATCAAAGGCTGAAACGTTAAAGAAGGCTCCAGATTCACCCTTTCTCCTTTTTTCATTTTCGTCCAAATTTTTTAGCTTTTCCTTTGGCCATTTCTGGTTTCATTTTATACATTTGTTGGGATTTTTTTCTGTATTCGGTTGGCTTTTTTAGGTCATATTTAGTTGTGTTTTCAGTGGATTAACCTTTCATTGTTACAAGTTTTGCATCAAATTAAAACTTTCGAATTTTAATAATATGCCATTTCGTCTCAAACTTAAAGTTAAAACAGGCTGTTACTGCTCCACAAAATATGTCCACACATTTATATAACTTTTCACAATTCTGCGAACTCGTATCTATGATAATTGGTCTTGAAATCACCTTTGATGGATTTGTTTTTCTTTGGTGCTTTGATTTGTTTAACGATATAGTCAGTTTCTATCGATTGGCTTTCCTCCGTAGAAAGAAACATTAATTAGACCCCAAGCTGGACGTCTTTACCAAATGAAAAAGTCAAACAAAACTAAAAGACTTTCTCAGGCAACAAACGGTCAAGCACCGTCGTTTCTATCAAAAGAACAGGTAAGGGCAATTTCGCTTTACGGCAAAGACTGATGACACAGTCGAAAAAGTAAGAAGCACATTGCAGGACGACATAACAAAGACAAATTGTAAAGTGCAGCACAAAACAAGCAAAGGTAGAACACAAAAAGCTAGAAAACACGATAAATTACACAATAAACACCACACTAAGTAGCACAACTCAGAACTGCCTATCTCGACCCAATTTTACGTCATCCCGTGAATTCGTGTAGATTCTAATCTTTCACAACTTTGATGACAGTGATAACTGATGGATATCATTTTTATCTTGATCAATAACGCATCGTGACATTAATTTTCATAAACTGCTTGTATTCCCTATACCTATTTCGTATAAAATTCATTTACTTATTTATTTACGCTGTGGTGTATCTATATAACGAGACGGTTCTAAGTTGCAACTTGAGTTTCATAGCTAACACGATCACCACCCTTGTTTTATACACCAAAGCATGTACAGCGTTTTATATTTTGGTGTTTTATACACCAAAGCAAGACTTAACTGGAACGAATACTATATGACAGACCGGTAAAGCAGTAATTTCCACTACTAATTTGTTTATTCATCAATGTATTTTTGTTTATTTTGTATAATTTTTTATTTGGACAAGAATCAATCACAGAGAAATTTATTTTGCTTTTGTAAGGGACCGCTTTCATCGCTACATTTTGAAAGCCAACTTTGATTAAATTGATACGGAAATTAATTATATATTTGCCTTTATCTTTATAGTTATTGTGTTTATCTGATGATTCTAGCTTCTGAAGTACGGCATTGAAGACTGCGTCATACAAGTTAGCAGCGAAAGCTCCTCAGAATTTGTATTTCACCAAAGTTTCTTTAGCAGACAGGCCTTGTCTGATGGTAAAGCAATTGTTGGGGATGGGGCAGCTCTTGTAATAAGCGAAGAGGGTGCAGGTCCAAAGGAATTTTACAGGTAACCTGCAGTTTTGCACTTTGCTTAATTTTCACAGCTGCAAAGTTGCAATCTGTTTGTATAGTGCCGACGCTTGGATATTTTTAACTTACCCAAAGAGAAAGATTTTTTGTCATAAGCATCTTCTTCTCTATCCAAAAGGAAAGAATTTCTAATTACAGACGACGCCCATTTAGTAGTACCCCTGATAACACGGATTTGATTTTCAATTCCAATTCAAAAGTCGTACCCCGGCTGAGTCGGACTTTGCTCAGCTGATTCATTTCATTTGACCCCCCCCCTTTCCCCCTCCTCTCTCTCTCTCTCTTGTAGGTTCGACTTAACGAGATTCAGCTGCAATGTTAAGATATCCTAAAGCTGTATATCATAGTACTTTGATATACCCTATTATTTTGACAATTACTCCCCAAACGTCGCAGCTAACAACCAAATTGAATCTGTATTTTTCTTGTTATCTACCTTCCGTGCTTTTTCTGTAAAACTTATCCCGGAGTGAATATTTCTGTGTTTGAACGATAATTCTTCTTTCCACCAGGGCATTCTTGTCTCTTCCTGGTGTTGACAGCTCTTTGATCAATGAAAGTTGGTTCGTAAACCAGTATCGATGGGTAGTGTGGAAGTTGGCCTGTTTGGAGAGATCTTTTCCAGAACATTTCGCTTGCAGGTAACATGATTGTGACTTATTCTTAGAGGATTTCTGAAATCTTTTGTACATGTAATAAACCTTGTACAACTTAACGATGAGTAAAATCATTTCGTTTTCTACTAAAGAAATGTAAATGCTTAAAAGGCATTTCCCTCCCCCGCAGAACTTTTTCATATTGTTCATCCTACTCTGTACGGCTAAAGCCCTCTCACTCAATTCAAATACTGTTTATAGCAGTTGAATGTAATAACAACTCTGATTTTTTCTTCAGATGCCTTACTCCCAATGAAGTTATGTATCATTTAAAGTATCGATATGACAAAGAAGTCGATCATTCAGAAAGGCATGTGTTGTTTACTAGCAAACCGATTGTTTTCTTTTTCGTCTCTTGTGTTAGAAAACTCATTTTCTTTTTGTTGAAGAAGTTTTATATCTAGGCAAAGTTGTTTATTATTTACAAGTTGTATATCTAAAGTTGTATCAGGTGTCAGAAAATTGCGCAAAATAATACCTAGAAATCTAGTATTAATTCGCCGTGCTAGAACAGTTGAATTTGAATTCTTATGTAGTGAATTGGAAGGAAAACGGAATAATTGTCAAAATATTTTACTTTTGAAGAAACAGGAAAGATCCATAAAGATACTAGCAGTATAATGCGCCATTTTGAAAGCCGCCATTTTGTATCTGCCAAAGTGTAGATATGTTTATTCTTGTAGCTCCTCGTGTATTTTTGTACGGTAACCTATCGCTTATAAATGTAATGAGCTTTATGTGTAATTTCTATGAAGTTCCAGACAATGCTAATTTCTCTGTGTATAGGTCGTCATTGAAGAAAATCTTTGAAAGAGACGATGTTGCAAATAGCAGATTAGTGTTATGTGTCAGTAGAATTTGCAGTTCTCTTTCGCCTGATCCGAAAGAAGAGGGAGAAAGCAAAGAAGCTGCTACAAGAGACAAAAATGTGACTGAAAATGTTAAAGTGAGGCAAAATTCTTATCTTTTTTGTTTGTTTCTTGATTTCTAAATCGTCGGCAATGTATGAATGAATGAATGGCGTAAGACACGTTAAAGAACAGTATTTTTTTCTGAAATGTTCTAAACGTGTAAAATTTATGTTTTTGTTATATCAAGCCTTTGTTGATAATGTCACGCCATAGCTTTTTGCATTATAATTAAGATGAATTATTTTCAATTTAAAGTGCATGAATGATAGAAATAGTGAGTGGATTTTTTTTGTATACATTTAGAGAAAATGTCAATAGTAGTTTTTGGTGATTGCCTTTTGAGCGTTTAAGTGATTTCCGATTAAATATTTATGAGCTTCGATCTATATTTAGAGGTCTTTTGAGATTGCTTTCAACCTTGCTTTCATCTGTAAAATTTTTCCCATGTTGTATTATAGGAAAGTTTAAGCATTTCAGTAAGGTTTGCCACAAGTTCTTATTTACAGGCAGAATGAACACACTATACCTTGCTTTCAGAACCAGTATCACACCTATTTTGTACACGTTTTCCACCGCTAAAAATCACCAGTAAGGCACAACCTTCTGCATTTGCTTTTAGAGAAAAGTTGAGTTGACGGATGGTTGGTATCCGATCAAGGCTGTACTTGACAAGCCTCTGTCATATCTTGTACAAGCAGGAAAAATTGAAATTGGAACAAAACTGTGTATATATGGAGCAAATCTCGTTGGTGCTGAGCAGGCAGTGCCTCCCCTTGAGGTAAAAATAGAGCCTAAAGTTTGTAAACAAATTATATATCTTAACAGAAATGTCGAATTTGAACTGTTAAAATTCGCAAAAAATTGAAAGGACTCTCATGGCAAATTTTGCTGTTGTTCTAATAGAGGCCCTTTCATATGACTGCGCTATACACCCATTTCCAGCTCTGGCCCGTTTTCAAAATTAAAACGTTTTGCTGTTATCTCAAATTCTGTAATTTTATGGTGATTTTTTCTGCTCTTTGAATTGCAGCTTCGTGTAATTGTACAGTTTCCGGCCCTAGTTAGTAAAAATGTGCCGCAAACAACAAAAAGCCCGTAGACAAGCGATCGTACTTCAGATTTTCCGATTTCTCTTGATGCATTAGTTTATAAACAATCTAAAAAATTACAGAGCTTGAGAGGCAGAGGATAAGACTGTTGTATGTAAATATGTATTCTTTGTTACCTTTAAGTGTTTATATTAGCCAAAGAGATGAAATGTGTAAATGATGAATAGTGATAATAATATAATTTTAAAAATTAGTTTCATTCGTAAGTGGTTTTGACAATTTTTTATCCCGAGTTACTAAGTTCAGTAGTTCCATATTAATCTTTGTGGCGTCATTCACTACGCTTCTTTTGAGCTTTAAGTTTTCTAATCTTCCTAGGCACCAGAATCTGCAGCGCTGGAACTCTGTGCCAATTCTACTCGCCGGGCGCACTGGGATGCTAAACTTGGTTTTCAAAAGGATAGAAAAGCCTTCGCAGTGCCCTTGTACTCTTTGTTTCCGGATGGTGGATTTGTTGGATGCATTGATGTTGTTTTAACCAGAGTGTATCCGATGCAGGTGACCAATTTTAAAATGTATTTTATATTATGAGCCTGTGCCTCTTGCATGTATATTGATTGACGAAGAAAAAGGTACTAAAGTCTCTAAAGTCGAAGTCGTTCTTATGAAATGGCTCTTATGAAACAAAAGCCTCTTTTTACCTGTGAAGCACCTGTTAAACAAGATGTACCTCCTGTCTAAAATGTTGTTGTCTAAAGTGTGTAAGATTGTCTAAAAATTGCATACGAGGCAATCAGAGTCCAGAAAGATGTTAACCTTCCTCCAGACAAAAACATCCCAGAAGGCAAGCCTTCCTCACAAAATAATAAAAGTGGGCGCGGCTTGGGTGTGTCATAGGAGCTTCTATCGTTTTTCGTGGACCTTCCTCCGGTCAGTGGCCATGCGACCGTAATGTTTTCCTGACTCTGGAGGGGCAATATTCAGAGCTTAAATTTCTAGAATCAAATTTTCCCAATGGTTTTTAAAGCGTCTACTGTATGTGACGCAAGAAGCATTAAACAGTTAATTTGGTAATAAATTAATACTTCTTATTATAGTCTGTTACTTGCATTATTTTTAATTCAAGTGGATGGAAAAGACAGACAGTGGATGTGTATTTAGGAACTCAATGCAGGAACAAAAGGCATCAAGGGGTTATAACAATGAAAAGCAGAAGAGGATGGAAAAGATTTATCTCAGCATCCAAAAAGAATTTGAAAATTCTGCGCAGCAAAGAGGTTGGCGTTTTTTGTTTTTGTTTTTTGAATTTTGTTCCAGATCTTGAAAATAACGTTCAAAGATTAGTTCCCTCTAGTTGTTTTGTCTTCAATAAGGGAAGTTTGTCAGATTGCTGGTATAAAAGTAATTTCATAGCTTGGACAAATGTTATGTGCATAATGTCTTGGAATAAAATCTTTTTACTTCTTGGAATAAAATCGTTTTACTTCTTGGAATAAAATCTTTTTACTTCTTGGAATAAAATCTTTTTACTTCTTGGAATAAAGTCTTTTTACTTCTTGGAATAAAATCTTTTTACTTCTTGGAATAAAATCGTTTTACTTCTTGGAATAAAATCGTTTTACTTGTATCAGTATTCAATGGCTCTGCACTTTCCCATTTTCTAGATAAACGAATATCCCGTCGAAAATCTGTTACCTCATCCATAAAAGAAATTGCAGATGTTCAGAATGGCCGAGAGCTTTACGAAATGCTTGAATCAGTATATGACCCAGCGTTGCTAGAGGTTTGATTCCGAATGATACCTTTAAAAATTTGAATATCAAATATTTTTCGTGTTGATTATTTGCCCAGGCTAGTTATTCTTTAAAGTTGCCATTCTCTTACTTTATGATCCAATGTTGTGTCCCTATGCCTAGTAAACAATAACACGGTGATCAGTCCAAATGGATAATAAGATTCGACTGTTGTAAGGAAAGTTGGCCCATTTTGATGATTTAAACACTAGAAATATAGTAGATCACTCTGTGAAACAGGGATAGAAAAAAGTGCAAGAGGGACGCAATAATTGGTAATAAATCGATTACTGGTAATAAATGGTTATTGTGGATTTTGATTCAAGTGATGTAACTACTAAGGTCTTAATTGATCTTAAAATGTCGTCTTAATTGATAGAAGTAAGACCAGAATTTGTTGGGGTGGTGTTTGCGTGTGGCAACTTCTGTATGTACGATCCTGGTTTTTGCAGCTGTATATTTTTCTACGCAATTATTCAAGTAGATTATTTTTTTAAGAAACCCTTTTTCCATCTTTTGTTTGTTTACTTTTTTATAATGTGTTTGAGTAGTGTCTAATGATGTAAAAACGGTAAATTAATCAGTCGCTTAGAAGGGATTTTTGAAATTTTTCTATCTGCAGCTTTGTTTGAGCGATAGTCAAAAAGAATCCTTGGCACAATATCGGAGACAAAAAGATGAAAAGGAGAGAGATTTGATGCAGAAAAAGTTTGAAGATGCTTGGAAAGATGTTCAAGAAAATGTAAGAATCTTTTTTGCGAGAATCTTTTGTCTACATTGTAGATTTATATATAAGAATAAATTGATTGCGATTGATCAAATCAAAGACTTCAAAGCATTTCATACTGTTCGTATCTTTGTAAATCTGTAAATATTTTACAGGTTTTTCACCGTGTTTTTCTTTTATGAGGTCAAAATTTAGAAATTCT